GTCGAATGACCAGTGATCATGGGGAAGAAGGAGGGAAAAAAGAGAGGTCATTCGCGGCAATGATGAGTGGACGAAAACGAACGAATACTTGCTCTGCGGCAAGAATCTACGATCAGTTTTTTGTCCCTTACAAGCCCAAAAGGACGAATAGGTAAATACATGGCCATGTAGGTAGGGGCTCCTGAAGAAAATGCGGAGGATAGCAACGACACCATACCAGTACCAGTACAGATCACGCCGTATCCAGCACATTCCCGATTTGGATCAGCGTGCCTAGCAAGAGATCCACTGCTGGACGAACCCGGCACGCCACTTCGGAGGCCATGTAAGCTTTTGGAGGGTACCACAGCATTTCGATAGGACTGGAGTACAGGGACAAGGAACAGGGAGTATCGTATTGTACATACATTACAGAGATACATGCCTCCATACAATCGAGGAAAAAGTTGCCCCCATACAGATTACAGGTCCTTGACGGTACTCGGCGCAACAGCCGCATCCTTTTCGACTATGGAGCATAGGTAATTCCTCTGGAGCAGAGAGCCGGATGTCTTGATTGGACGAGCCTCGGTTGATCAGAGGATGCGATATCCTGTAAAAGAAACGGCCACTTATGCCGGTACTAATAAAGGCTCCTGCAGGATAATTCATCACCAAATTCGTTCCCTTTCTGTCTTGTCCTGATGCTGTAGTGTACCTGTATATTTTTCTGTCGTGCTTACTCAAGTCATGTAACCAACGGTCGCGCGAGTGCTCGGAGAGCCTTCATTCGCTCGCCAGACGGGGTGGTGCGCGCGCCGCTTCTTCTGTATCGGCTGAAAATAGAACGCCCGCTCTGCTGCTTTTCACGCGAAGCGATGCAGGTGATATCGAGCCCGCACCCTCCCCCCCAATGTGACGAGGCCCGCGTAGCTAAGCAAGCCGCCCCCCCTCGCCCTCCTTTAAGCTTCTTATTACCTACTGCGATGATGGCGGGTACCGAATCGGCAAGATATTTTGTCATTTATTATGCACGTCCTCTACCTATCGTATGTATCTAGATAATGTTGGTCCTGTATTACAAGAGCACAAGAAACAGCGAGAGAGGGTCGAAATTGAGGTCAAAATTTGCGCGAGGCTCTCCACAGGCTTCCCTTGTCGTCGCCCACGGTTCTCGTTTTCCTAATCCGATGATAATGGAAATTCGTTATGATATTGTATCATATCTGTATCAACATGGTAGAAGGCAACAGGCCCAAAAACGATCCAGGCTAGCGAAAATGAAGCCGGCAGATCGCGCCAGATAATAAACTCAGTCGACTCTTGCGGTTCTCGCAGGATTATTTAGCATTTTAGGGGAGCATTTTAGGGCACAATATCCGTAGTAAAATAAGTCGAGCTAGCCTTATTAGACAAGGAGAGGAACTAGGGCTGGACCTGGGAGAGCGCCGAGAGCTGACAGGGACCAGGTTAGTAACAATCAGTCAGGGGAAATGTTACCGGACAATTTTCCCTTTCTTCTTTCCCACAAGCGCCGTAGATACAGTAGCATCGTAGCATTGTAGTATTTTCGCCGCAACGTAGGGGGGAAGCTTGGACACGTAGGTACGCCATGTAGGTATGATATGTATGTACGACGACGACTAGGCCACATGGTTTGGTTGCTTCGAGTTCTCTAGCTACAGGTATGGCTGCATTTCGAGTTTTTCCTTCTTCTTCAACGGCAGTGAAGATTCTCCTAATTCCCCTAATTCCGCACCACGAGCCCCCTTAGGAAGTTTCAGGGGAGACTCTTTCACTTACACGCTATGTATTAACCTTGGTCAAGTCACATCAACTTGGACATGCATTCTCCTCAACACGAGTGTCTCCACAACCGTTGAAGGGCTGTGGAGCCCCTTGATGTCAGTATCGATGACTAAACCAGACAAGGTCTCAGGACCTTATCCAGTTCTGTCCAATTTCGGACTGGGTAAAGAGCCAAAGTTTGGTTCGAGAAGCGTGCGATTCTCTCAGGAAACAAAGCGGTCAAGCCGCCTGAGCTCGTGGCAAAGGGAATTTGTTATTAGGTTATTAAGGCTCTCGGTCAGAACCTTGGTACAGTAGCGCGATATCTGATCTCTAGGTAGCTTGGTCCTCCTACTAAAGTAGTTTAATTCAGCACTGACGTTGGAAAGGTGGATTGTCGACTGACAGCTCGGAGCCTTTTTTTTTAAATGTTATCCACGGTTGGCACGTAGTGTGATAAATCATTTTGGTTGGGGGCCTTTTCACGAGGACGAGGGTTGCTTCGACCCGAGATTACCCCAAGCTCAAACCATGATCTTAAAAGGGGCCGGGTTATAATGGTTATATGTGCTGGTTAATATACGCTATACGCTGAACTTGTGAGCCGAAGAAGGGAATCCTTGCGCGGTGGGAATGGCTTTTGCTATCCGAGATGCAGCTAGTCATGTAAAGAGCCACCATCGCGTGTAAACGAGCAAGCTCATTGACTGGTAACGGCCGTCGAGCTCAGACTAACCTCGGTGTCACTCGGTGTGTTGCGCGCTGCGCGTGATGATAGAAGCTGTGCCTCTATTCCCCAAGATTATCGTCGCTCTACGGGATGGCACTCTCACGAACCAAGATCAAGGGATTGGTGGGGGTTCATACGTAGATGGCTGCCGCGCCTCGTTTCAACAAGTTTCGAGGCGTAGCGTGTTACCCATGTCCCGGATGAGAAACGCTCGCCGTCTTGACGCACGTAGGTATTATGTATTATGTAGGAAGAGCAGAGGATTCTTCGGATTCAACCATCAAGGGACCTCGACCGCGGAAATCGTAGACGTCAAGGTCTGGCATCATCAAGGATCTACTTATGACGAGAAGTGGGGAGATCGCGGCAGATGAAGAAAAATGGAAAGCCTCAAAAATGACCGACCTGCGACGCAAGGGTTGGAGTGTTACGGTACAGTATACTAGGTATCTATCTAGTCGGGGGTTATTGTATCTGTGAAACGCGCAGATCCGGCCTGGTTGAGGATATCGATGAGGTATGGTTCGAGATATGTATGTATTAGCTCGAACGAACCAGATGTTGTTAGATTTGGATTTACGAATTGCCTTTACTCCTTGTTACACCTCCTTTGTATTCCGCGCCTCGCTGCCGAGATCTCGGAGAGTCCGCGCCTGGAAGAGACTTGCCGTTCTCCCGGTTGTCGTGGAATAGAACCTAACACAGCTAAAGCAGCAAATAGGGCAAGGCACAGTTGGAATTACATAGTAAGACGAGAAGGCGGGCGTGCGCGTCTACTGCTGTCAGGCAGAGAGCTAGCCTCCTTTGAGGCAGTATGACCGGCCTGTACGCTCCGTTTCGAACGACGATCGCCGGCTCCCGCTAACCTAGTCGGTTGCAACACGATCTAGCAGCACTTGCTTGTATGTACGTACATACATAAGCACATACGCGCACACACTTCGCTCACTCACATACATACACCATACGCGCAGCCTTGCTAGCTTGGCAGCTGCCCAGGCATTACGACCTTTTTGATCCTCGAACGAAGGATTCGATATGCTCTTTCTAGTGGAGCCCTGCTCCTGGGCCCTGGCAAGGAAAAGTTGCTAGGGGTCCTCGATGAAAAGTAGACTTGTCGAATCATAAGACAAACCGACGCGCCATTTTCTGTACGACACCGTCCTGTGCCGCCTCAGGGCGGTCGACGATCTCCTTCCCGCGCGAAAAGGGTTGTGCCACATCTCGTTAGCATGACGCAACAGGTAAATCTCAGGTACGCATTAGTATGATAGGACACCTGAGATCATCTATGCCTTTCCAGGGAGTATGTACTGCTTTGCCCTTTGCCTACCTGCGAGGTTTGGGGTGCAGGATTATTATTAAATACCAAGACTTGCAGACATATGCTCTACCGACACGATCCTCCACTTGGAATCTTAATCCTAACAGTAGATAAACTTATGCATTAGTCTTGATAAGCTTGCCGTTCGCGGGTAACAGGGTAGATTAGTCTTTGAATCCTAAAGTGCTAAGAGCGTGTTCTTGGCGATATACTAGTAGCCTTCTTAAATCTTGCGAAAATCGTAGAATCATGGTTCACGTTCGGAGAGGCTTGCGCAAGCTAATCGCGCGTTGGACACCTGGAGGGTTAAATTCATGTAGGTTAAGTTACAGTATACCAGGACCATTTGCACATGCAAGCAGGTACCCGCGAACGAACTGATCACTGATCGCTGCCTCGCCCGCGGGAGGAGATCATCCAGTAAGCCAGCCGCTGATGTATGTGATGTACCTATCCGTTCAACGGCTTCAGGGTTTCGTCAATGGCTTGAACGATTTTACTTACATAGTACATACTACAAGGTATGTATGTAGAACAAGGGGGTATTGGGTTCAGATCTTTTCTTTTCATTTTTATAACGACGAAAAGCCGGCGACAACCCCGGAAGGAGGCGACATTGCGAGCAGCAAGGATAATGTTGAATGGATGGGTGAAGAGATTTCGTATACTCGATAATGGTTATGACTGGCTGAACACATGATACATGATACACCCGTTCTGTGGTGAAGGCCTGGCGATGTCTCAGTTGAGTCAAACTCGAATCTGCCTCGTGAGGAGATGTACGAGATGTACGTGACTGGTGACCTGGAATACGATAGGCAGGATATGATAGACGCCGGGATAGGATAGGATAAGACGCAATAGGAATAGGATACGGTACGGAGTAATCAATAGAATAGGGTAGAGAATTATAAAAGGAGAAAAGCTTAGCGCGCTTGGGATCAGGCCATAGATCATTGTGATAGCCCGTGGGAGAAGAGTGGGGAAATACATCCAACTATGTACATTACGCTAGCATGTATCGATGCGGGGCTGATATGCACTCATGCATGTCTGTCAGTATTATCAATTGATGTACCAATTAGCATATTGCATATTACATGTATCTATATATTTATGTGCTTAGGTATACGACTAACAGAAACACTAACAGAAACATACTTTTCAATACATCAACTAGTCAGGTTTAAGCCTGGCCTATTACTAATAATATACAAATACTACGTAGGGACCAACATCGAAGGAGGAACTTGAGCAAATCCTTAATCATCCTTCGTACATGACACTACTACGTAGTAATAGTCAGCCCAGTGCCTCGACATGTATGCATGTGCTTACCTAAATGTGTATAAGACTAAGACATACAGTGCTAGAATGCTGGAATAGATCAAGCGAGTATGCAATGACGACTTCGTTTACTCGGTTAGGACGCTTCGTACATCGAGTACGTCGAAAACGAAAAGCTGAAAGGATTTTTTTCTATTATGTCTTGCATGTCTTGCATATCATACTGCAATGCCAGTACAGCCTTGTCGAATATCTCGGTGCGAGGTCCCAGTTTAGAAGGCATCAACACTCGTTCCGATTCTGATTGGCTGATCTGACCCTCCATCACGTCTCTTAGAGAGGGTAACTCAAATGAAGGTTACTCCCGCGCTCGCATCCCGAACACGAACCCCAACTCTAAAAGGCCACATATGCTACCAACTATCTACAACTCACAATCACAATCATACAATCATACACCCATCAAGCGAAAATTCGCTCCTCCTTCATTCCTATGCCGCCTTGCCGCGTACTATATTCGAGACTCAGCAGCAGGGAGCCCGACCAGCCGACCAACCATACGCCACCGAATAGGGCGTTGCCTACTCGGTAGGACTCGATTACCTGAGCTTGACAAAGGTTGGTTCCAAGTAGAGGAAGCTTGGGTTGGATTGTCAACTTGGATCTTCCCGCCGTAGTATAACTGACGCAGCCCTACAGAGAAGGCGGTTTAGTGCCTGCTTGGTTTAACGTTGTAATTCCTCCCGCGGCCCCCAGGTTCCCGTCGTTTTGGATCTTTATCTAAATAAGCTTGCGCAAGCAACCTAGCAGGAGTGCTTATTAAATTAGAACTATATTCAGCGTAATCTATTATGTGGCAGAGTGTGACCAATGTGATATTTGTAGAACCCTGAGCTGAAGTTGTCTGGACTCTTGGAACTCTTGGAACTCTTGACGAGTTCTATTTCTGGGTATTATATGGTGATACCAGTTGACATATATGTTGGCATTGTACATTGTACGAGTAAGGCAGATTTACGGTTTGCAGATTTCCGCTTAGACGCTAGTCTCCACTCCAATACTTGCCAAAAGAGGAAATAAGTTATGAAGAGAAACGCAGTCCGCCGCCCCGTTAGGAGTTTAAAACTGACAACTCCCGACTATAATCGCAATCGCATTACCCCGCAAAAGCAGCTGCCCGCAGGATCCGACTTCAGTTCACCAGGGCAGAGACATGTTGGAGCTTGCAATCTCTAATCTCTACCGCGATTCAAAGTACCAGGTACATGTACATACAGGTATCTAAGTATTTATGTACCTGTGTATACGATATACGTCCATTAAATATCCTACGTCGATGCCATAGACAGCATAAGAACATGGGATATTTTCATATATGAAACCGTATAGAAACGAAAAGCATAAGCTTGCATCGTGACGTGAGTTAAGCGAAACACATCACGAACTCTTTTCCATACTTAGCTATATTTCGCAGTCTCCAATATAACAAGCAAGATGGTAAAGATGGTATTGATAGCAAATTACAAGTAGGACAACAACAGACCATAACAAACCAGGCTGCCGAGATTTGACGAGGCTATAGATACGCCCGTTATGCATTACCTACTTTAGCCTGGAGAAGACCCCTCCGAGTTTAACCCGTCCAATCCTCGTCGCCGGCTCCGGACCCTCCAACTTCTTCAGGGCTGTCCAACAAATACCTAGGTACGTACTACTAGTGTACACAGATTCGCATGTACATTTACCTATCTACAATCTGTGCTACAATCTGCACCATCTGTACCCAAAAAAGAAGAAAGTTCCAAGGTTCCAAATTGCGGCTGGCCTTTCTTGCCTTCCTACCCCTTGCCCGTCAATTCTCATTGCGACTTACACACATACATAACCAACTCCAACTTTTTTTTTATTGCCGCCAGCCCTTTTCTACCCTTTTTCAACCATGCCTTAGCTCGAATCTCTTTCCCTTGTTGGAAGCGATGCAACCACCTTGGCAACTGTTCTGCAGAAAGCAGACAGATGGCCCCCAATCGAATGCCTATTCTAGCCTTTATCTGTCGCCGGACAAGTATCCAATTCATTTATATGTATACTACGTTGTATATCTTCCCACGTGTAGCTTAGACCCTAATCGACGATTCCACGCGGCCGCCAAATTTCCGTTTCCTTACTAGCCTAGCCCACTTAGCCTTTTACTTTTCATCGGTTTTATCTCTTCAACAATAAGGTTGTTTCCCTGAACTAGCCTTAGCCTACCTACATACTGTACCTATACCGTGGCTTATATCCTATATCCTATTTCCTAGCGCGCGTGTGTGGTGAAGCTACTACATACTACTAAGTACCTATGCGGTACACAATGATAATCCGCCGCTCACGACATCTTCTAATATCCATAAATCAAAACGATCATGCAGGCTTAGCATGTGGCAGCCTGGGATATTACCTATATTCATCAAAGTGCAATTTCCATGCGAACCGCATTGATGACATCTACAGATGGATGTCTTGAAGACTCATCAAACTCGACCTAAGTAGGTATATAATATAGCTGCAATAGCAATAGCAGTAATCTGTAATGTAATTCTTCAACACGACGCATTGACGACGCGAACCACGAGGCAAGCGTCCAACCCCTCCAACGATAACAGCGGAGTAGGCAAATGGAGGAAACCTTACCAGCCTTGTCCGGGTCTATCAATAATCTGCCCCACGGTTCCTTACCGCATAAGATTATGGCGCGAGGGAAAAAAAATAATAATAAAATAAAAAGGCAAAAATTTGGTAGAAAAATAATATTAATAATAATTCAAGGGGGAGGGAAGGCGAATCAGAATTCGCCCGCCCGCTGTAATAAATCGACCAATTATCACCAATGAGAAACCCGGAATCCGTTCCCAATCTCACGCCTTTCCTCTTTCTCCTTCTCGCTGCTCCCCTACACCCTCCCCTTAAACCCCCACAACGCAAATCCTCGTCTGGGGTTCCAGAGGAACATGTCCGTAAGGGTAGATAGTGTAATGGTATGATAAGCCTGCCAAAAATTTCGATACATATAGATCGTCGCGGGTACATTAGTACATGTAACACGAGTCATGAATATGTAAAAAGAGAAGTGAAAAAAAAAAGTAGAGACAGAGATCTCCCGACAAGGGGGGCTGGTTTGTTGGATTTTGAACCTCGACAAGGGGGAGAGATGGTCGTTACCTGCATGGCTAAGAAAGAGATACGGAGAGACTATTGGAGTCAAGGGAGCGCGATGTTTGAACGTACATAGTAAAGCATCAAATCATGAAATTCGAAATAGTAAAAGAGTCCCCCGAAATCCAATAGAAGATTCTATATGGCGTGTTCTATGCTTTTCTCGCGTCGACTCGCCTGAGACAACCTGCAGGTACCTAAAGCCACGGGGTGGATCACAAAGCAATATGCAGCGAGTTGCGATGCGCGATATCGACTGCGCTGGCGATCGCATCAAAAAAATTTCTCGTCACAGGAAGATGGGCATTGCGTGTCACGCAAATAACAAGACAAGCAGAGCAAGAAAAAAATTTATTCAATGCAGCGTAATCTTGCGATGCTGCTGTTACATGCCAGGTTATTTTGAGTGCTTACGGTAATGGATATCAAACACATAACAGCGCACACATTGGGGACGGGAAGTGTTTATTATTAGCGATCTCCTATGCCAGGTAGTATTGGTATCCGTGGTCGTAGTAGCCAGTAGACGGATCCTGCCTGTCGAAACGCACTATGTATGTAGGGTATGTAGGTACCTCAGCCTACTTTGTGCTGTGCCGTCAGTAGAAGGGGGGAAAAGGTGTTGTCGTCGAACCCTTCTCAAAGGGGGTCGGTTTAAACAAATCGACGAAAACTAGAAGAATGTCTCTCCGGTGTAACATTGGCGAGCCGGCGAGATCTGCCTATCTCAGCACTCCGTTGCAACTTTGGCACGAACGAAAGGCGATTCGTCATGTACGCCAGACACTCTGCCCCGTGACAGCTGCCGGAAGCCGCTAGAGCATGCAACATCACGCCCCATTCGCTACCAGCCAACAGCGGCTTCTGGTCTGCTCCTTTCGGGAGTTCAATAAACTTGAGATATTGTGTTAGCCAAACTGGCTATGAGCACGGTCTCTTGAAGTCTCTGGCTGTGTCGTTGTTACCATCTTGGGAATCTTTGTGCCTCGCATGCCTACTGCCCAGGCCGACTTGTGCCTATCAAGTTGCTGCCCCTGTTTACTCGTCATCACTATCCTCGAGTTGATCTTCCTGATCGTTCAGTGCAAGCTGCACGAATTGGCGAATCCATGCCTCTTCCCTGGCATCCAACTGGCCGTCTCCTCGGGGCACATCACCGTCCCCCATCCTATTCTGGCCATCGCGACCGTTGTTGTTCGCTTGACGGTTCTGCCCCTGAGGTCGATTCTGGTTGTTTTGCCGGAATCTACCTCTCCTATCGCCTCTTCCCCCTCGTTGGCCTGCGTTGTTATTGTTGAGGCCTTGATTCTCTTCACGGCGATTTGGAATGCCGGGCTGAAGACGTCGTATCACCCCTGCCGGAACCGGCGGCGCATCACCTTCGATTCGGAGCACGAGCGGCCCTTCGCGGGCGACGGCGACCCTTCCATTTTGCTGATCCCTTGGCATTTGAGGTTGACCGGGTCTTGGTCGCGGCTGTTGACGTGGTGCTTCCTCTGCATCAGCCTCACCATGTCCATCACCCGGATCATTTGCAGGTCTTTGAGGTGCCGCATGAGGGAGGACAACTAGAAGTCGTTCAGGTTGAACAGCTGGAGCGTCCGGGTTTTCCCTAGCGTTACCCTCGAAGGCCTGGCCAACGTCGTCGCCGTCACCTCCTTCTAGCTCCCATAACCTCATGTAACAATCGTTGACTTCCCCTGAGGATTGAACGTTAAAATGCTTGTACTATATTGTCGCAAAGTTAGTAATGTTTTCGTTAATTTATATGGGTGATGTTGAATTTAGTGAAACTAGCCCTACGAAGATAGACGCCACGAAAACGCCATAAAGGGGGTTGAGACTTGAGAGGGGAGCAAAATATACAATAAAAAAGGTTTACTTACCGGATTTGAGGGATCTAGCCACGCAGAACAGAGGTAGCAAAAGTGTGAGTGACATTTAAAGCACTGCATGTGGTTACAGCCGTGAGTCTTCTGACACGGAGCAGCACAGGTCGGGCATTCTGTTGTGTGAAGCTTCATATACTCGATGGACGCTTTCTCTTCTTCTGTCATCGCGATCTTCCGGTCTTTAGTCACACAATGCTTGAACTCGCCGTGCCATGATTGTTCACATCGTGTACAGAAAGCAAACCCGCAGTCTTCGCAGATAGCAAGCAACTCTTCAGTTGTGTCGAACTTCTTTCCCACCTTATCTGCTCCGTTCTCTTCGACGTCACTATCCTCGTCAGACGAATCAGCGAACTCGAGCCCCTCGGGCTTCTTGTGCTTCTTCGATCGAGCAGCGCCTTGACACCACGAGCGAGGACAATATACAGTATTCTTATCCGACTCGATTTCGGTCTTGTGCCTTAGCATGACGTAGCGCATAACCATGTCGTGCTCCAGGGGAATCTGCAAGAGTTCGCTAGGGCTAATGAAAGTCTTTGCTTTCTTCTTCTTGATAGAGCCTTTGACAGCATCCTCGCGTTTCTTGGCACAATTGGGCTCGAGACACTGGACAGAAGCTATATCACCTTCTGTGATAGCATTGTTGTAAAAATCTTGGAGACATTGGACACAAAAGACATGTTTACAGTCCAGCATCCTGTGACACACGATGCCCTTCTTGGGCTCTAGACAAATGCCACAGTCGAACGTCTCTTTCTCGAAAGCTCTCCGTTTAGCCTTGATATCGTAGTCTAGTATAGCAATCTTGTGTTCTGGTGCAACTTCTAAGCACCCCTTATTATCGACCAAGCCAAACACATTCTCGGTTAGTTGCTGTAGATTGTCGATGTAAGTAAAGATGACTTGATCACGACCAAGTTCCTCCCAGAGAGATGAAACATCATTCTCGAGCTTGGACAATATTTTCTCTGATAGCCACGGAGGAGTGGTAGAGATGTTAACTTTAGGCGGCTTTTCTTGGGGGTATCCATCTGGTAATTCTATGCGAACCTGTAAGGAAGGCAGGTACGATAAATCATGAGAATCCAAGGCTGCTGTAGCTGGGTTTTGTTCTTGTGCTGGCTCAACCGGGGGTGCCGCTTCAGTAGCAGCTGGAAAAAGCACAGTCAATGGATTAGCCAAGCTCACGAGGAGCTCGAGAGAGACAGTATTTGGATCATTTTCGTCGACCTGTAACTCAGGATATATGGCGGCTATGGTCGACAACTCTTCTTGACGAATATCTTCCTCTTCCATGTTGTCTTAGGGGCTATCGATACCCATCAAAACGTGTCTGGCTATGCTGATTACGCATGAACATCTCCGTCTGTTGCCCCGGTAACTTTATACCGATTTGTTGAATTGCTGAACAAGTAGTCTGGTTGTTTTGTCGTTATTGCATCTTTTGTTCTTGTAACTAAGTGAGCGAAGAACAAAAGCCTGCAAATAATTAAACTTGCCCGTCAAAAGGTTTGTTGTCGTCAAAAAGATGAGTTCTGAAATTAGGCGAGTTCGGTAGATTATTTGCTCTGAGCTTGGCAGCACATAGGGAGACCGGTCAGGAGTAGAAAGGTTTTATAGGAGAAGTTCGAGAAGCTCGTGGAAATGACAGATAAGAAAGTTAAATTTATCGGACGTCAAATGTCTGCTTCGTATAAAAAGTCCCATGTGGCCGTGAGACAACGAAAATAAGTGTATGAGTCTGACGGCGAAAAGAATAGTAGCAGAGTGGGTCGTGAAAGTAGAAGGATCTCAAGTGCTGCTATCGATACCGAGGATGAGGGGCAATTTCACTATGACGATGGTTAGCTTACTTGCTAGCTTATGAAGCTCTAAACTCTAGACCCTAGAACCTTTTTCCCGTAGTAGGTTAGCAGGGTAGACCCTTGTATGCTATGCACTTAACCTTTATTGTTTAATTCCATATGCGCGTTTTCCATAGATTTCTGGATTTATTTTGGACGCTAGCAATCTAATCGTGATCAACTGACCGGCAGCTGGCCACCTTTTTTTGTACTATTCCCAATGACGAAACGGCATTGAGTCCCAAGACAAATCTCTAGCCGTGTCTCCTCCCGACAATCGACATCGTGAATTAGTACCTGGGGTAGCGTTGAACAGGCCAACTTGATCCTCGCATTGCGACTCATGAATGCCTGTTCAACAGACAAGCTACTCTTTGGCAATATACTTACACGTCGCCCTTCTTGCTTTTGCTTTGCCTAGAATATTAAATTATCCATGAGCGATGCATCGGTAAAAACCTTACAGAAAAAAAAGACAGATACCCAAATCTTAAGTTCTATATACACTTCCGCTCTTCAAAATGTCCGATGAGCCCGTGCTGGCATCTCTCTCGCTTACACACGTCCACTATGTGAGTTCCGAATGATCCTGCCTCTAGCAATTCGCCATTCCGGCATCAGAGCCCTAGAATATCAAGAAACTAACCATTTCTCGCCCAACCCGTACAGGACCCGTCCGACCCCATATCCTACCTCTGTGCCTTCCTGGCGCTGGTGCCGCAGGGCCTCTGCGTCATGTACGCGACGCTGATCTGGTCGACGCGCGAGATCGAGATCGCGCTGCTGTTCGCGGGGCAGCTGGCGTGCGAGGCCATCAACTTCGTGCTGAAGCGGCTGATCAAGGAGGAGCGGCCGCGCCGCATGAACGGCAAGGGGTACGGCATGCCCAGCAGCCACGCCCAGTTCGTCGCCTACTTCGCCGTCTCCGTCGCCCTGTTCCTGCTCCTCCGCCACCAGCCCCCGAGCCCGCGCGTCCGCAGCCGCAACCACACGCCCATGAGCCTCCTCGAGCGCGCCGCCTGGAGCGCCGTCGTCGCCGGGATGGCCGCCGCCGTCGCCTGGAGCAGGATATATCTGAACTACCATACCGAGAAGCAGGTGCTGGTCGGATGTGCTGCCGGGACGGTGAGCGCTGTAGGCTGGTTCGTTATCACGACTATATTACGACGGTCTGGCTGGTTAGCGTGGGGATTGGAGACGCCGATAGCGAAGTTCTTCAGAATAAGGGATCTCGTCGTGGAGGAAGATCTATGTCAGGCTGGCTGGGAGAAGTGGGACGATAAAATGACGGCGCTAAAGGCTAAGAAGAAGCATACATAACATTGGATCTATTTATGACTATATACCCATTTAGGAGCTTCCTATTACTTAGCTTACCTGTAGATAAAACGAATATTCGTCTCAGATACTTCTCATTAGGCCTGGCAATGGCATGATCGATGAATAAGTAGTATATTTATTGTATATCACACAAGGCTACATGGAATTAGAGCCCGGTCATGTATTCAAGACAGCTCTCATAACTTGATGGTTGTGCAGCACTAACCAGACAAAAGTCTATCATCACATTAGAATGAAATGCTCCGAGTACGGTGTATTTCATTCGTCTTCATAGAATTGATAGAATTGGTAAACTACCTGCCTAGGCAGGGCGGAATTCATGTCATAACGACATCTACATCGCCATTTTCTACCAACTTCATCCCGCCTAAACTAGGCGCGAGACTGTCCATTTCTTGGAGGGTATATTCCACTAGATAACTTTCCTCAACCAACTCCTCCATGCGTTTATAATGCCTCTCGGTATAGACCTTAAGCGCATTAAGGACCTCCTTCAAGCTCTTCTGGCCTCGGGCTCCTTTTACAGACAAGCTGGAGAGACGCGATGCCGGATAGCTTTTGATGAGGGTCCACAGGATGCGCTGGGCCATAGGTGCCGTTCGGGCGTTGGTGTTCCAGTCTCTTAGCCTCAAGAGAAGCAGGAACAACTGCTCGTCGGAAAGTGAGGCCAATACTTCATCGACGGCCTTTAGGCCCGATAGGCTACCGGTGTCGGGCGTCTTCGAGTAGACTACCCGCTCGAAGAGATTCTGGAGTTTGCGGGGGTGGTTGAGCTGGAGCGCCATTGTGATTGCTTCACGGTAAGCCCCCACATATTCGTAATTCTCAAGCTCTTGTTCTTGTTCGATACGCTTGAGGGCTGCTTCGTTAGTCGCGATTTGTGTCTCACTCGAAGTATCCTTCCAGAACGAGACAGTGGAGTCGCCACTGCCAGAGACAATCATGTTCGTCTCAGGGTGCACAGCAAGGGCCCAGACTCGGTCCTCGTGGTTATCAAGCGTGCATTCATTCTCGCCAGAATTGACATCCCATACTTTTACCAGACCATCTCCGCCAGCGCTGGCACAAAGTATAGGCTTCTTGCCACGCTCTTCATTTGGTGGAATGTTCAGCCAAACCACCTTGAGGACGGTGTTCGAATGACCCTCAAATGTCCTCAAGCACGTATAATCCGTGAGGTTCCATAACTTAACCGTCTTGTCTCCGCTTCCTGTGAGCACGACACCCTTTCCGGCCACGGAACCTTGCTCGCCCTGAAGTACTGGGGTGCTAAGAGGAGCAAAACTAACAGACCACACACCTCGGCGGTGGCCTCGGAGGATTCCCTGAACCTCACCTTCTTCTATTGACCAGATCTTGACGGTTTTGTCCTGGGAAGCTGAGGCGAATAAACGCGAGGAGTGGTTGATATCAATGGCATTGATGTCCTTGTCATGGGCCTTTCGCGTGTAACCTGCTCGAATAGTTGCCTTTGCGCCTTTTTGCGGTTCTCGGGGCACTTCCCATTTTTTAACAGTCTGATCAGATGACCCTGTAACCAGAAATGGAGGTGGGTAGCTCAGCGGGTCAGTATGTGCTTTAGAGCCTTCTACTGGTCGACTCCGAGGCAGCGCCACCGCCCCAACAGATTCGGCGTGTCCCGGAAATGTTGCCCAGCAGGTATAAGAGTCACTGGCCGGGTCTACTCTCCATAGTCTCGCAGTATTGTCTTTGGCACCTGTGGCGACCCAATGCCCAGACCAATCGACATCAAGTGATATAATTATGTCTTCATGGCCCTTGAGAAGGGCAATATCCTGCCCAAAATACTCGGAGGAGACTAGAGTTTTTAGTCCGGACTTTGGTTCAGTCACTGATACTATTCGGATGTCTTCGGAATTTGTCGCTAAAGCCATAGCAGAATGATCAGGTAACAGATACCGTAAGTCTATAATATCGTCATGAGTACCCGAGATTCGGCGGAACGGCTCAGGGGGAGCGATTTGAGATAGCTCGTGAGCCTCCGAAGGAATTTGATAAAGAGATAGGGTGTGATCAACCTGAACGCATATGATAAATGGAAGTCCCGGCTGGTAAATGGCTCCTACGAACGTTTCAGTCTCAGGCTTTGGCGCTTGCTCTTTCGTAAGTTCCCGCCCAGTATCAGTGGCCCAAAAGCGCAGACACCCGTTCGATCCAGCGCTATAGGTGACTTGGCCGTCATCGATAAAACCAACCGCCTCGACAAGTTCAAAACAGGGGACAACCTTTCGTATCTTCCAAGATTTCGTATCCCACCATCTGATTGTCTTGTCTCTACCAGCAGTCACCAGCACATTTTGTGCGGATGAATAATCCAGGCCTCGAACGTCCGAGACATGCGAGTCGAGGTTCGCCACAACGCTCCTCCTATGTAAATCCCATACACGAACTTTCCCATCTTGACTCCCCGAGGCCAATCGAAATCTTGCTGTAGTGGATATCTCATCACCATCATCTTCGGCCGCGCCTTTCGATTTCCTTCTCTTCCTCTTTTCCTTGTCGGCTTCCGGGGTATGTGTCGAGCCTGCGGCGATTTCGAAGAAATGGAGGGCGGATACAAGCACACTGGGTCCGCGAAAGGTATGCGTGACATAGCCGCCGTTTATATCCCATACTTTGATAGATCCATCGGTCCCTCCGGTCGCAAGGAGTGTACTAGTTCTATCGACGGCCAAAACGACGACAGGAGTATTATGAGGCTTCAATGATCGTACCAATTGAGGTTCTATCGTATCGCTTGACTTCTTCAGAGAGTATATCCGCATAGACAGCGAACGAGAACATATGATGAGGTGAGATCCCGACGGTGTCACTGTACATCAATGAGTCCTGACACGAGTTATCTAGCGAGAAGATGCGTAGGTGAGCTTACATGTTAGAGTAGATATTAATTCGCCATCCTGTAATAGAAAAATCAGCTCCAGGCTCGCCAGTCATATCAATCATGTACAAACCCCTTCAACTGTGGTAATGTGTTTTCCGGTCTTTATGTCAGTCAAGACCGCATCCTCTCCCAGAGTCGTTGCAAGGATTCGTGCGCCATTCTCCAATGCGATAGCGCCGCCTGTAAAAATTGGCCGGATAACTTCGGTCGCCTCGAAAGTCGTCTTAAAGGGCGCTTTGTTGGCCATTTCAAAATCCGAAATTCATGCGACTACGTTGTAGATTCAAACTTATGCTCCCGCCGACGAAATGCTCAAGAAATTTTTGAGGGTCAGCTAATTATCGATAAGAAAATGTTCTTGCATGGAAACCTCAATGTACCGATATTTCCAGGGTTCGTAGCCAATCATAGCGGATGTTAAGTATAGGTAAGGTGGTACCCCATGGTCTAAGCTTTTAACGATTGGATATCGCTAAAGGTCTACAGAAGGAACAACTGAATTCAATTGTTCGTATTAAGAACTTGAAACCTAATGTCATCTATTTTGAGACTTTTTCTTTTCAAACTTGATTAATACCTGTTCCAAATGCGAAACTGTCTACCTCTGGACTCTCCGGCTTGATGCGCTTCGTCTTACGATGGGGAGACTTGAACCCTTGACCTCCCTAGCTTTGGTAGGTGTTCAAACCTGATGTTGAATCCCAAAACTCATGATGAAAATAGGGACGGTCCCCTTATGATGACGTTGTGCAAGGAGAAGGCCCTGAGGATACTCACGAGCCTGAGAAGCAGTACGATGGGCTGGGGCGTATTGTTAACCCCCGGACTAAACAAATCATCAAGGATGTCATCCGCGCTCATAACGAGGTCATGCTTGTGATTGGAGTTGCCGAACCTGAGAATACTGGTATCAACATAGCCGATTTAGAATTGACAAAACAACACCAAGAATATGAAAGTGATACAGGGAAGACTTTATACCAACTCGGTACCTCTCTTGGAATACTGAATACCTGGGGCGTCCTCAACATACGGCGACGCATCTTGGTAAGCTATTGGATGATTTATAATTACACTTCAGCTTTATTTCTCTTCAAGCTCGCTAATCCTAGTAGGTATATAAAAAACGTGCCGACATCTCGTTCTTTCAACTACTGCAAACGGAATGGAGGGATCACTCATTTCTACAGCTTTTATTTGCAGGTTATCCATGCCACATGGCTATGCATGGATTACGATTGACTTCTAGGTACTTGAAGTCATACTCGAGGAGAGGATATCCATGGTAAGCAAGTTGCGGAGTTTTCCGATGAAAAATACTGACACCCTCTAGGCTCCTTGCCGGAATAGAATATATTCGATTCCATTTACATCTGTTTCTCACGATGCAACGCCTAGACCTGATACCTGGATATCAGTGGCTCCCAGGCCCTACTTTTTTTATACCCTTTTCTAGCACGTCGCCGTTTTCTGCACCACCTCTACCAGAATCACTAGATGTTTCCAGTGTATTAGGCTGGGTTGGTAAGTTGGCTGTCAATATGGCCCCCTACGCTACATTTTATATATGTGGTTGCGTTTGGCAGTCGACATGCGCCTTGTTGAGATCTCGCATACGTAAATACCTACCCCGGCCCACATTCAGTTTGAAAAATTCGACATTATCCGCAAATGCTGCTCAGAGACAAGCCATTCCGGAATCGCCAACTTTAGGAGCGGCTGATCGGGAGATCAGACATCAAAATCCGGAAGCCGATGCTCCAACATCGTTGGCCCTAGATCAACCTAGTGGCGAAACTATTCCAGTCGGATCGATTAGGAGACAGAGCACATTCTCAAGTCGAGCCGGAGATGACTACGGTACTGATGAAGAAGATGCTGAGATGGTTAATCCAACACTGATTAGCTTTGACGTGGATACCAGCGAATCTACCGAGCCGCAAACTGGGATCTGGTCGGCCGAGCTACGGCCCAGTTTTCCAGGAGACTCTCGACAGCAGACCAAAGAGGCACCCATATATGCAGTAAATCCCTTGACCAGCTTACCCAGCTCGTTTGCGTCAGATATACTTGCCAACTTCGTTACGAATATCCTCTTTATACCCTTGGACACCCATGCGTTTCCAATGGTAGCAAGAGCCCTTGCACGAAGAAGGGGCCTCCCTTACGAAGATATGTACGACGGAAGCTTTTTAGGAGGCTTAACGTGGCGAGGACTCCTAAATATTATCCAGTTGGATGTGGCTAAGCTCCTTTTCTCTGGTGAGGTTTGGGCTATTACGACTGTGTTATCTCAATATCTACATGTCACCGAGGAAGAATGGAAGGAAATACGCAAAGAAGATGAGCAAGAAGGCCTTCTTCATTAGTGGACCTTTATAGTGAGTCTAGGGTTACCCCTAGATTTTCCATCATGGAAATTATCCTAGACGCAAACCAGTGTCAGTTACTATATCCGGCTCGAAAATGGCCTGGGACGGTAAATGTTGTGTTTGCGGCGTTTGTATTCTAGGCAGGCGTTTGGTCGATAGTACTCCGGAATGATACCAAGCATTATAGGGCTACAACAAGCACTGCGTTACGAAGACGGTTCAGGCCAAGTATTTGAATCCGACTTCTAGAAGAAACCCATCCCGCGTATTATATTTCAAAGCTCCTTTATCCAAGCGGGCTGTTACGGTAACCCTTTGCATAGTGGACCATCATCTAACTCCAAGTCTCAAATAACCACAAATATCCACTCTAGGATGGAACGTACCATGAAGCATTTTAGCCATCTATGATAGTTGTTAAGCTTTCATGCGCGACGATCATAGGAAATTAATTCGGCACGATCGGTAATGAGCCTCCAATGATACTTCTCCCAACCGAGAGATAAGGAGCTAGGAATTAAGGATGCTCGAAACTATGGGGATTCTCACCGTTCAAATATGAAAGACATACATACAAAAGCTCAGAATCCACATCTTGTCCACTAGGGAGTGCCGGCTCCCTGGCCCTTTTCTCCGACATCTCACCGAAAATAGGGGGCTGTTTTTTTCGTTGAGGTGCTACGTCGTCGGACCTTAAGAAATTGCCTACACGGCATTGCGTATCTCCCTATGATAGAGATTTTTAATAGAAACGTCGGCAGATACCTACAGGCGTAACTTTCACAAAGTTAAATATTTTTGATAGGGATACAAACGCACCGATCACTTACATAGTCGCGAGAGCCTTCAGGTTTCAGGAGACTAATGAGGTTATGGAGATTGCGGTGTACGGGTATAGGTCCAATTTTCGATGTGCTGGTGATTTGTTGAATGCTTAATACAACAAAGAGAATTCTTAAAAGAAAATTATGTATGTGTCACCTCATCCCAATTTATTGTCTCTCTGATCTGCAGCTCCGGGGATGACTCGGTATTCCACCTTTCCCCGTTCATACCGAGCTCCGGTGGAGGGTCTCCGCAAACTCTTGCCGGTGGGGAGCCGCCGAGTCTACTGTCGTATGACCGTGACCGGATTCCCTCCAACATCCCCGAGTAGCCCGGCGCCTTATATCTAGGCCCATTTGCTAAAGAAATGGCGGCACAAAGGCATTTCCTTTGAGTGATGACTAAAGTCCACCTTGGCTATAGCTTGTGGCAATTCTGACAGGTGCTTCTATGTCAGTTCTCACAATGTCACCACCGATGCTCGCGCCGAAAACGACTCTGCCAGACAGCTAAGACAAATTCCTATACGTCATAGGGATCAATGCTGCAGGCCCCGCCTCCCCGAGTTGAGGGTCTCGTGCTGGCCGCATTCGTCCGGAGACAAGCGACAGGAGTCATAATGGTGTGAATTCTAATTAGAAAAGGGGTTCCACGCTGTTCTATGTCTGGATCGTCTAATCCCCGAAGAACTCGACGTCGCGATGACAGTTTTGGACGCCACATATACGAAAAATTTAGCAATGTGATTCGCCTTCGCGGAAATATTTCCCTTCGTCCTGCAAGGAGTATATCTGAGGTCTAGACGGTCCATACGTAGCCAACCAACATGTGGCGTGATTCCGTAAACATGCATTTAGTTGAAAGACATTATGCGGGTTGCCGGTTTGGGGCATCCGTTTATAATTAATTATTATTTACTACGGATTTTATATACGTTGGGAAAACCATAGATGTGTGTAATATCCCACCTCCCAACGCCACTTTCCAATCAAGCTAAGCCCTTGGAAATATGTGTATGGTTGGATCGGGCAAGAGGGAGGATTTCACATGAAGTGTTGCGGGGACCCCAGAAGCCTAGGCCAAGGATCCCAGATCCTGGGGTTGGAAATGAAGACATGAGCTCGACTAGATCACTATTGGATCTAGTCGCGAAAACAAGTCGTCATGCGTTGCGGAGTAAACTAACCTTAGCTGGTTACTCTGGATTATCTCGCGAATTCTGCGCCCTGAAAGAGGACACTAGAGTAAGAGAATAATCGTGAGATTCCTAGATATTCCGGAGGTAAGGAGGTTGTATTCTGGATTAAAGGGAATGACGAGGAGAAAATGGTGATGAGAAGCTATTGATATGTACTCAAATGAAGCACAAGCAATTGTGAAGATCATCAACCCAACCAAGAACGAGTTAGCCAAACAGGATATCCAGCAGTCGTTATCTATACATACCTGTAGTATAATATGTCTTATACTCGAGATCCTCTCCACCCTTGAAAAACACATAACAAGGATCGGCTCAACTGGACCCGAAATAGTGGAATTGACGTTGATGCCCAAACTAAATAGAAGTGCAATTGTGATAATTCGAAGGCGGGCAGGACGGGTTGTGGTGAGCAGGAAATATAAAACAAAAGGCCAGGTCCGGGCGGTCGATACTAATACCGTCCTATAAAACACCGGTGTCGTCCCTCCGTGTAACTAGGCCGGTGAAGTCGTCAAGCAGTGTGGCTGTCGGTCGTTGAGATCCTACGGTCCAGCCCCGGGTCTTCGATGTTGGTATCGGACGCCCGGAATTAGATCGCGATCCACTGCGTAGCTATACATGTTCGCATGTGTCGGACCAGCACTACAGCGAAGAATATCATGAGATCATGCCGTCAACAAGATATCCCGAACCACAACGGCGACGTGTCTGGGGGAGCTAACGCGATGAAAGAATAGCGTCTAAGCGCCTTTGCTGCTTTGGTCCGTTAAACGAGAAGATAGAAGCGGAGCCGGCGTGGGGCTGAGTAAGAGGGGCTGGAGGGGGTGGAGATCTTCCGGAAGACCTAGTCCTATAATGTACACAGATACATCGACATGTGGGATGTGTGGGAAGGGGAAGTCGGGAAGGGGCATCTGCACTTTAATGTCAAACTGTTACAGGGTTACGTAATGTGAGGCTAATGGTGAACGAAATGTGTATGGATTGGTACGTACAGATGTATCATTGCATTGCGAATTGATGTCCACGGTGGGTCATCAGACTTTCAGCTTATTGGGGATGATAATTGACCCGCTCGCAACTTCATTTTTTGCCGACCTTTTTGAATCGAAGGTAGTAGGTACGGAAAGAGTCAAGCTCAAATATCCCATTCAAGGTACGAAGTTACCTACAAAGAAGGTACTGGACCTTCCGCGACTGCTGTGACACCAGGCCTGCACCTGCACGCCACAAATCCTGAGATAGATCGTGACCTTAAAAAATTTCAATTGCTGATAACGGGCTACGTCACATTCCTACTACTCACAACTTACCATTGTCCATTTACTACTTTACCTGCCCATATTGCAGAGTAATTCATGATTCGCAATTCGCGATACCATTGTACACACTGACGACGACGTCCTAATCTAAAAGAGAATTTGCATAATGTCGACCTCCAATGCCGTTAATCAGATTTCTAACCTGGCCTCCGAACACGGTCCTACCTTTATTTGGATATTTCAGATATTTCTACTAATTCGACCGGTTTCTCCCGCTAGTCCAGTTCGAAAGACAAGATCCATCCTTTGTTGATGGCAGACGCCAGCTTTTTCTAATGACTAAAATCTCATAGGATACGAGGGTCCACTTGATTTAGGATGGGTGCGCGTGCGGCGTCGCTGATGGCCAAGCTAAAGGGCTAAGGAATCCAGAATCCAGACGAATAGAGGAATTCATAATCCGATTTCTCCTGTATGTGGTGTAGGTAGGTACGTATGTAGGATGTACGTACCTACATCGTAAATATATACGTCCCACACACCTACACCTTCGATTCGACGGTGACGAGACGAGCACCGACGAATACCCCTGACTTTCCAGGCTAGGTAAGACTGGCTTGTTATCCCGGTTATTGCCGCGAATCGCTGCAAATGTTTCTATCGTTCAGACAGGTCAGAGTATTCGAAATGACACCCATCCGTTTGCGGCTTTGCATTTCTGCAATCTGCATCCTGCAAACTATGAACTGCATGTGGACACTGGATTTACTTAATCCATGTCTCCCACGATGAGCGGTCTTATATCGGATATTTCTGTCCCATATCTTTCGGTGGGCCGGACGAACGGCCACCAAGCACAAAGCGTATCTGTTTCCTTCTATGTCATACATGTCCGAGCGTCCATTTTGATGTCAGGAACGCCTCTTCTAGACCCCAATTGAAGCCAACATCGCCTCTTTCGTGAAGAAAGAGGTACCCCAACATCACGCTCGTGTATGTTGTTCTCTTGCAAGCGTTGGAGAATCTAAGACACGTTAAGACCCGGCCCAATGGCATTGCTAAACGGTCTAACTCTCTTCCCATTGTCCCTAGGCCAACAGGTACTATGTACGGTACCTACCAGACCTTGATGGACATCGGTACGTAGAGTACCTCCCTCACCATCTACCTACACCACCTGCCGTCTATATGACTCGAGATCGTGGCCGGCTAAACCTCCTAGGGTATAGAAAAGTCGGCAGCGTGATGCAATCAAAACTGAAGAAGACCGGCGAGCTGGGACTACAGTAGTATGTCTTATAGTGTGTCTTGGTGATTGGCTACTCCACAGATTTCAAGCGAACGTTAGACGCCAATGCTGACTTGGACGTGGAGACTTTCTACGATCGTGATCCTAGGAATCCTGGAAGGCCAAGGCTGGGGTTAGACGGAAAAGAATCGGAAACGAACCTCGAACTCTCCCCAGATTTTAGACGGCAACGGGCAACATTTCCATAGTTGGTTAAGTATTGCTGTGTCGCTGTGGACACTTTGGGTTATGTACATACGTACGTAGTATGAGGAGTATGAGGAGGTAGGTATGAGGTAGGTATTATTACATATTATTCGTTTTTCTTAATCGACGAATCACATCCCTCCGTTCGAACCAAGTCTCTTGCTATTTAAGAGGATTATCAAGTCACAAGGATGACGAGGCTACAGGCCTTAACCCATTGCTTCAAGTGTGGGCATGTGAGAACTCCGTTTTAGTCGTTCTAACGTTAGTCTCACGAAATCTGTTCCTTGTCGAGGCCAATAGCATAAGACGCACGCGAACACTTATTATGGGGACGACAAAAAGCTAGGTTTTCACAAGGATCCTATGCAGGTTATTAGCATCCCGAATTACGGTTGTGAGCCCCATCGGGAATCTGGTGGACCGGCAGCTTTTCCTAGAGAGGTACTATGGTATTCAATTTATGGCCGCTTAGTAGCTCAAGTAGCAACAATGGAATTATACATAATACCATTGCCTCCCCCACCATATCCACCTCCACACACAAATCCCGTCCTATCCACCCCTTCCGTCTTCTTTCATCGTAGTTCATACTTTTCCAAACCTTCTCATGCTGTCACGAATCTCAAAGTCACGACCTAAAGTTGTTGTTCGGTGTGGAAGTCAGAAGCGGGAGAGAAAGTTCTCCCGCTTAGTCTCGTCGCCGCAAACATCGACGGCAAGACATAACTTACAGCTAGCGTCTTCTCGTGACTTATACTTACACATTCCAAGGGACGCCTTCATATCTCAACCTACTACACCGAAACTCCCTTGAAGACATTTCGGATATTCTGGATAGCTTCAATCTTCCAAAGGATACTTTTAACTTTTATTCCTTTTTAACTTCCGTCAACAAAAAGTTAGGGACTTGGGAATAGCTATACGAAGATGGCTGCAGATGAAATTCTTGCAGTCCGTTCGCCCGAGGGACACACTGACGATTCGGCTACCGCGATGGATCCTCCTTCTCCGAGATCAGAGCAGAAAACAAGTTCGTCGGACTCAAATAACCAATCTAAGAAGCGGTCTGCTTCTACTACAGAACCCAATGGCTCGACGAAGGTCACAAAGCGGAGGGCGGCGAGGGCCTGCATAAGCTGCAGGAGCCGAAAAGTAAGGTGTGATGTTGTCGAGGGTGCACCTTGTGGGAATTGCAGATGGGACAACGTGGAATGCATTGTGCAGGAAAGCCGTCGAAGGAGGTAAGTTTGGATTTCCCAACTTTTCTCTCGCCCGTTTTACCAATTCTCATGTGTTGTAATTGATTTTCTTGCCATTGTTGATCTGTAATGCGATCCAATTGCGTCACGTTTCATTGGGCGTCTTGGGCTTCTTTCCTCATTCAGCTTTCTAAAGCTCCAAATCTCCAACCACAATTTTTGGTCTCTTTTTTTGGCTTATTTTTTTTGAATTGCGGCTAACTAACACCCCCTGTCATTTCCGTGCGGAACAGAAAGAATCTCTTCAATTCGAATTCATCTGCCTCTCAAAATACAACTGCCCCGCAAACTGCCGAGGCACAATTGAGAGCGAAACCCGCAAATCCTATTGCCATCGCCTCTGCTGCACAGCCGTTACGACGCGCTAGCGAGGCAACTCAGTCTTCAGCTGCTAGCAATGATGTAACTAGCTCAGGGGCGGCAATCTTGGATGGCGGCTTAGAAAGTCACGTTCCTCATTTGCTATGTAAGTCAAGGTGGTGGGACCCCACGAAATTTCACATGCAAATGTGTCATCCCGTCAGCGTGGTGTCAACCCTTGTAGGACATTATGGGGGACATCGTTAGACATCTCCGGGGTTGATCATGAGGGCTTACATGTGCTTCAGATCAACGATCAGGCTTACGTCCTGATCCGGTATTGCTATCCACTCTCCAGGCCGGCAGCAATAGGTCGAGGTATCCCAGTATCTGGCCGAACCCGAACACATGTCAGAACTCAAGCTCGGTTGCCGCTACGGGCGCTTTGAGGACCGCCCAATTCCTCAACTCGCTCGAGGAGCCCGATGCTTCTTCGCAACTGCCTGCCTTCATCCGACCACTCCCGTCCAAGATAGCCCCTGAAGATGTGACGTACCTTCACACCAAGGGCGCGCTTTCGTTGCCTGGGCCTAATCTCCAGAATGCCCTACTCACCGCTTACGTCGAGTATGTTCATCCTTACATGCCTCTCATCGAGCTGCATGATTTCCTCGGCATGATCAATGCTCGAGATGGGCTGTACGGACAGGCTAGCTTGTTCCTGTACCAATCCATTATGTTTGCGGCCACTGCCTTCGTCGACGTGAAGTACCTCAAGGAGGCTGGCTATGCCAGTAGGAAAGCCGCCCGAAGGGAGTTCTTCTCTAAGGCTAGGGTAAGCTGTTCACCCTATGACATTTGACATATCTGTATTGACAAAGATAGCTTCTGTACGATTTTGATTACGAGAGCGACCGCCTCATCCTCGTACAAGGACTTCTACTCATGACTTATTGGTATGAGACGCCGGACGACCAGAAGGACACGTGGCACTGGATGGGAGTCGCCATCTCGCTGGCGCACACTATCGGCCTTCACCGCAATCCGGCCAACACTAACATGACGCCGCGGAAACAGAAGTTGTGGAAGAGGATATGGTGGTCGTGCTTCATGCGGGATCGCCTAATCGCCCTTGGCATGCGACGACCAACGCGAATAAAGGATGAGGATTTTGACGTACCGATGCTGGACGAACACGATTTCGAGATCGAGCCGCTCGCCGACGAAATCCAAATTATCGGCCCTGAATGCACATTGATGCGCGACGTTTTGATGCAGCAGGAACTCGCTTTGATGTGCGTCGCGAAAGCAAAGCTTTGTCTCTGCATCAGCCGCATGTTGAAAGCTCAGTACTCGGTCTTGATCAGAGATAAGTCGAGGGCAGAGAACACTACTAACAGTACCATGATGCTGTTCCCTAACAAGCAGCTTGATAACGTAGAAAGCGTCAATTCGTGCGACTTGGAACTCCTATCGTGGTCGCAATCGCTTCCGGCCTGCTGTCAGTACAGGCCGCTGTCGGCAATGGATCTTAAGGGTGGTCGCGCGACAATTGCGGTGCAACGGAACCTCTTGCATATGGTGTATTACACGACCATATCCGCTCTTCACCGACCCCAGTTCCTCCCGTCATCGCCGACACACGCGCCTCAGACGTCAGTGCAGGTTCAGGAAATGTCCCGCACAAGGGTCCGTGAGGCGGCATCACAGATCACGCGCATGGTAGCCGAATTGCATGCCTTGCGATTGGAGAAGTACCTCCCGACTACCGGTGTGACCGTGATCCTCCCCGCCATGATCATCCACCTGCTTGAGATGAAGAACCCACTACCCCAACCCCGCGAGATCGCCATGCGCAGCTTCAAGCAATGCATGAAAGTGATGGAGAAGCTGCGCGACATCTACTCCGCCGCGGACTACGCGGTCGCGTTCCTAGACGCGGCACTCCGAAAGGCCGCCATCGACCTGCAGGCGGCGCAGAACCAGGCCTTCAATCAGACCGGCGTCCTGAACAACGTCAAGACGTCGCTGCCCCAATTCACCGCATCCGCGGCCGCGGTCGAGAATATGGCGACGCCGCCGCCGGAGAATGCGCCGTACGCGACGACCCAGGAGACGAGCCTGTTCTCGAAATCGGCGCAGCAGTTCATGACGCCCGCCGCCGAGCTCGTCACGACTACGGTCCACTCCCCGCCGCACACGGAGAAGGATGTGCTTACACCCAGCGCGAGCGGGTCCTCCGACGGACACGCTGGCCCAATGGACTTGGATATGGACTTCGATACCCTCGACAACCACGACGAGTTCGATTGGAACGCACTCACGGGCACGAACATCGACTTCGACCAGTGGCTGCAGTTCCCCGGCGAGAACAGCAAGGGTGCATGTACAGGGGCAAATGGCGGAGGAGCGGGTGCTGGCACTGGCTTGGTGACGATGAGCGAGATCGATGGGTCGGCGAATTTCAATATCGGTTTGCTGGACGGGGCTGGGCGGGGAGTTTTGTCCTAAGGCATGAAACTTATACTTATGCCAATGCTTATGAACGAGATGGTATTTATGAGGATTTTTACCTTCGCTTATGACCAGGGTTTCTTGGATAGGGGTTTAAACGGTGTTGGAGGTTTCATCATCGCCTTGGATTCATAGATATTGGGCGTATTCTGGGTCTTTCTCTTCCCTTTTCCTTTCCAATTCGTGGGTTTGAGGTGTTGGGTGCGTGGTTAAAAAGTTTTACTTATTTAATTCATGGGGTGGGTTTATGATTTCGTTCTTTTTTCTGTTTTCTATACCCCGTTACGAGTATGGAATTAGGGGATGAGTTGGGTAGTCGGCTTTGATTTGATATAGACGTTGGATAGGTGTGTGGGGACAGGACGAAGATATATATTGGCTACTATAGTTGAATAAGTATATCGAGGTGTTTTTTTTTACGACGTGCTTGTCTTGCTTTTTGACTCGGGCCCGGTTTGGGTGTGAAGTGACATTCGTAATTGGCCCAGCAGCTCAGGAATCCCGATGTCCATGTGATATTGGCATTACCCCAATTGATAGACCCGGCGCCCGTGCGCGGAAAAGCATGGCTTGTCTTAAATAGAGCCTCGTGGCGGAAGAGGCTCTTATTTAGATTGGACCAAACTTCGACCGGCCGCCGAGTGCCGCTTGGATAGATTAGGAGTTTCTTTTTGTAATCCCATCGCTTTCTTACCTCTTACTCAGGGCCTTAGCATGTATACAAATTATGTAGCAGAATAAACCGAATGTTATGAAATATATGGCAATATAGAAGATATCAAGTCTTAAAAGATATAGGCTATTATTAATTTGTAAAGACAGAGTTGTTGGTTATGTTTAGTTATTAGAAGCTATCCATGGGTGAAGCTGGAAGTTGGAAAGCTCATATAGAGGCTGAGGTCTAGAGTGAACAGGGGGCCCCGGTTTAACAAACGAATTAAATTGGATTGGATCGCTGCTACGACCTTTAATAAGTTTAATTGGGAAGTACTAAGCGCGGGTTGCTACTGGTTGCTATGGCGGCTCGCTAACACCTAATTAAGGTTGCTGATGACCTGCTTGTGGAGGCAGGATCCTCCTTGTGCAGCCGCTCTGCGCTTCTGCGGGCAAACAGCCAAGATTACCGGGCTAGTACCGGATAGTGGTTTCTCATGAAACTCGTCCATTAGGTACCTACCTAGGTATCGTGTTGTTGTCATCCACGGCTCGTCACTTCTATTTTCGTATTCATCTTTTATTCATCTTTTAACTTCCCCACGGCAGCATTAGATAGACACTACTTTCATTCTTTTCTCCTTTTGTCCCTTTCTATTCGGCTGCGGCCGCGCTCTTCTTCTATGAATCGGTTGCCTGCACTTTAATTTGTTACTTTCATAATTGCTTGTTTTTTTTCATTGTTCTCCAAAAGCCTATGTACGCTGTGTACGTTACTTGCTAACCTGTCGCTCTTTGATAAAAATAAACGGAAAAGGGAACACTCAGCGCAATACACGTCGCGCATATCATTATCCACACTGTCACACACGTCACCAAGACTGATCAGCCAAACACTAGATTGATCTCTATCCACCTATATCCACCTTCGCTATTTTCCAAGGTTCCCAGGTTCCCGACTGCTGCAGGTAACCGGAGAAACTGAGACCCTTCTTTGAACGACCGCCCATCTTCCAGAATCGCGACGACTTGCCGGACATCGCCCCTGCTTTGTCTCAAGTTGGGAGGACGAGCTAGCAGGAAGGTAGCAAAGGTGTTCAGGTGTCAATTAAGGAAGAGAGAGAAAGCGCGAGGAGATGAGAGTTTCCGAACGACAAACTGCACCGTCGCCCCCAGTTATGGAGGAACGAATCTAAAATCTCCCACCTCATCTACCCGTGTCGACAGGTCATATCTGAGCTGGAAATGCCTGTTCGGAGCGTTGCACCAGAGACACATTCCCGGATACTAACCAATATAGCAATTAGCCATGGCCGACCAACAACGCGTCTTCACGCCTACCGGCTCCCGGAGCGCCGTTCGTCGATCCTATATTCGCACCAGTTCGCAATCGCCGTCGCGTCACCAACAGCGTCTAGGCGATGACCTACTTTCCCAACTTTCCCCCAATGCCGCCGTCGATGCTCTCCGATCCCCTACCGGGGCCTTGAAAGCATGCATGGACAAAGCCTCGGCCTCCGAGCAGGCCTTTGCGATGCGAACCGCGATCGCTTCGAAAAAGATACGCGACTGGCTCGAAGAGCTCTCCAGTTGGACTTGGCAGAGGGGTAACGGCTCTACCGGGTTTGAGATGCCCCCTGCTAAGAAAAGGAAGCTTTTTGAACCAGAGACGCCACCTCGTGGCGACAAGGGTAAACTGCCCGAATCCAACCCTCCCTACGATACCGACTACCTTGGCAGCTTGCGCGTTGCCGACGTGGACCGTTACGAGAAACGAGTCGAGAAGATACAGCGGGATTTGGACGAACTAGATCTAGAGGAGATTAAGAGTCAAGTTCTACACAACCATATCCTGCCCCTTTCGCGACCCAGCAGTCCAGCTTTTTCCGACAGTGGTCTCTCCACGATATCAACTTCTATGTTTGCTAAGATGGAAGATTTGACTGCGGTCGTCACCGCTATCACCATGCAAGCTTTGCCCAACCTATCTAGACTGACGAGATTTTTAAATACATGGACTATGCGGTTACTTGTCCTGCGAAAAATCCCGTCTCTGATGACCATGATGGCGGATGCGGAGGTTGCGTTACGTTCTGGTTGGAACGCGATCGAATCGCCAGAGTCTAGTCCTACACGAGCGACTGGACGCGATGACTCGTCTAGCCTTTCCAGAAAGGAATTCGATATCATAAAACGCGTCATACAGCAGAAAGTGACGAAGCCAGGCCGCGCTTTAGATTACATGCTTGACTCTCTAGAGGGGTCGATGGATACCTTGCCCGATGCGTGGCTTGATCAGATGGAACAAATTGAGCGAGGCTATGCGATATGGGAAGCAACTGCGGAGCGCAAGGTTCTAGCGGGAGAGGGATCATCTAAGGACGTATCTATCCGAACAGAGCCGGAAACCCCACGACCAAAGATTCATGTCGAAGGTCCGAGCCCCACCGTATATTCGCCAGTGCCATCTGACTTTGACCAATTTGCCTCACCGACACCAGACCCGAAGTCTGCTGAAGATATGGAAAATAGCCCTGAGCTCCCGAAAGAAAGACCTGCCGCGTCTTCCAAACCCACTGCGGTGAAGTTCTTGGTTAACCAACCGAGGAAGGATATCCAGGGGTCGACTTCGCAGGTCATCGATTTAAGCACGGTTGCTGCGCAGCAACGTGAGGTTAACTCAGGCGCTAAGGTTGAAGACCCGAGCCTCAGCTATGATGGTGCTAGTAAGAAACGACCTGTGGCTGTCAAAAAGGCAACTCCCAAATCAATTAGCGTAATGCCGGATTTTCCGCGTTTATCTCGGCCGTCTAAGCAATCCCGTGGTCAGACGCACGATAGACCAGAGAACAGGCAAGCATCCGAAAACCCACGTACCAGTCCTGTTCTAGGCGAAGTCGACCGGAATATCATCCGCAGTCCTCCCCCGGAACTTAAGAAATCGGAGGTAACTGTTGAGAGGGAGCCTGTTTTTGCTGATGAGCTCGAATCTTCGGTGTTGGAGCCTTCGGTGCTTGAGCCCGTGGACGAAGAGGGAGAAGGAGAAGAGCTCGAATTGCCTCCTGCCCGCTTCGTTAACCATAAGACCAGCAACCAATCTATTGCCTCTACTGTTATACATGGCACTTCTAACAACTTCGGTAATTCAGACAACGCGCTATTTAGAGAGGGGTCTATGGAGCCAGATCTGCCGCGTTTGGCGGATCCTGACGAGCCGTTTTCAAGCGACAATATCAGCCCACCTAGCTCACCGCCTTTACGGTACAAGACTCGATCTACGTCAGTTACGTTCAAAGATGTTCCCGAGATAGCTTCGTTGCCAGAGCTAGGCAGCAGTCCACCTCGGAGCCCGCTTGAGGCCCCCTCGGTCTTCGATGCCGATGCTTCGTTCGAGGATGAAAGTCAGGCCGGTAGCCCAGGCCGCATGAGTACGATCAGTTCTATCAGCGAAGACGAGCACCTCCATCAGCAAATCAGCGATATCCTCGAGTCTATTCCGGCTAAGATCCGAATCAAGAGGACACCTGCTGTTAACCTGAATCCACCAGACCTTCAGCTCCCCGCCCGACCTAAGTCCAGGGCCTCGGACTTTGCGCGTCGGAGCAACTCCAGTTTATCTGCGCGCTCTGGCACTTCGTTCTCTCGCAGTGGAACTCCCTCCTTCATGTTAGCACCAGCGAGAGATCCACGCGCGAAAACGAAGAGCAGTCAAGGCATTAGAGTCTACCATTTATCACGTTCTACAGGCGAGCCTCCGCTGAAACTGCTTATCCGCTGCGTTGGAGAAAAAGGCGAGAGAGTTATGGTTCGGATTGGCGGTGGATGGGCTGACTTAGGCGAATACCTGCGAGAGTACGCGGTACATCATAGCTCGCGTTCTAAAGGCGAAGGGAAGGTGGATATTAGAGATCTACCGACTGTTCCAAGTGGCTTAGGATCAAGCCCGTCTAGTCGACCTGGCTCGGCGATGGAATCTCCTAATACTCCCACCCCCCTTTTAGTCCGGAAAACTAGGAAGAGTCTGGGCGAGGAAGGGGCTCCAAGGCCTCCAAAGACACCGTTTCCTACTGAGCACGGGGCTGACTCACCATCTTCTCAGACATCGGCTAGGTCACGTTCGTCGTCGCATGTAGATTGGGACGAGGAAGACAGCTCTCTCGGGCTAGCCGGGCCGAAGGGAAGGAAGGTAGACATGAGTGACGAGAGCCGGGCTTGGGTAGAGAGCGTGAAGGAGAAAGTCCGGATAGCTAGCGGCGATCGGATACCTCCTCCGGAACAACGACTTGACACGAAGTTCGGCGAGATGGGAAAAGTCGGCGGTACGAAACGGCTCTTTAAGAGGAATTAGGAACATCTTTACGGCCCGTAACGACCGATTTTTGATCTCGAAAAAGGCTGCGTTGGGGAGTCCACGGGCTGGTTTTTGGATCGTCGGGGGAAAGGGGAAAGAGGAGTATCCCATTTGAGAGAAACCCGGAAAAGGGGTAGGGTTCGGATTGGTAGCATACCAGGCCCGGTGTTCAATGGCTTTTACTTATGGCAGGTGGTTACCTGCATTTTAGGTCTCGCCCTTTTGACACACTCGCACCCACACACATACCTACACATACACATACGCATACACACCTACCCACGCACCCTTTTTTACTTTTCTTGTCTTTTGAGCATCGTTCTCTACCACCAATACCCGCTTTGGTTACAGAAGCAGGGCTCCGGCACTCAAGATGGGAGCCAGGGCGTCCTTACTACTTTACATACAATATGATAAGGCATTTAAACAATTACGTGGTCTTGACTTATTTGTTGATTTGCGTGATTAGTAGCTCGAGACCCCCTTTTGCTTTTCCTTGAGGTAAGCGTAGTCGTCAACTGCTCAGGATCACTGAAGGCCTAGAAGTAGCACAGCTAGGTACCTAGGTAAGTATACTAGCCAGGTTTTATTGCCTATCAGTATTAGTAGCCTTCCGATCTCCCCTTCGTTTCGAATAGATCATGCTTCGATCGCGTTAGACAGCCCCAGATAATAGACGACGCGTCACGAATAGCAGATGATGAACCGATCGTGTCGGGCGGGCAAGTAGCATGATGGGCGTTTGCTTAGTGTCATCGTCATCCCTGAATGCCTCAGTGTCATGATAAGGGGTATTCCTGATTAATGGCGTATAACGCGAGCTATCTGATAAAGGGGAAGTGTATTAGCAAGGTAATCAACACTGTAAGTGTAGCTTCCCACCTAAATTCTTCGATGCTATCTGCACTGTCAACCGGCCAGTCAGGTGGTCAGTTCACCAGGCAGCAACCGATATGAAGGTTAGATAGCACAGTAGAGTCACTGATTTCCATCGGCGGCACCAAATCCGCGGCCTGAACATACAGAATGGTCAAGTGGATGTGTCACAGACACCCCATCGTTCCTGCTCTAACGACCCCCCTGCAATGGGGAGGTCTAGGGTTCGATTCTCGGGAGTTGCAAGTGCAATCTTGGGATCTTGAAAAAGAGAGGCAAAGAAATACCCAATAGCGGGGGCGCAGTAGCTAGGAGCCGATCAACAGATCCTAGGCCGGGCCTCTTAACGTTCATATTTCATCTTATTTTTTTTTCTTTTTTTTCTTTTTTTCTCCTTATTTCCCGTGTCGCTACGTAATCCATAAATGCATTCCTTTTTTATAGGAATATCTCACCGTTCAACATGAGTGGGTGTGTACATCGCATGTCGTAATAACATAGGGGGTGGCTTCCTACTTGATATGCACTTAAAACCGCATCCGTGGTAGGGAAGTAGCTACCTAGGTAGGTACCTATATTAGATATAGTCATCTAGTAAGATATATATGGTTAAACTTGCAATTATAAGTATCCTAAGAGCCTTGATGACCTGCTTAAATGAAAGAATTAGGAACCACATGCAATAGTTAAGAACAACATCTTGCCTCCTTAAGCCTTAATCAAACTTACAGGCCTCATCCCAACGTTTTCGTCTTTACAACTCATCTATCTCATCGTACGATGACAGGTCTAGACCTAGATCGATACAACCGCCTATATCCACACCCGTGTCGGGCACTGCTATACGTATAGGGCATCGGCCTTGCGTGTAGATTGAAAGCCCGTCTGTAACGGACCGTGCCGTTGCCCCAGCAAGCTCGGGGTTGAATGTCGTCCTACAATAGCCTGCCACGCGTTCGGCATCCGGTCGATGGTAACCGAATTAACGGGGTCCGTTTCCTGACTACGGGTCCTTCGTAACGTGTTCTCGTTTTAACTTACCCCTCGGGCGATTGATAGCTTACCCGTAAAGATTATTCTCATCGCGATGCTACTAAGTTGGACAGGTGCAGATGCTATCATCGGGCTCGGCTTACGCATACAATATCTATGGGGATTCGATCTAGACGAAGAGTTATTAGGTGAATGTTACTACACGGATCCGGTTTGTTGCTGCCGATCTGCGGTGGACGCTGTCTTCCCCGCGATCTTTGCTGACGGTCTCTTTAAGTTTACAATCTCTCGGGCTACATCATCATCGACGCTTAAAAGCCGTTGCTCTTGTCTGTGCATCCACACTCATTCTCATACACTAGGCCGGTGCTACTGTCTAGACAAGGACAATTCATCACTTCTTTACCCCCAAGATCTACTACTTTCGGGAGCTGATCGTGATCGAACTCGTATTGTATTGTCCTTGGCTGTAGGTTGCGACAGATTCCTTGCCATGAATAACAGCCGACTCCTTTGGACGTATCAGTACCCATCTAACTCGGTATACGGCCGTGACTCCGCACATGCTGGTATCTAGCATTAGCGGGAGCTCCTCTGCAACATAGGGTCCAGAAATGTATGGCTCTTCCTTGTGTAGAGGACAACCTAGCCTCCTATCATTTATACCATGGACCGAAACCACGGCCGTCGTGATAGTCGGGTTGTTTCTGATGAAGATGATTTATACTAACATTTTTGTTATCTAACAGATCATAAGAGAGCACAACATTACCTTAGTGCTGAGCTGTCCTATCTAGCCAAGGAAGGCTACGGAATAGTAACCAGACCCAATAGTATGTCCTCTACCGTATAGTTCAATTAGGAGTGAGACTCATGTTTCTCTACCGTAGTGTCCATGTCAACGACGGGAGCGCTTAAACCGGTCATGTTTGCCACCACAAGACTTTACGTGGTGATTTCCTCGCGTGCCTGCTTCCCTGCAACACTAGCAACTTGACAATGTAGGACAACACTAGGCAAGAGCCTATTTCTCATCAAATGGCGCTTCGATGCCCTAGCAGTCGTCTGTCGTCTTTACAAGGTTGACGCGTAATGTACTAAGTCTACGCGACGTTGTACAACAATATCCTCTATCGCTCATCTCCTGATCCTTCACTGCTTCAAGTTTGACTCATGCGTACAGTTAGGGCCTTATGCTGCTGAATGGAACCTCTCGTGTTGTTCCACATTGCCATCGAGAGTTTCAACGGGCTCACGGCATCTATCAGCAAACTACGCTTATTGTTGCCTCCTCGCAGTGTTCTCTTGTGAGACTAGCAACAAACGAGGGGCTCACCCAATAACAGCTTTTTATGTTGACCGGATCGGTTATTCGAGTCCCTGAACGGGTAATAGATGGAACCTGTATCGAATCTACACCGAGGAACGAGGCGTAAAATTCGAAGCACAACCGTACTTGTATCAGCTAACGCTCCGTTGATCTTTGCATTGATCCTCAGGGGAAAGACGACAATCCAGCTTCAGGGTCCAATGATTCTTTGGTGGTCATCTTAGATTAGCCACCATCAGTGGCCGGCCCGGTTGACGCGGTCCTAAGTTAATCGGAGCTGTATGACTAGATCTACAGCCTCACACGTACGATAGAGAGGGTGGCGCCATTCCATGAAGGCATGCCATGGCCAAAACTTTCGATCAACTCACTTGGTTTCCTTTCTAAGGGTTCAAGAATAAGAGGTGTGGCAACCATGACCCTCATGGCGTGAAGTACGGCTTTATTTGAAGCATATGAGAGGTCCCAGCGCAGCGGAATCTCGATATCGTGATATTTAGCTGCATGCGTCGGAATATGCGTCGCGGCGAATAGTATGTCCTAGCTACTATTTTATGTCACCCTGATAATTGTGAGAGCTACATCCGAGGCTCTCTAGCTCTAAAAAAAAAGCTGTGGTGAAACTTTGGGTAGCGACAGGGCGCTGCCTCGCGCTTCTGTAGCAAGAAGTCGTCGCATAAGGTGTGACGTCGGAGTATTGGCTGCATGGTAACCCGCAGGGACCCTCTACTACGTGGTAGCAGGGTGAGAGACATCTAAGAAATGCGAAAAGCTGGAGACACATTCACAACTTTCAACCCAAAAGTTTCCTTCAACAGTATGCGTGACAGGTATTGGGATATGATCAAGTATGTCATGTTCCATTCTCCTACAATTAAACTTGATTTCGCGTCCAGTCTGCAAGTCGCCTTACTCGGTAATGATGCTCATTCAACTTGTTTTTTAGTTTGTCACCGCCGCTTTACGTACACGGAGGGTGCTGTCAGTTTCATGATGAATGTGGGGAATTACATTTCTCTCATGCGAGGTTCCATGACCAGGTAAAGTCCAGTCATCATTCAAACAACAAAACTCGTAACCGAGGCTCGAAAGCAACCGTCGTCTGGTATCTTGCTGACCACTCATTTCGTTAGGGTGATACCCTCTACTGGAGACGAGAAGTGCAGCGTCACGTACCAAGACGACAACGCAATTTGATATTCTTTCAAAGTACAAGCCATGACAGAAAACAGGCAATGCTGGTCAACCTCGATCATGTTCTGCCCGTCTAAGGTGTACAGACAGGCGACGAGGTAACAAGCGGAGATTATTAGTTCTCTCGGGCGATAGCATATGGACGAACTGTCGCCTCTTTCCCACGAGTTCGTATGCGTACACGGTCGACGCCCGAACTAAGAGTCGGTAGATATGCAAAGCACACCTTGCAAACAGATCAAGGTGTGTACCCGGGCGAGAAGGGTCTTATTATTCTGAAGGTGTATATGCATAACAGAGTGTTATGCGTGTATGCAGTACGACGTACGACATACGGTACGTGGGAAGATGGAACATGGGAATGGAACCTTCATGTATCCAAGGCTAAAGCCAAGCCAATATGGATCTGCTCCATCTCTGCGGAGTAAGTGTTCCCAGCCAGCCAGTCCATACCAGTCCCAGCTTACGGACGCTACCTGGTTAGGATTAGTGAGGGGCAAAGACGAACAGTTCCAACCGGTTCATCTAAATCTAAGCTGAGCCAGAATCCAGATACATGGGTGGCTGCAACGTCTCGACGACGGGTTGGAAAAGAACCCCTGGTTTGTGGTTTGCACCCCCCCGCTCCCTATTCCATTCGCGCAACTGCATACGAGGTGCAGTAACAAGGCTATCGAGGGAACGCGGCGAATATAGGCCACGGCACTTGGATATTATTTTCGTACATCAGCTAGACCGTCTTGGTTAGTGCCACAACAGCTAAGGGGAAGAAAAAAGAAATGTTGAAGGAGAGAATAGCGTGGGAACGGCAAGGTCCGAAGCCACTGACCCTGAGGCGCTTTTGGGGGTCATCCTTTTTAAGACACACTGCCTCACTGGGTCACTTGACGTCTTTAAACCGCTCTAAAGCCAACACTCTCCAGGATTCTGCTTCGATGATTCAAGTATCATCTTTATTCTTTTCTCCCGTCAAATTTCAAATTAATCACGAAGAGTCTATCGCCGACTCCCGCAGTCGGCAATTGACACAGTACATAAGCTTCCCAACGCTTGCGAGCTATCATTTGCAGCAGTTAATTTCCCGTAACTTGTTTCTGACCTGCTTGTCATCCTGCAACTCTCCAAAATAGAGCTAAGCCCGGATCGGCGAAATCTCCTCGGGGCTGGTGAAGTAGGCTGGAGAAGCAGGCTGTTTAGATTACATATCTACCGCACTTCTCCTGCTCGTCAGCGGATCCTCCTTGCCATGTCCTATGTCCTAGGAGCAGGCTTCCAATAAAGACCGTCGAATTTCGCCAACATGGTTGATGTCGACGTCGATGCGTTTCTACGACAAGGCTATTGGCCGAATTCCAGGGCTAGGAGCCCAGATACAAGGGTGTAAGTTGATTGAGCTCAACTTGTTTAGAACCAAGCCTAGTCAAATGAATCCGTGTAGGCTGGACTTTGAGCGGCTTTGCTGAGACGTAACGAATAATGCAGTTTAACCTCGAGCACCACATCGAGTCAATCCTCCTTTGTGAATGTGACGCCGAGTCAGTTACCTCGTAACCTCGGTCGCTTGCGCAATTATCCTCCGCCTCCGTGTGTTGAGGATGAGAACGATTCACTCGCCAAAGAACACGGGTCTCCGATCTCTGCGACACCCGGCGAGGAACCGATTCATCGTGGGGATCCTGAACAGTACCCCATCTTACTTCCTGTACACGAGTACAACCCGGAGAGGCGGTTCATTTTAGTGCCGACCACATCTGATTCTTCAGACGATCATTCGCACGGTGCTAAGAAGTTACCAAAGCGACCTAAGTCTAGAGAGTTCAATCCTGAACCTGAGCCAGAGCTTACTTCTTATGAGGCGAATACGGGCCGCAAATATGAGGCGCGTGCGCATCGTGAAGAAGAGTATGAAAAGAGGCGGGATACACAACCAAATTATGAGAAGCGTCGCAGTAAACCCGAGCATCTGCCCACTATCGTCACCGATATGAAGTATAAGCCACGGTCGCCTGATGAAGTGAGAAGACCAAAGTCGGCGGGGCGTTCCGACAAGGATGGCGAAGATTACTTCTCGCCCCGCATCAGTTCTCGGCTTCAGGATGGGAAGATGTTATCGCCAGATGTAATAGAGCATTCCAGCCGGGGACGAGATCGAGCGTATTATCAGGGTGGATCAAGCCCTTACACCCACCACCGTAATCGCTCATCTCATTCAAATATCCAATATGAGAGGCAGAGCCCTCGCGAAGATAGGAGGTATAAGGACAAACCAATCAAGTCGACAAGTCCTACTCATCATAAACGACGCTCAACTGCGGATTCCCCTCAACAGACGAAAGCACCCTCAAGAGTAGATTACGAGAAACCGCGTCAATATGCCGAGCCCCGGTCTCCTCGAGCAGACCGAAATGGTTATGCGCGATCTGAGGTTGTATCCAATTCTACAGAGAAGCGGAAGTCTCCGATTCACGGAGAATATTACTACTCAAGTGACGAGGAGGTACCGCACGAGGTTCATTCCCACCGTCGACGAGAATCAGCAGTATCCAATACAAAACCTTCCCTTCAGCCTGCGCCAGAATTGAGATCAAGCGACAAGCGAAGATCTCGCGGACCCTCACCTGTTTCGTCGGCGAGGACTTCTCAAGTTTATGAGAGGGATTCACAGAGAGATTCACCATCTTCAAGTCCGCGCAGCTCTACATTCCCGAAAGATATTAAGTTCTCGCGAGGCGAGCAGCGCTCCAAGCCACCATTATCTCGTACATCCACAGCTAAGTCTTTGTTAAATTCTTCTGCTTCTGTAGCAATTCCGGCTGTTGTCGCAGCAGCCACCGCGGCGTCGATGAATTCGGGTTCCACTCCCACCGACCCCCGCAAGTCGACAACACTTCCACCACCGCCACCCAGAACACCACCAAGAACAGGGCCTGTCCCGCTAGGTCCGCGTTCTTCGGCATCATCGTTGTCGTCTAGCCCTCACCGACAACCTCGGCAACCGGTAGAAACAAGTCCATTAAGAGACATTGTCAGCACAACTCAGCCTACCACTCCTTATAGACGATATCTGGATGATGTTCAAGCTGGCGAGCTCCCCGATATGAATCGTTGTCCTCGGAAGAACCCAGTTGCAGGATATGTTGATTGGCTAACGCTTCCTCGCTGCGACAACTTTAACATTTGCCCGTCATGCTACGAAGCTACATTTTCTAACACGGAATTTGCTCACCACTTCGTTCCGGCACCGTTCCGCGCAATCGACCGACCGACCGCCTGCGACTTTGGGACTTCTCGGTACTACCATATGGCATACTTTCTAACCGGGAAGTATGGGAAGGCGGATCTAGCGCTGTTTCGAAACATCGCTAACGTTGCCGCTAAGAACCAGCCATGCACGGGGCCTAGAGAGGCTTCTCGTATCTGGTTTTCTGTCAAGGACCCTCGTTCGGGCTATCCTATCGAAAGCTTCAACGTCTGCTATACTTGCGCGAAGACTGTCGAAGTACTGCTCCCTAATCTGACCGGCTTGTTCGTCCACATGGATTCGCCTGCTGGGCTCACGAGGGGCGTCTGCGCCATGCACCAAGAGAACGAACGCAGGTTCTTGTTCTACTTCGACCTCCTGGAGGCGGCGTCCGACAAGGCCCTCATCACGAAGAGCACGCCAGACGTCCAGGCGCTAGCCGATAGGATCCGCGATTCGACGGAGGTTCCCGAGTGCGCCCGCGAGAACCCGGTCCGGAACGGCAAGTGGTACATCATGCGGTCGATCCCGCATTTTACGGTGTGCGAGGAGTGCTTCGGAGAGGTGGTCTGGCCGATGATCCAGAGCGACAATAGCTCGCTCGCGGCCACCTTCCACAAGAACCCGCAGAAACTCCCATTGGCCGCTTGCCAGCTGTACTCGGAGCGCATGCGGAGCATATTCAAGGCGGCGGTGCGACACGGCGATCTGAATTTTCTCGAGAGCAAGATTAGGGAGCGCAGGGTTAAAGAACAGGAATATCACGCGAGGATCGTGGGGCTCGATAGGAACATTTTGGGCGCGGCGTGGGTGGAGGCGGAGATCGACCGGGCTAGAAGAGAATGGCAGAGGTGGGAATAGAGACGAGGGTTTTACGATTGCATTAGATTATAAAGGCCTAAGGGTATGATATACGGATACGACTGGGTACGAAGATTACGTGCGTTTTATAGATACGGGTTTGGTAATGAACGAAACTAAAAATCAGGGTGACGAGTAATGAGATATGGATAGGTCACGCTTTGGATACGACTACGAATTATTTTTAATTCTTTCTTTTTTTGGACATGACAGAGTTTCACTATGCAGGATTTTCAACTGCATCCTTCATACCTTCGCTCAATTCAGAGGTTGTTCTTTGCCATCATATGAAGCTTAACGATTTCCGCTCAGCTGCTGCGGCCAGCCCGCCGGACAGGTTCCCGTGCAGGGAATTCCGGAGCTTTCCTGGCCTTGGATGTTGCTGCAGAGGTACTTGGGTGTGCTCGTGCCGTCCAGCGGGGTGATATCGACATTCTCGAAAGTGAAGCCGGAACACGGGCTCGAGGCGCTGCAGTGCATGGCGGCGGCGATGTTGTAGCGCGAAGTGCCGGTGACGTTGATCCAGCGGACGTCGGAGATGGGGAGGCGGCTCGAGTCGCAGCCGGTGTTGGAGTAGATGCAGGAGGTGACGTAGATGGGCTGGTTGACGTCCTCGGACCGGATGTTGGAGAAGGTGACGTTCTTGACGTGGCCGGTGCCGGCGTAGGTCTTGATCCACGCCGCGTTCGAGCTGTGCGTGCAGGTTATGTTGTCGAAGATGACGTTGTCGACGTAGTCCGCCACGTTGCTCGGGTTGCCCAGAGACCCGATCGTGGCGCAGCCCGACTCGTAGCAGTGCACGTCGTAGACTTGGATGTTGGTGCTGTTGCCTTTGACGGCTATGCAGTCCTAGATGGTTGGTTAGAGCTGGTGTTCTGTTGGTTGTTGGTGTTGCTGGTGCTTGTTGGTCTGCGTGGGGGTTTGAGTTGAGGGGCGGGGAGGAAGAATGAGAAGAAGATAGGGGTATTGAAAAAAACCTTACATCACCACATGTCACCGTCCAATTTTTTATGAATACGTCCTTCGAGTTCCAGGTGTCGGTACCATCAGTGTTCACGGTACTCCACTGGCTATTACTTGTCGAGTTCATGTCAAGGTTCGTCATGGTGATATTCTCGCTGTAGGCGACGAAGGTATCTAAATGTATGTTTCCTCATTAGCTTCAGTTCGGAGTCGCTGTTACTCACACTTCTCTAATCTTGGGGTCCACGTGAATGATTTTCTTAAATCAGACATCCGGCATCGAAATTATGTGACTGGAACTAGATTGGCAAATAAGATTGAATCACTTACGCCAGAACTGGCTCTGTCTCCATGTAATTCCGTCAATCAAAACATCCTTCGCGTGCCAGAGGGTTAAGCTAATCGGTCGTCCCATCTGATTACTCCCGCTTCTGTTCTCATCATACCACAGCTGGCCTTGGCCATCGAAGAGAGCTTTGCCGAAACCGCGGAGGCTTATGCCCTGGCCACCGATGCGCCAGGCAGTCGACCGCTGCGCGTACTCGACGCCGATGCTGCTGCGCAGCCAGTACTGGATATCAGAGGACCATCGTAGAGTTCCATGGATCTCTACGTCTACGTTCTGGAGATTTTGAAGATCCATCACTTGCCCGATGTGGAACATTCCTTCGGTGAGGATGACCTTGCCGTTCACCCCACACTGTTTGAAGGCATCCAGGATCTGCGGCGTATCGTCCGGTTCCTGTCCGTTGACGCCTTCCGTCAATGGCGTCACGGTACATGTCGAGCCTGTGACGTTGAGGGCCGCTGACGCGCTGCTGACGAGCGCCAGAATAGCAGGTAGAAGGAGCTTCATTGCTCTTGTATCCCTCATATAGTAGTCTTTTCTACGGCTATGAAGGAATCGTGTAATCGGCGTCTATTTCTTGAAAAAAAAAAAAAAAAATAGAGGGCCTGAAAGGTGTGATAGCGGGAAACAGGAATAAGAACCACGGCGTTCTATAGGAAAACGGAGAGCTTTCCCTCTTAGCAAAGACCTTGCCAGTCCGAGTATATTTCATACAACGCCACCCCTCAGTGTCGAAAATTTCCAGGTCCATAGAATCAAGTAATCCATATTACCGAGTTGATCTTCGCGAGGTCTAGGCTACCTCGGTCGAGCCATGGTGGGCGGTGGAAGGAGGAGAGGGGCAGGATGAGGTTACAGTGCAAGCGACAAGATGCCTGGGTATATGCTATGATGATACTATATTAGGGGAAAACGTGGCATTCCGCATCCTGTACGTGGACGCGCTCAAATCAATGTGCGTGGCTGAGAAGTTATATGTATGGATGTTAAGCCAGGTCAAGGAACTCGGCTAATGTGAATTGGGGGTGGAAGAAAAGGGAGATGTTGATTAAGCGGATATTAAAATCTGGGGTCTGGACTACCTAGGCATTTGAGAAAAGGGGGAGAGCTTCGAAATACGGCAAATTAATTCTATGGGGAAGTTTGGGGAAATCGGGGACGCGACGTTATCTACTTCGAGTGCATATCTGCAAAATACAGATTTCTCTCCCTTGAACTTGATCGCCATGGAGAGTGCTGCTATTGGACATAAGTGACTTCGTATGGACTATTCAGGAAAGTCATAGACTGCAACGCTGAACCCTATTGGATGGTGAAGGAACTAACTATCTCCGATTTCTCGGAATAGGGGCTTCGTTTTTAAAATGCCCAATTTGTCACTACCTATAGAAACTTAGATCGAATAGCTCGAAAATGATTATTCAACGAAATTTGAAGTAAAGCTGGCGTTTGTAACTAACTATCACTTAGACTCATTACCTCCTTGCCTCACCTATTAGAAGAGAAGGCACATGACCATGAAATGCCATGAAATTCCTTTGTGAATCGCAGGCTTAGTAAATAATACGGAATATTACCTACACAACGAGCATCATAGATCTTCTATACTAACTAGTTTTAGAGGTTACGTCGTCATGTCCTCGTGATGCAATAAGGAAGAGGTGGTGATAAGTAGAATAAATACCTACTTACCTAGTAGGTAGGCCCTGACTTAGGAACTAGAAAGAGTGATTTTGTTAGCATTGAAGGTCAACTACTCTGAACACATTAACAATTCACGTTATATGACTACCTATAAGACGATGCTGTTCAATCTGATCACAAGTCTAGGTAGCTACCTAGGTAGTCATATGCCAATTGCTACCGACATAGCTCCAGAGTTTGCTCTTATTCACTGAAATTCGCAGCTCCATACACGTTGAGTTCTTGAGTACTAGGTAGGCGAATAGTCTTTTGCACTTACCTGAAGATATATATATTATAACTTCCAATATCGAAATTTATGTTCTCAACGACACATTCCTTAATAACATCATCGAGCCTGAACCTTCCTCAACACACGAAACGACTCTCAACATGCCTTCTCTCAGAAAGACTCACGTATGCACGACGCTGCCATGCACATATTGTAAAATGGCAAGATCAGCTCAGATAAAGAACTCCCAGGGTTTATGCAGCAACTTGACCTGTGGCCAATACCTGGACGTAAGCAGTTCAGAGTTCTGCACGGAGCATCTAAACCAGAAGAAACGCACAGAAAAGTCGAAGTCTCATAATAACCATGGTAGACAATTGCCTACCCAAAACTATCTCAGCTCGTTCAGCAATGATTCTTGGGCAGGGACAGCCACATCAACACGAAACTCCCACCCAAGCATTCACTCACCATCCCACGGAGGCAACAGACAAGGTGCATATAGTAATACCGCGGCGCAGGGCTCACACACTCACTCTCCTTATCACGTCAACAGAGCCTTATCTGGTGCTTTTGCGGCGGGTCCAAGGTTCGACGACGCTTGGAACAACACGTGGGATGAGCATTCGACAGCACCCCCCAACCAAGCGTACAGCAGTTATGGAACATCTCCAAATCTATTTATGGGCCCTAGTTATATCCCACCCAGGCCCGGTATGCAGGCCTTCGACAATAACGCCATATACCAACCCATGGATGAATATGGGTATGGCCAGTACCATGCTGGCTCTAGCCATTATAGCCGACCCCTTCCGACGGCGACTCCCCCTGGTCAGAGTGGACAGTACAGGTATCAGCCTTGGACTTGGGATAGTTACCACCAAAACTACCCTACTCAGGATCCCAAGTAGTATTATCAACTCGGATAAGGATATCGGGACACGAGTGTCTCTTAAGGATACAACAGAGAGATTCAGGTCGGGGTTTGGGGAATGGCTATTGTCATCTAAGCTGGATGAATGGTTCTAGGTTTCTGCGAGCCGGGAACGAAGACCAGGGAAACCACTTTCTAGAAGGCAGGCTTCCGTATGATACCCTTTAGCGAAGACTTCTGCAAGTGGCCTACGATATTGAGTTGATAATCGAATAACACAATACTTGAAAATCTAAGAGCGAGAATCCAGCCAGACTAGTGCAAATACTTATGAGGGACCGTATCACACATGTTGAATGAACAATACCAAATGTGACAAGTAGGTAGTGTAATCAGAATGAAAGTGTCTTTTTAGTCTATTAACCATCTATAGACCCCTATGCCAGCGTAAGTGCCAATCTATTCCTCGCACTTTCTAGCCTTCAAGACCACGTTCCATCGACGACCTTCTAGTTAGTGTTGATGCCTGTAAATAAAACCCAGGGGATATCTTTTAAAATATTTCCTTCGAAATGAAGTGAGTGTTGACCACTATGCCAACCTTGCGTTTATTGAATTAGAAAAAGAAGCCAACCACCCGGTAACGCCGACCATGATCTTGATGCATTATCCTCTTTTATCGTTGAACACGTTACTTGAGAGGATCGTAGATCTTCCCCTTGATGTATTTGGTTAGGGCAACGTCGCCCCATTCTTCCCATTCAACCCATTGCTCTTCCGGTAGGGTGGTTACGCCTTCCCGACGGGCAGCCTTCATCACTTCCCTGGCGACAACGACGCTGGCGTCTCTGACGCGCTCGATGCGGGGGTAGATCAAACCCTTGTGGATCTCTTCGGCATTCAAGGACTCAGCTAGCGAGGAAGCCGCAATGTACACCATTTCATCGGTGATCCTGGATGCTTTGCAGAGGATAGCGCCGAGGCCGAGACCAGGGAACACGTAAACGTTGTTACCTTGGTTGGGCCAGTAGGTCACGGCATGGTCACCGGCCTTAACGGCGAACGGCGAGAAAGGAGAGCCGGATGCGAAGATGACAGTGCCGTCCGTCCACTGGACAGCCTGCTCGAAAGTGCATTCGGCCTTGGTGAGAGGGTTGCTGAGAGGGAATAGGATAGGTCGTCGTCCAGACCCGCCAGAGTCGACCGAAGCCTTGAGGGCACGAACAACGGACTCGGTGAAGACGCCAAAAGTCGCGGTTAGACCGACGAGAGCGGACGGCCTGACGTATTCGATGACCTCCTCAAGGGTGCGGAATTGGTGGCCGGCGTTGTCGTTGCGGGCGAAGTACTTCTTGTGGTCCGCCAACTTGTCGCCTCGGTCAGTGGTGACAAGACCCTTGGTGTCGACAAGCCAGAACTTCTCCTTGGCAGCCTGTTCCGAGAGACCGCGACGAGTGTAGTACTCAACCATCTGCTTTGCGACACCGACACCAGCCGAGCCAGCACCCATAAAGACCAGACGCTGCTCTTCAAGAGGAACACCGGACAAGTTCACGGCACCGATGTAACTGTACGCGTTATTAGTAAAATTTAATTGGTCGGAGAAATTCGGACTTCATACCCTGCCAAGACGACGGCACCAGTTCCCTGGATGTCGTCGTTGAAGCACCTGTACTTGTTTCGGTAACGGGTCAGGTAGTTAAACGCCTTCTCGGTCTCGAAGTCTTCGAATTGGACGACCATGTTAGGGTAAACCTCAGCAACGGCCTCCATGAACTCATCCATGAACTCCTGGGCGACAGCCGGAGAAGGACGCCTGGCTCGGAGACCCAGGTACAGAGGGTCCTTGAGGTTGGCCTCATTGTTGGTACCGGCGTCCAAGACGATGGGGAGGGTCTTGCTGGGGTGGATACCAGCAGCGCCAGTGTAGAGAGCCAACTTGCCAATCTAGGTAGGTGTCAGCCACGCCATCCGCACGGGTACACTAATGTAAGCCAAGCAAATCGAGAAGGGGAAAAAAAGAACTTACGGAAATCCCCACACCATTCACGCCGAGATCGCCCAACCCCAAAATGCGGGATCCGTCCGTGACGACGCAGATTTCGGGATCCGGGTAAGGCCAGTTACGCAGGATCGTCCTAATCGACCGGCGCTGCTTGATGGAAATGTACAGCGCCTCCGGACGGGTGTAGAGAGTCGAGTACTGCAAGCAAACGTCGCCAATGGTGGGAGTGTACACCAACGGCATCAGATCACGGACATTGTCGATGAGCACCCGGTAGAACAGATCTACGTTCTGGTCCTTGAGCGACGACAGGTACATGTACTTGTCGATGTTGGTCTGTCTAGAGTTGATCACCTTCATGCATCTCGCGACCTGGGTTTCCGCGCTCTCCATGGCGTGGGGTATTAAGCCCGTCAGGTTCTTAGAGACGCGTTCATCCGGGGAGAAGGAGAGACCTAGATAGCTTAGGCGTCAGTCGGACGGTTAAGGTGAGGAGAGTAGGTAGCTAAAGCTGAAGCTGAAGCTAAGGAAATAAAACTAGACAAGCAAATACCTTTGTTCCACAGAGGTTCTCGCAGCACTTGGTAGCCGCCAGCGGAAGATTGCGGAACGTAATCCGTAGACCTGTACTGCTGAACCTCGCCATAGTGGTTCTGTGCGTAGCCTCGTAGGCCGTCTAGGGCAGCCATCTTCATTTGCTCTTCAATTGCGGAGATGTCGACAGTGGACATTGGGTTCAGCGCAGATTGTCTCCGTTGCAAGGATAATGAAAGGCGTTTGCTAGAGACGGAAGATTGGGAAGAACGCGCAGATATAACGGAAGAGGGAGGAGAAGCAGAGCGAGGCGTTGATATATCTGAGCTAGCGGTGCTGTAAGTGCTGAACGCCATTGGACGTCTCGCTGATGGGCGGTGCGGAAGTATTAAAAAGCAACGGTTGGATGTTGAGTTGATGGGGTAAGACGGGGTAGGTGGACGAATGAGGGACTGTCCGATAGAGCTAACGCTATGAGAAGCAGATGAACCAGGTGCAAGTAACGTGAAGGGTAACGTGTACGGAGGAAGAGGCGTAGAAGATGGTTCCCTCTTTCGGATACCACTACCAGTAGTGCTGCAAGAGAAAAGTCCGGAATGCAAGGAACTAGGTTCGGGTGGATGATGTGGGTGATCGTGGTGGTGTGTCTGCTGATTACTGTCCCGAAGAGTACTCGTGTAATCTTTGGTATTATTGCCGTTGTGTTTAATCAAAGTCCGTCGTCCGGCTACAACAAGGTCAAGCTCGTCGATGATGACATGCGCGGGCGCAGACGGGCTTCTTAATACTGGCAGCCCAGCACTAATGTGAGGCGGACCGCGGACCCTTGTTCGAGATATTCCTGATATTCCTGATATCCTTGATATCCTCAATATCCTCGTACTCAGACTTCCATCGCTTTTCATTGGGCTATTAACACGGAGACGTGCAAGCTGTGACAAGCGCGAGCCCTGGTTTCGTTGGGGTTTCATAGGTATCAAACACTAGATCCAGCTGGTCCAGATCGCTGTAGTATTTTGCTAATAACCCAAGGGGGGGTTATTAAAGGGGGGGATGGCTGATCGGCAAGTTACGGAACGAATAACAGGAAGACGAAAGGTAAAAGGGTACCGAAAATGTACAAGATGTACCAAAAAGGGCACGGTCTTCTAACCAAGATTTGCAAGTATTCCGTCGTCCAATCCAAGCGTGTCTAGATCAGCATAGACATGAACATTTAGAAAAAAGTATCAAGGTATCATCCAAAACTAGTAATGGACATTGGACCTCTCAATATGGGGAAATGGGAAAGACACTATCAATGGCGACAAAGGTTGAGAAACACGATGGATGAAGGATTCACGATTTACATTTCGAATTTAGACTCGCCAAATTTCCGATTTTTCGCCCTTCCCCGTGGATGACTGATGAAAATTTTGTTGGGACCCGGTCTGTATGTAAGAATACCTGTTCTGTGTACGAGGAATTGGGTAGTTTTCCCCATAGCGACGAAGGTTATGACTACAATGACTAAGTGACTAGTGTAGGTCAATAACGGGAATAGATACATTAGACACGTTAGGTACAGGACCCTACAGGACCGGTGTCCAAGGAGAGAGAACGTTGAACCGAATTAGGAAAGTAATGCAGCTCTTAATTGGTCCGGGGAAACAATCCTGGACCCAACGGTGGACTTTTTTATCTTATTTTTTTTTCTTCCAAACTCTCCAATGCCATTCGCTTCCTTCACATGTCCAAGTTAAAGTGAACGTGTTTCTGATGCTTTTAATAAACCGTAAGCGCACAAGCAGTAACTAATATCAGTTGACTAAATATAAAGAGTATGCCCAACTTCAAATTCTGTAACCAATGGCGTTGTGATGCTTTACATCAGATCGATTTCAGATCTCGAAACATCTTCACTACAGCGACAGCAACATTGACGAAATTTTCCATGATACCGTCTGTATCTTGCAACACGGACTCCGGTCGGTTTGGGGGATCGGATTCACCCTTAATCCTTGTCGTTCCAGGTTGCATGTCCGTCGATCCCGCAGTCCCGACTTTTCTAACCTATCCGGCACGCACCAATGGGGCTCAGTTTAGGTGTGCCTGCATAAGCTAGATTCTCGACTTGGGACCGTCCAATGTTTCCAATTTGATATGATAATGTACATGTAATCGCAAGCCCATGTTGAAGGAGCCATTGGAACCCATTCCTTTTTGATTCACCTCTCAAAAGTTGGGGTCTACATAGATACCCCTTCTATCCCTTCGCAGAATCCCACCCATGCCGTACTCCGTCAACAGTCGGGGTTTCTCAAGACGGAGTACATATCTGGGGTAAAGGATACGTATTCTGTAGAACAGAGATAGTGGAATGCCGTGACTAAAGAATTCCAACTGTTGACTAACGAAATCATCGAAATCATACCCAAATGCCCAAGCAACCCCTATCCATGAAGAAAAAGTTGGATTTTGGATACCCAATCTTGCACCAGACCGAAATTGATCACGATATTACAAGGGATACAAGGGATCACTTACACCGATGGATGGGGCTGACAGGGCTGACGAGTCCCGAGTTTTCTGATGTTCCATACGTCTTCTGCTGATCCTTGCAGGCAACCCGGATTCTCCCGATCTGAAATACCACGAGGCTCGAATAGGTAGCTATAGCTACCTAGGTAATTTCGCCTTAGGTACACTCAGACAGTCTGTGCTTCCCGTAAACTTTTACAGGTTTTCCCATGGATATTTCGCTACAGCATCCTAGGTAAGAGGTAGCTATGGCGGCAAAGATAGCCGAAACGCATGCACTCCGTGTCACAATAGCCTCGGGAGCGGTTATTCAAACTACAGTTTCTCTGAAAATGAAGATTTTTGATACGGCCATTGACTTCTAAAAGTCTACCAATTCGTCTAATGAACCGTCTACCTACCTAGGTAGCTTGCCAACGGTCTAGTCCAACTTCTCCACTAAAGCCGACGAGCCGACGAGCTTGGGGAAGCATGGCGCGCCCTGGAACATCTCCACCAAGCTCAAACATCGATTCGTCTACACTGGGGAACTCCTACCGCTTACCTCTTTCATGCAGCTTCGTCTCCACACGAGAGCCTCTTGTGATCAATATTCTCCAGAATGCGGAGATATAAGCATTTGTAGGCTAATATACAGAGTCACAGCTCAATTTGACAGACGCATCACCGCTACCACGTATCTCGAAGCTTAACGAATCCACACAACGCGCCAAGCTTCGGACTTAGAACTAGATCCCTCTTCGCAGACGGTGAGCGTCCAATATCAAATATCATGACTCATGAATATCAAAGGTATGTCTTACTGTCGCCGAGATCGTCGTAGTTTTTCTAGAAGATCGTCCGAATCGGTCATGCCAACGGCTACGTGACGCTACCCATGTATCTTGCCGTGCCGCATTGCAGCTCGTTTATCGCTATGATGTTTCGGGAAAGACTCAATCTTCTTGGCTTTTAAAGCTTATTTATCATCCCGTCTTGCTTCTTGCAACACGGCGCCGATGAACTTGTCTCATTCTCATTCAGGGCCTCTGCATCACAATGTGTCAATCGTTGGGAGTATGAAGAGAATATTCATCACATTTCCCATTGGCTCGGAACTTTGCTGATACTGCTTCTAACCCTAAGACCTCTCAATCCATTTATCTTTCTCTTATTAATCATGTTGTGATCATTGCCGAATGTTGATCAGTGGCAACTGAACGCATATCGCAGCATTACTACTACATATGTTAGGCAGAATGATCACGATGCGGCTAAATATGCCACGGAGAACAAGTTACACTTTAGGTTGAGATCGTCTGAATTTCATATTTCGGAACTAATTTCGGTTCTGCTCAGGGTTTGCAGCTGTTGTGATGTCCCAAAAGTCTTATATAGGTATTAACCCTAGTAACCGTAACGTGCGCCGAAGGCCAGATTTTTGCCCAGCAGTTGATCCGCGAACACGCGACAGCAAATTCTAACGAGACAATTTTTCATAGCAAACGACAATGCTAAGCTAACAGTAGCCTAGGTAGTTAGGGTGGGTGTTTGTCCTACAAAGATTTCAATGTGCCTGCATCGTGGCGTCGTCTAGACAGACACCTAAGCCTCGGACGAACGCTACTCCTCGGAGCTAGCTACTTGCAAGACTTTTTACATCGAACACTAATGCATTCTAGCGCTTTAGACCCCAATGCTGTAATTTCATGTCTATCACGAAGTCTTATCCACGTGAGTCATAAGCTAAGAGATTATAAGAATAACTTGAACGGGATCTAGCGAGTCAAAGAGACCTCCTGGTATCATATTTCAATGTAAGTAATAGTCTCCTATATGGTAAGCAACATACCTAGGTAGGTAATTATAAACGTTAGGCAAGTGGAATATTCCATACGTTAGTATGTAGGAGTCGTGGCATGAGGCATCAAACTTCCCAGTATCTGTCTTTTCCGTGGCACCAAAGAAGGTGGCCAGTCATTGTCATTTTTGTTATAAGAAATCGATCCATATTAGTTTCTCATACCTTACACAACAAGACTCAGAATCCAGGGAACGTGATTCTCTAATCAGCTGGTCATCCTTTTTGTTAGGTAATCTAAATAGACAAAGCACGTAGACATGGAGGTCAAGACGTCAGCTATAAGACCGTTCATACTAGGTATCTGCTCCCATGTATTGAACTGGCTTAAGTTAGGGGCACAATCAGTTAGGAGTCTACTAGGAAACCCTTTAAATAAAACACTAGTATTTTCTATGTATGCTGGGTGTTCTTTTAGATACACATATCGTTACATCATATTCCCCTGTCCTTCGCATAGTAACCATAGTCTAATAGCCATATACATGAGCTATCATGATTTATATGATGCATTGGTTCAATCAAGCGTATTATTATAGGTATAAACACATTATGTACTCTATAATGGGTGCCATACACCTCGAATTAAGGCTTCTCAAAACACATAACCGCGTATCTAAACGTCCCATTCGCATATCCCCTTCTCATTGCTCTAAACGCCTGCAAAAACGACAGTCCGTCCCTACCTTGCGATATGGCAAAAGCCCACAACGAAGGAGAAGATACGAGAGACCACGATATATCCCTTCGTATAGAAATTAGCACGCGAGTGTCATAAGATAAAGGAGGAGGATGCTTACCATGTCTTAGCAACCTCCTTGCTTATATCAATCGGCTTCTGACGAATCTTGAACCCGGCCCGTTTCGCAAATTCTACATATTCGTCGGCCGTGTAGAGCCGGGGAAGGAGCATGCCGTCCTCGATCGGCTTGATATCGGCTTCTTCCTGTTCGGGTGATAGGCCAGGTGCCTTGAACCAGTCTGCGATCACCAATCGTGACCCTCCACCCCGTAGAAGGGAGAAGGAGGAGGAGAAGAAGAGGTCTTTGTTCGGTAGGTGCGACAGGGCCTCCGAGATCCAGACGCAGTCGAAAGACTCTCCCTCCTTAACAGTCGGTTGAAAGTGTTCGAGCATCTTCTCGGCATCGAGCTCAAGGAAGCGGACCGTGCCGCTCGGCTTACCCTCCTTGCCGAGGTAATTGAAAAAGTCACCCGGCGGAACAGCGAAGCTATCGCTAATCTCCTTACTGGTCAACTGCTTTGCGATTTGAACCTGTCGCCCGCTGATCGTGATTCCTGTGACCTGCGCGCCATGCTCCCTCGCAAGAAATCGGCTTGTGCCGCCGATACCGCATCCAACATCAAGTACCTTGGAGCCGGTTGGTAGGCCAGAGATCTCAAGTAGGTAATTGATCAGATTGACTTGAGCCTGCTCCTTGGTCTCACTGGCTGATCTGAACAAGCCGTGGTGTATGTGCTGTCCCCTACCAATAGCAGAATTTAGTCGCGATTGCTATTTGGCCCGGTAGATAGTACCTAGGTAGCTATTAAGGGGAGAGAAATAGATACCATAGGGAGTAGTAGTAATCCGAGGCTATCTCATAGTGCTTTTTAACCCTACCCTTCAGCGACTCGGGGGATTCATGAGCCTCAAAGTTCGGGATCTCGTGCTGATCGCCGGGGTGGAGCTGCTCGGTTCCGACTTGGGCCATGTTTGCATTTCCCCTACAATGGAATTTATTAGCACAACCGAGGTAAGCCAATGACATAGGGAAAGTGTACCTAATCAGGACTCAATACCTGGAAAAGGTGAAAAATGATAATAATAATAAGAGGATATATGATATCAGGACAAGTTGGAGTTGTCATTTATTGATTTAAGATAAGTTTGACGATCTTGGCCGAAGCTTCCTGAATACAACGTCAACATCCCCTCTTTTCAATTAGATCAACCTCGAGGCGTTAGACAGAAGATGGGGCTCAGGCCTTAAGACGCATGTTACCTAGCGAAGATGTTACAATCCCTGAAACACTGGTCTACAACCAACTACTTAGATAGTAAGGCCAGATTCAAAGCCAGTGGCGGCCTCTAGCAAATATGGTAGAAAAATTACCTACTGAATTGAGACGCTACAGTTGAAGTCATGGGGCATTGCCAATTATCAACCTGTATATCTAGACAGTCTAGTAGGTTAATTCAATATATAAGCATATCACTAATGCAAATAACAAAGAATCGGACATAATTTTGAAGTATATGCTATACACAGGCCTCTCCGCTACGGAAGCAAGTGGTGAAGTGCTACATGAACATCGTATCCCCGCCTCATTATACAATACCTATATATAGAGCAGGGTGAAAGCAAGCTAAAAATCAAGATCGCAACTCCTCATGAGCTAAGTAACTAGATATGCCGGCCGTCATAGTAACGTTCGCGTTCGCGTGAAGAGCCAGGCCAGACCAGACCAGACCAAACGTAACAAACTCCCCCTGATTTTGGAAATTTCAAGAACCATTTCGCACGCCACATCCCATTACCATTAAATGCCCATGAACCATGCCCCCCAATCTCCAACCGAACATTTCGTTCCCGCATATCCGTCGAAACCCGCGAACAGGACGGCCAAAAGAGTTTTCAGATCGCACGCGCTATGTCAAGGTCCCGCCGTTCATAGTTCTATAGCACACGTGTAAACTGGCGAACCGCAAAGCTCCACCTCCCCCTTGAAAAAAAGCAGAGCAGGGGAGAGATAAAAATCCCAACCTATCCTTATCTTTTATCGTATCCCATCCTGCGTCTTCCCATTCTCGAAGCTCGGGTACGCGCCGCCGGTGAACTCGGCCCAGTCCCAGTCGAGCCCGCCGGACATCTGCCACAGCTCCTGCGGCAGCAGCGGCTGGTACCCGTTCTGGCCGGGTAGCGGCGGCGACGCGATCGGCTGCCCGAAGCCCGTCAGCTCCGAGAAGTTGCCGAAGTCCATCGCGTTCGGGTCCCATTCTTGCGTCGTTGTCGTGCCCGTGGTGGAAGGACCGGGAGTCGTCGTAGCGCTGCTGGGCCAGTCGCGCGGCGCGGCGCCGTTCGTGGATGAGGCTGTGTTCATCGGGCTGTACCCGCCGTTGCTGCTGTTGTTCGCGCGGTTCTGCTCCCCGTTGAATTTGGGCGAGAGCTGCGTCGTGTAGCTAGGCGTGGGCGTGGCGGCGGACGAGGAGGGGCGCGGCGTGTGGTGCGTGTTGTGGTTGGTCTGGGACATGGAGGAGGGCGAGTTGACGGCGCCGACGGAGGGCCGGTGGGCCGGGTCGTGGGACTTGCGCTTCCGCTTGGAGGTGTCGCGCTCGGCCTTGTCGATGACGATCTTGGCGATCCGCTCGAACTCCGAGCACACGCCCAGCATGCGGTGGACGCCGCCGGTCTCGGCCTCCTGGCCGAGCGTCGATAGGAAAGTGACGACGAGGTTCATGAGCTTCGTGTCCGACTTGGCGCGCGGGTCGAGCGGGTTCTGCAGGATGTTGCCGAAGAGCGTGACGAGCGCCGAGACGGGGAAGTACAGGATGAGCCTGTATCTTTTGTCTTAGCCCTAGGAAGCGGGGATGGAGAATGGAGGCGTTTGCTTACCATACGCAGGAGAAATCGCCCTGTGGGATGTATTTTAGCAATTGGATACTTGCTCGAGCGGCGGATGCGCAGAGAGCTGCCGAGGCAAACACTCGCGGGTTCAAGGGCCTGGCGTTCAGACCCTGGATTGCGTAGTTGGAGAGTCGGCTTGTCCAGTAGCCGTGATGTACAGACATGCGGTGGATGGTGGTGAGAGCGTTGTAATATGAGAAATGTAACATGACGACGTGTAGTATGAGAGGGGTGTGAGAGGCCTTTATTTCGTGTTCCGGACGGAAGTCAATGGGTATGTTGTCCTTCCATGTCTCTAGTTGCTTGTCGAGTTCGCCAATAGTTTGCAGCAGCTCGCCCTCTGATAGCTTCGTAGCTTTTGTGGAATATAGCTTCTTGTAAACTTGGCTTTCGATGACTGTTAATTCGCACATCGCCCGAAACAAATTCATCTTCCCCTTTCCATCGGCAAGAGGGATGTTGCCGATATTATCCATAGGGTCGGCATCCGGAAGTTCGACGTTCATATCATCATCGTCTTGTGCTGGAGGACGCCCGGATCGGAGACATAGATCCTTATCCAACATATACGCTATCCAGAACACTCGTTTTCTTTGCTCTATCTCAACTGGGTTAAGATTGAACCCGCTTCCACGCTTATGTAGCCCAATGCTGTGTGACAGTCGGATAGCTGCTGCAACGAGTAAGAACGAAGGTTGTGGGTTCGGGGTACCTTGCATAAAGGAAGCCATTCCAAGTAGAGCTTGTACGCTTAATAGATCGGTATTACGCATCGTTAATTCGGAGAACACGCCCATAGCATTCTTCATGTATGCCCACGACTTATCATCATCTTCCTGCGGTACAAGATTACTCATAACTCGAAGACGGTGCGCAATCGCCAAAGCGACGTTTAAACTCGCCCACCATCCGGAACCTTGGTAGGGATCATTGGAGTACTGTCTCTCGACGAGGTGCATAAACGTTGGTTGGTGGAATAGCGGGAACATGCAGTTGAAGTTGTCAAAATAGTCCTTGAGCAGGGATAGCGCTTCAGGCTTGGGCGGCAATGGTCGATAGATGGGACGGTGAAAGAGATCGCTGAAGATCTCTGGCTTCCAGTGATTCCATTTATGATCGTCAATGGAAACCTCGGAGATCATCTGTTGGAAAGAAGTGTCTCCTGTCTTTTCATTCACCCATTGTATACCCTTCGGTGAGAATATCGAAAATCCGGAAGAGGATCCTGGCGCGAAGTTAGCGGATATGCATGCAGCCGACTAGCTTGTCGGTACTTACCTATATATCTTGTCTCTCCCGATTGGTTCGTCACCAATGAGCACATCATTTCAGATAGCGCCTCTACTTCTTCCTCGACCCTCGGTTTTTCGGGTTGGGGAGAGTGTTCTTTCCTGAAATCCTTTTCTCTATTCGGCTCAGGTGAGGTTACTGAACTTCGCGGGGTCGATACCGTGCCATCTTGGCCGGGTGTCGCTTGTGATGGTGATGTAGGATTCGAAGTGAGTGCTTGTGAAGCTTGTCTTGACTGCTGGTGTTTCTCTGAGAGGCGCTTTTCTAAGGTGGCGAGGTCGGTCGATTCATCGTCATCTCCAAGTAGGCCTTTGGTCGTGTCAGTCGGTATGGTTGGTATAAGGTATATGATATGAGGCAACAACTCGAGACTTACCCGACAACCTCAACAAGCTTTCCATGCGTCCTAAACGGTTTTCTAAGCCCTCGATATACTTTGCACTACATGTCTAATCAGCCTTATATGAAGTTTGTTGGTGGGACCTAGTCTGTGCTCGTACCCTTTCGGAGGATTTCTCTTCTTCTCAACTTGTGTAAAGACACAATCTGTTTTGTAATTGATACAATGCGTGCAAGCTGGAAGCTTCCCATCGCACTTTATTTTCTTCTTCCGGCACATGTCGCAAGCCTTGAACCGTCGAGTCAGTCTGAAGTACGCGAGTAGATACTACCCAAGGTGTATGAGAGCTCACCCGTGCGATTCTCCGCCTCTTTGCCTCGTTCGCATCGTCTAGCAGCGCTGATGGGTCGAAGGCCATCTGGGCCGCGAGCTCCGGTGGTAGCACAGGCAAACCATCATGGCTGTAAGCTCCGAATATCTGTGGCGGCTGGTTTAAGAGTTGTGGACGGGGCATTCCTGGCATCTGGAAGCCCCCGGGATCAACTCTCATGTGATCCATCATTTATCTTTCGTCGTGTTGGTCTGTGGTCGTTCACTCTAGGGATGGTCAGAAAGGTTGAGGGCGCGGCTATGGAGGTACCACAAGGATAGTCTCGTAGGGCTCGTACGGGATTGATTAGGTTAATTAAGGTAAATGTAGGTTGACGTTTTGTAGAAACAGTTCGATCTAGGTAACTTTTGGGTAGGTACCTTAGTCCAGTACCTGGAATCCGCGGGCTTAAGAGTCCCCACAGACAAGACCAGAGACTCGGTGGGTGTACCGTGTGAGCGATCGATCCCCTTGTCTCTCTCCCTTTATGAACTAGGCCAAGATGACCAATCGACTTGTCCCAGCTAAGACTGAGGCGAGCGTGTAATTCGCCCGGCAACTTATCTAAGGGGCCGGGGCGGATTTAAACGCCGAGCAACCAAGTACGGGTGCACGGGGGCTTTGAGATTCGCGGGTTCGTACTCGTTTTTTCTAAACTTGGCGCTGCCTACTGTGATAGGTAAGAAACCAGAGATATTTTAGGAGTATCGATATGTAAGTTGGGTTACCGCCTCGCGAGGCTTGGAGAGAAATTAAGGCGCTGTCACCTATCAGAAAATTAAATTTAAAGAAGAATCTAGATTGGGTGGCTCTCTTTCTTTTTCCTCTCGACTGAAGACTGAAGAGGATGAAAATCAAAAACAAGAAATGCAAGTTTTGAGACATTGGAAGGAAATCTTCGTCTGAGACTACTTGACATGCCCGTTGGTCCAACAGGCCAGTCAACCGGGTACGCAAGGTACGGACGCTCGGGGATGTGCAATGACTTTCTTCACACCTAGTCCTGACAACGATTCAGTGGTTCTTGAAGATGTCGACGAATCAGAGGGCGTCTTGCCACAACCTGGAGGTCTGTGATACTATGGAAATACTACCTTGTTTATAAGGGACTTCCTGGTATTAATAGGTGCATCAAGTACCGTTGCATTTTGAGGGGATCTTCCGCCTTAATGCCGGCAGGGTCCTGCCACATACACATTAGAGTATTTCAGATTCGCAATTCCTTCAAATAATCATCTCAATTTTCTTGCTACCACGCGGCGGCCAAGCCTGCCACGGTACCTGTTCACCCCAAGTCGACTCGAGACATATACTACTGCGCCAAGGAGGTAGAAAATTTGCTGCGACGATTCCGCTAACACTTCATCAGGCTTAAGACTCAAGAGTTGCGAAGTCAGGCACCTAACGCTAAGTACTAATGTGTAAACCGTGCATTGGTTAGTTAGTCGAGTTAGTCAAGTTTAGTCTCATTAAATCCCTTATAGGGAAGACGGGTTTCGGGATCTATCATCATTACGAACTAATGAGTTCGGGGGCTAACGAGAGCCCAGAAAGTGTTATACGCGTATTCAAAATTCCATGAGCTTCTTAAGTGGGATATGATTCAAATTTTATCAGCATACCTTTACCGGCTTGACCGGCGACTCCTTCAAGTTAGTGTTGGTCCAATAAACTGACGCATTCTCGTGAAGTTGTGACAATCATCATATCATCCATGGATAATACTCAACTAATTAACCAAGCCTCAGTTGACTGGCTATTTGATGTCGGAGGCCGCTGACGGTAGGCACACGGGGTAATTAATAAGCTTGAATCCTTCTACCAGGCCTCCATGGAGCCAAGTTATGTGCATCCCAATTGTCTGGTGTGATCACCCTAAAGAACTGGCTTTTGTTTCATCCGCTCTTCATGGATTGGGAAGCCCAACCCACACAGTCTAGACTCAACACCGGGGCGGAAGACGGAAGGCTGCCTTAACGTAAGTACGTTAGCTTCATCCGGGGGAAAGGCATATGGGGAAAAGACCAAGATGCTAAGCTTTTTTTTTTCCTATTCACTTTTCACCGACTATAGTGTGCTTCGTTACTGGGAAATATCGGAGTAATAATTTGTCATAACGGGCCAAAGCGTTTGTGGGTAGGGGGATGCGAGATCCAGTCGTGTTTCATAAACGTCTCAACCTCGCATCTTGATGGGGAATTTTTCTGGTTTGTAGATCAAGCAACGAACTATTTGCACCCAGAGGTAAATGACCAACAAGAACCACTACAATGTACCGTATGGAAATATCGCCTCGACCTTTCGGCCCCGTCCGTTAATCGGAGCTAAAGTAACTTGATACTAATGTCTTGGGTATGCTTAACATACGTGCCCACCGGCATTATAACACAGCTCTTTAGGCTCAGGTCCTCAAAACAGTCCTCAGACAGGTCCCGAGATTAAGCATAGGTGAAGAAGAGTTTGAGGATAATTATGCTTGATTAGGAGCAGGCCCGGAGGAGACCAGCTGTTGCCATCTCGACTCCGTAACGGCCATGCTCTTCGTCATCCCTGCCAGCCCGAAGGCTTCGGATGACATCTGCCTATTTACAAGAAATGGTGGATTTTTGGCATCTGACATGAGGTGCGAAAAAAAAAGTGTTGCGGCCGAAAAGCTAGCCTCCCTTTATTCCTTTCCCTTCCCTATGAGACCCCTCTTTCGAGATTTTTATTTCAAATGTCAACGCCAACCCGATGCTGTGACGAAGCATTTAAATATTGGCGCCGACACATAGATAACAAACAGGTATCATCAAGAAAATACGAAATGTATACAAGCGCAAAGGTAAGGGTATATCACTCCAAGGGTCATAACACCTCGGTGAACCGGGAAACCGAAACGTGGGAGCGGTTCGAACCGTCCTGGGAAGGTCGAGATGGCCCGAGTGGATCTCTGGGAGGAGGCTCAAGGGGCGACGTATCCGGGGTATAGGGAGCTTGCTCCGTAATGGGCGTCCGGGCCGGCCCCGGGTTGTAAACAGGGATACCGCTCTCCGGCCGCATCGGAGCACCAACGGCTAACCTAGTCGGTCCCGTGCTACTCAAGCCGGGGAAAGCCTGCGAGTCCCGGTACTCTATCGACTGGTCGCTTAGGATGGTGTCCCGGGGGTCCGAGTAGCCATCGCCTCCGAACTGTATAACTGGAGGCAACTTCCTACCAGACACCTTGGAAAACCCTCTCTCGCCACCGTCCGACGAGGCACCGCTGCGTGTAGAATTTCGCTTATGTCCGGTCAGGCTGGCGAGCGCCGCGGGAATCGCGAAGGGGACCGATCGTCGTGTCTCCGACATGCTGCCAGCATTCCCTCCTCCGTCGGTGGGGCCAGAATTTCCAACCAGCGCACCACCGGGACCGCGCTCGCTGCCGGAGCCACGCATGAGCTGCTTGGTGTTCTGGCGCTTCTTCCACCGGAGAAGGTATAGTGCAAGGATCAACAGGGCTGCGAGCGCAGCCACGCCTCCTAGCACGCTACCCGCGACCGTGGCTGCACCGGGCCCACTGGAGGATGAGCCAGAAGCGCCATCGGCCGTTGAGGTGCTCGAAGAGGATGGTTGCACATTGCCTCCGAGGCCAACATCGCCGCCACCTGATCCCGTGGAGGATGCAAATGCGGAGGAGGACGAATCGGAAGTGATCGATGCGGAGCTAGAAACGGAGCTTGTCGTGGTCGTTGCCGAAGTGGACGACGAAGAATCAGAAGAAAGTGAACTACTACTAGACAATACCGATGATGTAGAAGAGCTATTGATACTTTCCGCGGAAAACGAAAGAACTGAAGAAGTAGAAGTAGAAGCAGAAGAAGTACTGTTGCTGCTGCTAGAAATAATCGAAGTCGATGATGACGACGCTTCAGACAAGTCAGATACTGAAAGTGACGTGGTAGGGATAGCAAACGAAGTAGATGATGATTCAGAAGATAAAGATGATGACGGACCTTGGGTTGTATTAGTCACGCCAGCCAAGGAAGGAAAAACGGAAGAGCCTGATAAAGGAGTGGACGTCAAAGGCGAATAAGATAACGTGGGAAACGAAGTAGGCATCGAAGACTCCGACGGTGTTACGGTCGGGTCTATCGTTGAAGTAGAAGTTGTCGATGATGTATCGGCGCCTGCATCGTCGCTGGTTGCTGTCGAAGTAGAAGAGAAAGCCGGAGCAGATGCGGATTCGGTGGCCGGGTCGACGGTGGTGGTGTCGGGTCCAGGATTGATGGTGGTCGCAGGCGTTGGTCCTCCTGAGGGCGTAAGTGTCTGAAGAGTAACGGTCGCACCAGACGAATCGATTATCTGAAGAACGGAAACTGTCTCAACGATAATAGTGGGTTCATCGGATTCAGTGCGTTTGTGGCCCCTTTTACTGGAGTCGTTGCTGTTTTGAGAACGAGCGTGATGGTTGTGGTGGGTGTGTTGATAATGACGGCTGTGGCTGTCTCTCGAGTGGTGAAAATGATTGTGTTGATGTACGTCTCGGGCCTGAGGGAGTGAAGACCCCGAGACTGGGGTTGTCATCGCGCGTGGCGGTGAAAATGGAGAAATACGAGCTTTCCAAGTTGCGTGCGTGTAAGCGTGTACTAGAATACTAGTTTTTTTTAGGGTCGAGTCGGATTCGCTGACGGGATCGGGGCACGCGCGCGGAGCGTTTCTTGACTCGTTCGGCTTCTGCTTTCTTGTTTCTTGTTTCTGGGCTAGAGACTGGCTGACTGCTGACTGGCAGGTCGAAATGGGCAAAAAATGAATGAATGTATACGTTAAGTTTGGTTGAAGATCGTCCAGAGTAGTATTCAGTATCCCATCATTATCGTATTATTACCGTCCCCTTGTTTTTTGTACTTCCTCTTCTTGAAATCCTTCTACTACTGCTGCGGCTTCTTCGTCTTCTTCAATCTCTTCTGTTAAAACCCTTCTGATCGTTACCGGGTCCTCATCGTTGGCGTGATAGGCTGGAACCGAATCATCGACACCAGAGCGACGAACGGTCGACTCGACGGTTAGGGAGGAAGTAGGAGGATGAGGTAAAGGAGAGAGGAAAAGAAATTAATTGAAACCCGGAGGCGGATGCGTTTCGATAATATGTTTGCCGACCAAAATTAAAATGAGATGCTTCTTAACAGTGGACACACCCCCAAGCATCGTTAGCTTCACCGGGCAGCTCGAATATGGCGTATTGGTTCTAAACTTGGGGTGCTTGGGGTGCTTAGGGGGCCCTTTGTCTCGCTGTAAATGGACGATGGCTTGCTAGATGGGTGTTTCTGCTCATTTCGCTTCGGTTGAGCGTTGTCCCTCTGACAAGGGGGCCATAAACATACGAGCCAATCATACGAAACAGCTACGGCCAGGGACATGACAGGACCATCTATCATTGGTCAGGGGACACGGGGATTTCTTTGCAAACATTCGGCCATCTCTTGTAATCCTCGTTATCCTCAATCATTATCATCATCATGTTGCACCACTCCTCTGTTTCTTCCTTTCCTCCTTTCCCCTAAAGAGTTGCCAAGCCTTATGAAGCCCCTATCATTTTGACGAGTAACAATTATCTTTTGCATTTCCATTTTTATGCTGTCTGTGCTACGTATATGTATGTCTTATATTGTTATGATTACTTATCAGCTTATTTATATTTGTATTGGAAGACAGTTGTCAAATCTACTAACATGAATAGAATCCAAGACACATTACCCAAAACACCCCCAAAATAATGTGCCTGGCCTCTAACCAACATCTGCAGGAACACGGAACACGAAGTCGGGACTGTAATAAGTTATCGACTTAATCCCACACAAGGTTAAGCACGGGTAGCTAAGGCAGGTAAGATATCTCTTGCATACCACTTGTCCCCGTCGTGTCATGGATAGCCTATGGGCGGCTGTAGGACAGCTCGTATTCCCTCGGTGCATGTACCTTTTGCAGATCTAATGGAGAGCCACGCGATTCAGATTGATTGATTTCTTTAGGTGGGTAGATAATCTGGATTGGGTCTGTCGCACCAGTTGGATCAAGTTTCCGGTTGCAACAGAAGTTCTATTATTCGCGCCAGCTATGGTCGAGATTTCAAGTTCGTCTACGTCCGCTGCCCGGTTCTGTTGTTGTTGTTGAAAGATCAAGGCTTGATCTCCTACCTCTAGCTAGATCGGTCTAGCCTCCCGGTCAAATAATAATTAGAATCAGGGCCCCGGGACGATGAGTGGGCCATCCTGGCCGGCTCATTTACTGTTGCGGATGCTTACGCGCAGTCCCTAGGTACTGAACCAATTCTACGTAAAATCACCAATCCTCCATTAGAAATTGCGTCATAATCAGCAAGAGATTATCGTCTGTGTGAAAGAAATTACCTAGTTATGCTTCAACCTTCAGAGATCTGACCACACCGAACCAGGAAATACTATAAATTCAGATCAGACCCAACACATAAAGCTTGATTTTCGTCTGTACGAAATCGAGCCTGTAAATATCTACAGCTTGTAACTTCAGAACTCAAGCCAAGATCTACTAATGATTAGCTTCGGCCTAGATATCCTAGTTTTGCACCAAGCCGCATGCGATCGTGGTATCTAGCTTCATAGCAACGCGTGAGCCTCTTCGCCGAAGAGGCCTTACCCATGTATTTCCAAGGAAACATTATCCACAACAGAGACCAACACACTTATTTCCTTGATTCGTGATATCAAGTGGCACGACAACAAACATAGCTAAAGAACAGTAAGTCAAAGGATTGATGATGACTACAAATTTCGAGAAGGATCACTAGTACCATTCATAAACATGTCAGAAATGAATCGGCAGGTTTTACCATACTAGATCCATCCCTGTTTGATTCCGTAAACCCCTTTAATATGAGATTTTATGGCTGATGAAAAAGATCGTGGTCGAGAATCAAGTAGTATCTCGTCATAAGTTGGAGATGAAGACTTGGAAAGATGGTTGCTTCAAGTTGGCAAGCTAAGGCTTTCGCTTAGGCGAAACCCTCGTCGAAGCCGACGTCGGCTTCTCAATATTATTTCTCGCTTCTTAACATTGCTTTTTTGAATCGTGAGAGGACATCCATTGAATTTACTCGTCCGCCGCCCGTTGCCCGGCAGGCCAATATATTTACAAAGCCTCCGGAGTTTCAATTTAACTCTTCTGGCGTACGCCTTTGGACGTAATGCTACTAAGTAGGTACATACGTCGACCTCTACTTGATACTACTAGGTAGGTACACGACCTAATTAGGTACATTGCTATATACAGTATGCCAGTAATTATCATTCCTGGCCCCGTAGGTCTGCTCAAGGTCTAAAACTTTTCTCGGAAAACGACATATTCATTAACTTAGATCACCGTTAGCAGATAGGGTCAACGATGTGATGGGCTTACCTTATGGTTCTCGTGTCTACTACCATCAAGACAACGTTACCAGCAGTAAGTGCTATTACTATCACTTGATAACAATCATCAGTAAGAATATGCCAAATGTTTTGCTATAGTAGGCTTCAAAAATGGCCGTATTCACTAAAATGTACCGAAATCTCATATCTAGAGAGGCGGTGTTGTAGCAGATTCAGGGGTGTTCAGGGCATTGTTAACGATAACTATGAAAGATTCATCATTGAATATTGTTGTCTACTTGGAGACCAACTCCCATGTCGATCCAATTTGCTCAGCCGTGGGCATCATTCCAGACTTATTGGTGTAGGCGTTTGGGCCGGGTCACCTATATATCCAGAGTAACTAGGAGGCATATTCATGTATGAGTCGCTAAGGAAAGGTATGAAGAAAGTGAGGAGTAAGGAAACATACAATTTCCAACAGGAAAGGGTTTTAAGTGAGCCGCTTCGATTAAATTCCTCTAAGTGTATAATCGAACTGTAAACTGACCCATCGAGAATAATCGATGAACACGAGAACCTATTTATAACTATGTGCGGGCGTGAGAGACCTATGTATAACAATATACACACATATGACATGGTAATCCCTTTCCAACATGAAAGGTCAGCTTTGAAACACCAATTTACCTAAGTTGGACGTAGTTATACCTGATGACTTATCCTGCCCGTTTTGCCTTGAGGAGGTACCTACCTAGTTTCACTTACAAGCTTCTTAAGAGCCATACAGGATAACGCATTGTCGTATCCAACATCTAGTGTAACTACAAGGTAAAAGCACATCCATTATAAATCAATCCATGCACGTACATTATATATGCCGAGATATGCTCAACTTCGTGTTCAGGGTATCATGAAAATGCCTTGATGTTAATCTCATCTATGAATGTCCATCTTATCTCGGGAGTAGCCCGAATCAACGCCAAAACGCCGCTCAGTCATGTAGAAACTCATCTAACTCTCCTAGGCGAACGATACTCTCTTCTTTTTCGGTTTCGTAGACTTCGTCCCGGAGGAGGTGACATCTTTGACCACAGCGTCGTCGGCATCGTCGTCGTGAGGTAGTTTGGTTCTCTTCCTCTTTCTCCTTAGGGATTCCTTGGTCTGGTCGAGCTTCGCCTTCTTCTCTTCTTCCTTCTTTTCCGCCTCCACCCTTCGCGCTTCACGGATCTCCTCCATCTGTCGAGCCTTGATCATCTTGGATTCGATCTCGCCCTCTTTATCTGCTTGGACCATGGCAAGTATCGTGCTCATGCTCTCCTATTCCCGCAGCGATATGCGTTAGCACTCTTAATTGCGCAAGAAGTCTACCCGTTTTTAGATGGGCAGCCGTACCTTATCGTCTACGAAGACCTTGCCCTTCTTCTTCCCCTTTGGTTTGGTAACTCCAACAGGCGTCACCATATTCAATTCCGGGATTCCTAGTTCCTTCTCCGTGTAGACCTTCTTCTTTTTCTTCTTGATTAGGTCGGCGAGGGTTTTCCCTTTCACCTGCTTCGAAACAACCGGGCTTTTCCGTTTCGATTTGCTCACGCCGTCTGGCGGGCCTCCCTTCGACGATTTACTCGAGCTGATGCCGGACTTGTTCGCCGCATGTTTGTTCTTGACTGTCTTCGTTCGCGAGGGCGCCATCTTGAGTTGCGTGGAGTTGCGACAAGAGAATTACTTGAAGTTCGCGGTTGTAGGTGCTGTAGGTGGCAGAACAGAAATATTTTGGGGAACTTTTCTCTTATCGATAGAAGTGGCTGGTTCCACAGGTGGGGTCCGCCCTGAGCCTGTGAAACCAAATCCAGTAATTCGCTTTGTCCTGGTTGGTCAATCGCCCGCAGTAGCTTTTTTCCCTGCATGTAAGCCGATGCTCGGCCTATCAAAAAATGTCGATTGAGTTTTAAATCCTATCGTACCTGTAACGGTCTTACCTTGATAACATTGAAAAATTAGTTGGATAGTCGGAAGTCAATTCGGCTCCTGCAAAATCCCGCCGAAAATGGGTTCCGAAAAGCCAAGTAGCCAGCGGTGGGCGGCGCTCGCCCGCGACACGAATGAGACCAAGATCCAGCTGGCCCTGAACCTCGACGGCGGCGACTTCCCCCCGGACACCGACTCCCGGTTGCTAGCCTCCGTCGCCGAGGGCCACGCCAGCCAGTCCAGTAAATCCCAGACCATCAGCGTCGACACGGGCATCGGCTTCCTCGACCACATGCTTCACGCCCTGGCCAAGCACGCAGGCTGGAGTCTGGCTCTGGCCTGCAAGGGCGACTTACACAGTACGACCCTCTCACCCCACCACCTACCATCCACCATACACCACACCCCGTCCTACCTAGCACCTATAAATACCTAAATAACTTGGGGGAAACGAACCAGACCCGCTGACGAGACACACTAAAACCCTAAAGTCGACGACCACCACACCGCCGAAGACTGCTGCATAGCGCTCGGATACACCTTCGCCACAGCGCTCGGCAGCGCAACGGGTCTCGCGCGCTTCGGATCAGCGTACGCGCCCCTCGACGAAGCGCTCTCGCGCGCCGTGGTCGACCTGTCGAACCGGCCGTACAGCGTGATCGAGCTGGGGCTGCGGCGCGAGAAGATCGGGGACCTGAGCTGCGAGATGATACCGCACTGCCTGCAGAGCTTCGCGCAGGCGGCGCGGCTGACGCTGCACGTCGACTGCCTGCGGGGCGAGAACGACCACCACCGCGCCGAGAGCGCGTTCAAGGCGCTCGCCGTGGCGGTCCGCCAGGCCACGAGCAGGATACCGGGGAAGGAGGGCGAGGTGCCTAGTACGAAGGGGACTTTGAGCGTATAGGTGGGGTGGTTAGGTAAAAAGAGAATAATATCAAAGAAACATTAATGAGAACTGCTGTCTTATGCTATAAGGGTGATAGAATCGGATGTCGTCTTTGTGGCACGCCTTATTCTCCAATACCTACGGTTTTCCTGGGCAATAATATGCATCGAAGGTGAATACGGAACATAAGTGTCACGAATACAAGTATCGTGTTGATTCATCTGACATAACTACAGCATTCCTGGTTACGACCCCAAAAATCCAGAGGCTCAGCAATGGCCATCCACATTATGATAACAGTCCAAACTTTGCGACGGAATTATCATCAAGCAACCACATACCCCCCACCGTATCCAGCAACCTCATTCCGATTTCAGCGAAGCAGCGAGCAGCAATCATCCCACATGCCGAACCCTTGAACAGCATCACTTCCAGTCCATATCTGCTTCATAGGCACTATCCGCCCTCATTTCATGTTCATGTTCATGTTCATCAACAGTCTCATGCATCCGCCACCACCACCACCACCAGATCCGAATCGCTTAGTAGCGGTAACCAGCCGGCGTGGTATGGGTCGTAGCCGTGCCAGTTTCGGGGTACGCCACTTGTCCGTCGTACTGGTATTTGTTGTTGTACGTTCCGGCTTCGGGACCAACCGCCGTAGCCTCGGTGTTGTAGCTCTGGCGCAATTGATCCGGCTGGGTGTGCGCGGGCAAAGCATTGGGGTCCTCTTCGGCAGTGGCAGTTCGCTTTCGACGGAAGAGACCGAATATGCCGCGGCGTCTAGCGTAGCCCGAAGTGTAGTTGTTAGCTGGACTTGGGCCGAATCGCTGTTCCTTGCGTCGGTGGCGGACGAGTACAACCTCGAGAAGCGCAGAGAAGACGAAGAAGACGCTATTTGGTTTTTAGTTAGTAAACCTGGTTAATGGAATTGCGGAATTGGACAAGAGCATCTTACATCGCAACTATCGATACGGCTAAACATGCGGTCTCCATCTGACAAGCTTGTCGGTACGTCGGGTGTTTGTCATTGATCAGATCCTCAGCCTGACCACTTCCATAGACGGTGTCCACGGTGCCTGTGCAGCTGCTAGCTCCGGCCCTAACGGAACTAGCGACGTAGATATACGCGCCGATGAAGCAGATGTCCAAGACAATAGCGATGAAAGAGGTGAATGGATGGCCGGCCAGGCAGCACAATAATAGTAGGCCGAGGATGGTGTATAATACACCGATACCCGAGATACCCTCAACGGCGCGGGTCCATGTTGGTATTGTCAAATGACGACTACTAAGGGTGGCGAGGAAGTAGGAGAAGAGGGCGAGGATGAGAGCGCTGCAGCAGAACTGGATACCTCGAATGAACCACTGCAGCAATTTGAGCGCGAAACCCGCTTTCGCGCCCATGATGGCGATTGATGTCGATTATTGTTCGCTGCTTGCACGATCAGATTTTAGTCGCACGATTGATACGTTGTGCGATGTCGAATGTGTGTTGGTGAGTTGGTGAGTTGAGTTCGACAAAAACCCAGAGCTTCCGAAATGGGTCGGGGAACGTCTGGTCACAAAAGGGTATAGGAAGTAACAAAATACAAAGGGCGAGAGGAGGAATGGGATTAATAGGTTGGTTGGTAGGTCGAATGGACAGAAATGGAGCAAAATGGGTAGGGTATCAATTTACGTATTTAGCGGTCGTCGATCAATGGAAGAGATTTGACGTCGATTGGGAACATCAAACGGTCTTCGGTCTTAGAAAAAGGTCGGATGATGAACGCAGTTCTACTTACTGAATCCGATCAATTTAATTAACCGTGACGATGACGAATGTGGTCAGAAGCGTTCGAAATCTGGGGCTGTTCTGGGCCCAGTTGCCCCTCCACAGCTTTTAATTCGACACAAGCTTGTTGCGCTATTGCCGATCTACCGATGTGACGTTGAATATTGACAAGGATTAGGGACCAGTAACCTTTCTGATTTGTTACAAACCTTGCAAAGCCACCTTAAATCGTCATAGCTTGTGGCAGTTACTGTGGCAGCCCTGGTCTTCAGCCACACTCAACAATTGACCCATCCGATGACGATCGTCATCTATCCGCCTCTTCCGTCGCAGGCAGTAGCCTTTATTAAAGAAAAGCGGTGCAAACAAGTAAAAAAAGGGGATTCGCACATGAATATTCTAGGTTTTCCTTTGTGAAGATTTTGCATTATTTCCACAACTGTCTGAATTGTCTGTTCATTAACAATGAACCATCACGTGTCACCTTATGATGGTTCAAGATTAAGTTTCGGAATGACGTCGTCCCACTTTACTCTATTACTATAAGCTTGTGTACCTTGGTACCCTTTTGACCTTGAGCTGCTCTATATGTACATACTATCATCAGCTTCAAATCGTCAAACGACTCTTACGGGCAGTGTATGGGCCACTTGGTGTTTCATTCACACGCTTGTTTTCCTCCTATCCGTCTCTTCAACTGTAGAGCCTGCATATCCATTATCAATAATCATAGCCATGACCCTATAACTACCTAGACTAGTAGGTACCAGTAGTCTTATGAGAAATAAAGGTAGAAGCATCTCGACCATTAGAGCTATCAAGACTCCCATTCGAAACATGTCCCTTCGAGCTGATACGAACTAATGGCAGCCTTTATGGAGGATTATTACGTCCCTGTAGTGTCGAATTTTACAATGAAGGTTGTGGCTCTCGACACCGGGATTGCCCTGTTCCTGCAACTTTCAGCTTGGCTGTCTTGCAAGACATTACAATGAGGCTAGGCTGTGACGAATTGGCCCTAAGGTGACAAAAATAGATCACTTAGTCGACTAACGGAAGTTTTGAGCTTTCATGTGGCGACCTCTAGAAGTTGTCCACGATGATTTTGTTAGGAGCCTTTGATTTCTCGAGTTATTAACGCCTAATGCAAAATCCACCAAGAGTCTTTCATCAATGTGTTGCATTCATGTGGTTGAAGAATGGCTTTTAGGGTACCGTATTGATGGCATATTCTTTGTAAGTTGTACATATCCATTTATCCCATTCGCCTTAGCAGTCGTTTCAAAGGGGAAGTTTGCGAGTTGCTCTTCCTCGGTATCGTAGTCTTCGCGAGTCGTTATTGATCTGGATATAGATTCCATTTAACACCTAGCTCTACCCCGTGCTGATAGGTCATGGGATAGGTATGATGACGGAGATTCGTGATCGAAACATGTCTGTATGTTTGAGACCCAAAAGGTCAGGAGCAGATGTAAAATCGTCTGGTACTTATCGCCTATATTCATCTCTTCGACTTGCCCTTTGCCTTTGCGGCTTTCTGCTTATCTACGAAATCCTTGATGATTGCGTGCAGATCTTGGTTCCGTCTGGCTAGGAGTAGAACATCCTCTGTGTTGATAGTAGTCCGTCCTGCATGGCGGCTGAAGCTCTCCAAGTCCAAAGCGACGTTTTCTAGGACATGTTAGCCCTTGTTACAAACGATTCCTAGAGTTGATAGATCTGAAGGGATACCTATTTGGGCCCAGACCATCTCAGTCAAAGCTCCGATGAATTGGGGAGTGACGTTCCTATTCCTCCGTAGGGTTTCTTCATCGACCATCTTCCCCACTGCAAACCATAACGCAGCTTTTAGTTGCTGTTATCATAAGTTAGCTGATTTCCTTCCCATTGGACGTTTCCATGATGATCTAACCTCTCGTACCTCATCCTCAGATTCGCCGGCCATAGTCAACTAACTGGCTCGTCTGAGAATCGCAAATGTGTTTCGATTAGGTTTAGTGGTGATGATAACGGGCAATGATTGAACGCGTCTAAATTACGTCAGACGCGTCGGGCCATTTAAGGTTAAAGAGAGTACCACTTTAACGAGGGCCTGTGCGTGCGGTTACTGGGGTACTAGGTACTGCAAGAGGCCTTTTCTTGTACAGAGATCTTTTGTTTGATTTTACCTCAAGTTTATTATTATCGATTTCGTGAATCGATACCGAAGCTTCCGACGAGTATTTTATTTGTCATGAGCAATCTACAATAATTACTCGTCATACCCAACTTTCTTCCATCCTACTATTACCACAGATTCGCATCGCGAATCGTTCTGCAAATCACCCATCAGCTGCGACAGAAACGAGAATCATTAGCCCATCATGTCGGAACTCGTCGACCTCGTCGCCCATCTGTTCGACTCCGTGAACCAGTTATTCACGCTGGTCAAAGATCGCTTCTCCCACAATGTCAGCGAGTCTTTCACTTCTATGACGCCAAAGCAGTGGATTCGACTAGTCATCATCGTCGGCGCATACGGACTGCTCCGACCTTACATCATCAAATTGGGCGCCAAACACCAAGAGAAGCAGCTTGAGAAGCAATTCAAGGAAGAGGAAGAGCGACAGGCGCAAATTTCTCCCAATCAGCTGCGCGGCGAAATCGGCGTCCCCGATGACAGCGACGATGACGAGCAGGCGGAAACAACGGCTTCGGATTGGGGAAAGAAGGCTCGCAAGCGACAGCGAAACATGATCAAGAAGCTACTGGACGCCGAAGAGAAGAGACTTCAGGAGCTGCAGGAAGATGAGGAGGATAAGGACATCGAGGAATACCTCGTCGGATGAATTCGATGCATCGTGCCGATACGCCGGAGGGCAGTCGGCTCGTTTCGTTATCGCGGCTTACAAACCCCAAGATGCTTGTCGGTCAGATCGCCTGTTTTACCGCTATTCGGATAAATTTGCAAATGGAATCCTGGAAACTCGACTTTTGCTAGGGCGACCTGCATAGTCTGACAAATATCCAGTTCACCTAATCGAGGGTCCCCCAGACATTGTGTTTAACCTTTCGTGCGTTGGCGTCTACATATGATCGGGACATTCTCCATGCTGTGCAACTCTCCTCAACTTAATGCGCAATGGAGTTATATGCTGCCGGGCCCTGATACTATAGTTGAAAGGTAGCATACGCACGATCCGAATCAAATACGAATGCAAGCAGACCCGGACTCGAGTCTCATCTTACGCCTTTAAAGGTCATCGGCTGTGCTACCTACTCTACTCGTGTTTCACAATTGGGTGATTGGAATCGCGGCGGTAGTATGTGATTGGAAGAGATATATTGGGTAGGCATAGGCTCGACAAGGTCAGCATAGGAAACGTCGTATCATTTAAGCCATCGTGAATCACGTTTAAGTCTCCTTTTCCGGCTTACATTTGCGTTTCAGCCGTCACACCGCTGGGTCATCCCTTGATTGACCGGTTCTCTGACTTATTGCTCAAGCCGATCCTCATTGCTATGTGTCAGCTATAGCGTAAGAAGAGGTGGATATTTCGGACAAGGTCGGACAAGTCACCACGTTTAAAGACGATACATACATGTGCAGGACTCCATCTCATATTCGCAGCAATTCCGCTCTTAGTCTTCGTAGCATTGGAACCATAAGAGGGAAATCGAGAGGCCCCATGTGAGGTACTACATGGGAGACCAAACAACATCATCGAAGTCTGCGCAAACATAGGCATTGTATCCGAGATCCTATACAGTCCAGGTCCTTTGAAGATTGGGTATACTTTAGTTGCATAACAAACGTCGTCTGGAGTATAGTAGTCGTCAATTGGTAGCTTGTTAGGTTAATAAGCATCTTGGGTACATTGGTTTGGTCTTGACTATGATCTCGTACTACCCGGTTCCGTCTTGTCGGGTCCCTAAGGGGGACCGAGCGTATATTTCTTGAAGCTCTCACTATCATAGGATGACACGAGCTGGTAAATGGTAAATTGATATTAATACATCTTAAATACCAGGACTAAAGACTAGAGGACCAATGACAACGGAACACTTCGTAGGAATTAGTTAGTATAAGCTAGAATAGGACAAATATCTTCTGCTTAGGTGTCTAAAATATTGAAGGTACATACATATATTGCAGATGTCTAGTTCCGCATAGCAGTGGAGAGTGGTGGATGGCCCACCAGATGCCATAAGGCTCAGTTGATAATAATACGTACCACCAACCCTCACCGGCACCGATCTTATCTCAAACAGAAACCTTCCTATGTACGGTCTCTTGGGAGGTTAAGGCAGTGAAGGAGGCCTAAAAGCACACCTAGCCTGGGCGAGTTAGCGGTATCAAATAGTGTAGTGTAGGTAAGCTGGTAGACCGCCAAGGCGACCTAAGCGTGCTTGGCGGTGAGGTGAAGAGTGATAAACGGGGAAAGAGTCAACGCTCGCCGCGCGTAACGATAATCCTCCCTTAACTAATATCATCCTTGGCAAGCCACAAATGTATTGCGCCGTGTTGGAGAAAACGCCATGTGCCTCCTGTGCCTCCTTACCCGGTTGTGACGAGCAGACGAGGGGAAGTGCGATGTCAATATCGTGGTCGACCGAGATCTGTGGCCAGTGGTTTACCCACCGGAAAACGGGGAAGGCCTATGGCTGATCGATAATGGTGGTCAACTTAAGGCCCGGGACCTGTCAACGGACTGGGAAAGGACTGGTGGATATTTTTTTCACATGGGTTACTTTAGCCGCTCGATAGTTATTTGTGAATATGCATATGCATAAGAGTTAATGAACAACTGCAACACCTTATTGACGAAAAAAATCCTATCATCCCGCCTCCTTCACGCAGAAGCGGCAGGCTGGCTGGGCTGACTGGCTTGCTGCATGCCAGCGAATCACACGAATCACGCCTATCAGACCATCATAGCCAAGGCTACGGGATTCCTTGAGACATGATCTAATAATCCTGTGCCAACCCGCCGGTTCATCCCTCGCCAGACCGCTGCTATATTGAGTTCGACATCGGCACTCCGGTTTTGAGATGCTGTAGATATACTGGTTCTCGCTTCTTCAACTTACCAAGTAGTTCCTGCTTGGCAGCGGCCAAGCTTCTCACGATGAGCGATGGTAAGCTCTACTATGCCGAACCTCCACCAGGCCAGGTCCGCACTCCGGTCAATCCACCGACGCGCCGAGGTGACCTGATGGCCGCCGGTATCTCGACGACAATCATTGCCGGTATTGCTCTCGCTCTTCGTCTTTATACGAGGGTTTACATGCTCAAGAAGAAGCTTGAACTTGATGACTGTGAGTAAGGGACATGCCGATTCACAAGCTATTAAACTGATATCGGGCGAAGGGCTTGTCATTGCCGCGTATATAATATCGGTTGCGATGCTGGTATTTGTAAAGAAAGGTATGAGATTCCGGCCTTCTCTGTGAAACGGCTAGCCCTTATTCGTTGTCTAATTCGGTATTTCAAATAGACATCGATCATGGCCTCACATATCACGTCTGGGATATCCTGCAGGATACTTACCATATCGGCGAACGCCTGGTAATGATTACAGCTTTCTCGTGATCTCTCTCTACGCTAGCTAATGCTCATCTTAGTATGGCCTTCTGGCTTATCTTAGTTTCATCTTTAGCGTCAGCTTTGCCAAGATGTCCATGTTAGTCCTATATCTGAGGCTCGCGCCGCACATGTGGTTTCGTTGGACCTGTTATATATGTATCGCCACAATTGTCTCCTATTCGGTGACGGCGGCGCTGGTTGAATCGCTGGCCTGCAGACCACTTCAGGGAATCGTCGATGAAAGCTTGGATGCCGACTGCTACGACTCCTATCCCGCCTACATAAGTCTGAGTAGCTTAAGGTATAGAGTGAAATCTTCCTTCCCACTACATTTCTTACGGAGACTGACATATTTATAGTACGTCATAAGTGATGCTTTACGTTCATGGCAAGATTGCTTACACGTGGCAGATATCGGAATCGATATTATCATTTTATTATTACCAATACCGTTGGTGATTCGAATGCAGCTCCCTAGAAGACAAAAGATTTCGGTAATATTACTTTTTGCAACGGGAATTGTGTAGGTGGATTGCATTTCCCTCTCTATTTGGGATGTAGTTCATGAGTGCTAATAGGCTATTAGCGTATGCTGCGTTGCTCTCAAACGAGTTACATACATACCCGTTCTGGAAGCGAGTGAAGACTATGATTGGGATGCTGTACCTGACAGTGAGTATACGGGATAGATATCACGCCTTGATTTTCTTTTCTTAAAAAAAAAGAACAACAACCCCTTTGTGAAGACTTGAGCTCTATGCTCAACATTATCACACAACAATGGTTACTAACCTTAGAATGTTCAGTGATACTCTGCTTTATCGAAGTCAACCTCGGTATTGTATGCGCATCGGTGCCAGTAGTCCGTCCCTTCTTCAGCCGACTCCTCCCAGCGCTCCTGGCGTATGGACGCAAGGGCTCTGGGACGTCGTCGTCCGGACCGGAAAGTGGGCGAGTGATTGACACGGTGGAGCAGAAGAACATAGAGAGGCAGAATCTCAAGCGGCGGAATATAGGACAGGATGAGTCTTACGACATGTCCACGCTGAGCGAGGCTAGTAGGTGTCTGGACAGCCAAGACGAAGAATCCCGGCTGTGGCCTCCGCCAGAAACGATCAAGGCCATGGCTTCCTCAAGGGTTCCAACGAGGTTAGAGAGGAGTTTGAGTTGACATTGTATTTTTATTATACCTAGTATACCCTGCCACTTGTTGCATTGATGATTAATGACTCAGTATTTTTCTAAGGAGAATGGGTTGCTATGATGCAGTTGTCATTGATTCTTATTGAATGTGGAAACGTTGGAAGTCTATCAATTGGGTACCTAGGCTGTGTTGATTGACTGGTCCGATCTTGGGATAATTACCTCCCTACTATATAGATGTGTGTGTGTGTGTGTGTGTGTGTGTGTGTGTGTGTGTGTGTGTGTGTCATGGGTGAACTAAAGGTATCAACTACGTAAAAGGGGGGTTTTGTAGATAGAGAAGTGCTGTAAGCCATAGATAGGTATGCACAAAGTTGTGTACCGGCTGACTGGGTATTGTGGAGTGCATAAATTTGATCTGACGGAAGTCCGTTAGCTCCGTGAGATCACGTGCGCATTGGTACGTAATTGAGCAGATACCTGCGCACTAACCCAAAATCAATTGGGTTAGTGGGGAAGAAGCTTTCGAATGATCACCATCCACTGGATCTAATTCGAATCAGTCAGCGCAAAGCCGAATTCAATTTCTAACCTCATACATACAACGAACAAATTCCCGACGCAGCCTGCAGTCGGGTTTCAGCCAACGCACTTTCAGCCCGCTGTACTGGCGGTTGCCGTCTTATGTCCTCATAAGATAGCACGGCATCCGGGCACTTGACATTTTCCTGATCTTCCGCATTCGCCAAATATTTCGCCTCCTCTGCGACCCCTCCGAGTCAGTCGTAAGCTTCCACTGCCGCCCAGCATGTCAAGCATATTGCGGCGGTCGGCCGGTCTCGCGCGGGTTGCTAGCATTTCGCTCAGTGCTTCCGTGCGCACAAGTATACGAACAACCCGTCTCTTACGCACCTCGCAGTCTGCCTGGGTAACCCAACGTCCTCGTTACTATACCGACAAGAAGCCCGACGATTCCGACACTAGCAACAAAACTAGCCAGAATGGAGCGCCTCCGTCTAAAAACCCCGACTCGAAGCCCGAAATGCAAAGTTCCGACTCGCCGGGTCCAACTAAGGGAGAGGCACCGACAACACCTCTTGAAGGAAAAGATAGTAGGCCACCACTACCAGAGGGCTGGGTGTATCTCACCGACGAGGAGCTGAAAATGCTCGAATGGAACATTCCGGGTCTCAAGACTATTGATAAAAAAATACTCAAGAGTATGAAAAGAACGGGGGTGCCAGCGCAGATACAGGAAATGATCAAGAAAGCAAGAGACGGAACAGTCACACTTTCAGATGTTGGTAGGGCAATGAAGGTTATCAACACCTGGGCTATTCAACTTAAGGAACGCATGGACAGCATGGAAGAGATGGACGACATGGACAACCAAAAGCCTCAGGATACTGCGTCCAAGCGCACTAACTCGAACAGGTCTCGGGAGGACGAGAAAACATCGCGACGGTCGAAACAGGAACAACACGAAAACCAGGAGGGCTCCAAACAGGGCGAAAGGGACTTTAATGGATTTAAGTCGAACAACCCGAATAGACCGCGTCCCCCTCCACCCGACCAAAATAATCCTCTGAAGGGAAACGACTGGATAACAACAATCTTGGCTTCGGCTGTTTGCTTTTGGCTTTATAACGCCTTATTCGAGAGTAATGGCCGGGAGATCACATGGCAAGAGATGAGGAAGAACTTTTTGGAGAAGGGCCTCGTCGAAAAAATGACCATTCAAGGTCACGTAGTCCGCGTCGACCTAAATCGGGATGCGACGCAATCGATATATCCAGATTCGGTCGCGGCTCGCCCTGGTTTTCATTACTACTTCACTATTGCCTCTGCCGACGCCTTCGAAAAGCGTCTAGAAGACGTTCAGAACGAGCTCGGAATCCCTACAAGCGAGAGAATACCCGTGAGCTATGCTGCCGAGAACCCGCTCTTTAACATCGTACTGGCGTTCGGGCCCACGCTAGCGCTTGTCGGCCTGCTCATCTGGGCTTCCCGGCGTGGTCCTGGTGCTGGTGGCGGGTCGAGCGGCATTTTTGGGTTTGGCAAGAGCAAGGCAAAGCGTTTTAGCCACGAGACGGCGATTAAGGTCAAATTCGCAGATGTCGCTGGTATGGACGAAGCTAAGCAAGAGATTATGGAGTTTGTCAGCTTCCTCAAGAAGCCAGAAAAGTTCCAGAAACTTGGCGCAAAGATTCCGCGCGGCGCAATTCTTGCTGGCCCCCCCGGAACAGGTAAGACGTTGCTTGCAAAAGCCACCGCCGGTGAATCAGGTGTACCGTTCTTTTCCGTAAGCGGCTCAGAGTTCGTCGAGATGTTTGTGGGTGTCGGTGCGTCTAGGGTCAGAGATCTTTTCGCCACGGCACGCAAGAATACCCCATGCATCGTCTTCATCGACGAGATTGACGCTATTGGTAGATCTCGTGCAGATGGTCAACGGTTCGGAGGTAACGACGAACGAGAAGCCACACTTAACCAAATCCTCACAGAGATGGATGGCTTCAACACTACCGACCAAGTTGTCGTTCTCGCTGGTACCAACCGAGTCGATATCCTAGACAAAGCCTTGATGCGACCTGGACGTTTTGATCGGCACATTAACATTGATGCCCCGACAATGAAAGGACGGCAAGACATCTTCAAAGTTTATCTTAAGAAGATTGTAACTACGGAGGAAATTGAATATCTAAGTGGCCGACTCGCATCTCTGACCCCAGGCTTCGCCGGTGCGGATATTGCAAATTGTGTAAATGAAGCCGCCCTCATTGGTATGTTTATCCAGCTATGTCTTTGATTCAATGCTGTAAGCTCACGTGTCAAATAGCCGCAAGAAGTAGTGCTTCGTCAGTCACACTGGCGCACTTTGAGCATGCCATTGAGCGTGTCATTGGCGGCCTGGAGCGCAAGTCGCTTGTTTTAGATCCGAAAGAGAAGAGGACCGTAGCCTATCACGAGGCAGGGCACGCTATCTGCGGTTGGTTTTTCAGATATGCCGATCCCTTATTGAAAGTTTCGATCATACCTCGAGCTAGGGCTCTAGGATATGCGCAGTACTTGCCAGGAGACGCGTATCTAATGAGTCAAGAGCAACTTATGGATCGAATGGCCATGACATTAGGAGGTAGAATCTCGGAAGAAATCCACTTCACTACGGTGACTACGGGGGCTAGTGACGATTTTGACAAGGTAACCCGAATGGCTACTTCCATGGTAACGAAATGGGGTATGTCAGACAAGGTCGGCCCGCTACATTTCCGGAACGATGAGAGTAGGGTGTATAAGCCTTTCTCGGAACAGACGGGTCAAACGATCGACGCAGAAGTGAGACGGATTGTTGAGCAGGCGTACAAGAAGTGCAAAGATCTCCTGTTAGAAAAGAAAACGGAAGTGGGAATCATCGCGGAAGAGCTGTTGAAAAAGGAGGTATTGGTTCGAGACGACATGGTTCGATTATTAGGACCTCGACCTTTCGATGATAGAGAGGACTTTGCCAAGTATTTCGGTGGCGAAGCCAGTAAGGCGCCACCGGGGCCGCCCCCACCACCATCATCACCGGAGCTCCCTGATGCTCCGGAACCTCCTTCTAGTCCTGCATTATTTAAGGAAGATAACGGCAACGGCAACGGCGAGATTGGGAGGTAACGGGTCCCTTTTGTATATACGACCTCATATCACGGACGGGAGTTGTCGAGGGCTATTGTCATGATTTATGACGACTCGAAGCTCTCAACTCATTCAATGTATGTTCTATAACTAACGAGAAAGGGGAAAAGCATACAATGATGCCGAGACCTGCACATACTGTACAATACCAGATAAGAGTCTCATAATCGCAAGGCACTGGCGTTTGGACGTTAAAAGAAAAGAAACAAAACCAGAGTTCAGAGTTCAGAGCTCCAACGAACGTGCCGATGACGCACTCCCGTTCCCTCATTTGCCCCCCCGGTTGCGGTTCTCTTGGTTGCTGTGGGGAAACGACCCGGCAAGGGTCGAGGTAGAACTAAACCAAGTAGAGAATAACCGCGGAACCATGGAAAGGTTATCTACATCCTCGATTAGCTAATTGTGCACCTGTAGACTTTTAAGCGGTAGATACACCGCCGGTTTAGGATAAACTATTGGTAGGTATTTTCACAGCAACTCGCGGCGATTCGACACTTCGCGAATGAGCATTGATTTACTCGTTGAGGTTGTTGGTAGTTGGGTATCACCCGACGTGTCTCTTAGATATGGACATTGCCTGAGACTGGACTTGCTTTTCATTTTGGCTAATACTTTATTGGAAATCTTTCTCTTTCCGTAGCTGAGACCCTTGGGCCGGGTAATTCTTTGTTTGGTTCCTAAATAACCTAGCTGAGTCCACATCAGTCAATATTTACAAATAGGTTTCGCTTTTATAGATACGGATGGCAACTTGGCTGTAATAGGATTGTCCCACCCAATTGGAAATCCAGTTATCCCGCGAGCCATGTCTCAGACGGCCGACTCGCTGACCTTCCCGACGGCGATGCACTCCTCCGGGGGCAGTCGCGGCGGCACAGCCGAACCCGGAGGGGCTGGGGCTGGGGCCGGGGCCGGATCGTCGCCGAGCGGGCACATCCGGCGTTGGGTCAACTCCCTGCTGACGTCGCGTAATACTTCTGCTACCCTCGGTCACGGCGGCACGGAACAGCGACGACGTGGCGCTAGCCAGGAGCCCGACGGCTGGTGGAAGATACGCCTCTTCCGCGGCATGGTCAACGACCTGCGACGCCGCGCGCCGTACTACTGGAGCGACTGGCGCGACGCCTGGGATTACCGCGTCGTGCCGTCGACGGTTTATATGTATTTTGCGAAGTACGGGACCCCGTTCACTATTCCTATTCTCCCTTCTCGGCTTACAATTCTTGGGGTTTTACTGTCAAGTTTCCGTCGACGGATTCTTGAGAATTCGTAGACCTTCGTTACACCGGAATAGGAGATGAACTGACTAAACCTTCTAGTATCCTTCCCGCACTCGCCTTTTCGCTCGACATGTTCACCAAGACAAATATGCAGTATGGTGTGAACGAAGTGCTTTTGGCGTCGGTTCTAGGTGCGGTGGTGTTTGCGATACTTGCTTGTCAACCGTTGGTTATTGTGGGAGTTACCGGTCCTATCACGGTGTTCAATTAGTACGTCTTTTTCGTCCTATTATTTATATCAGCATTAAGTATCACATCTAATTGGAAGTATCTAGCACGGTCTACGATATAATGACGCCCACTGGGACGAACTACTTGGCTTTCATGACCTGGATCGGCCTTTGGTCCCTGGTGTTCCATTGGATTCTTGCCGTCACTAATGCCTGCAACTGGCTACGTTACGTGACCCGGTTTCCGTGCGATATTTTCGGCTTCTACGTCGCATTCATCTACTTACAGAAGGGCGTCCAGGTGCTCGAGCGCTTCGGCGACGATTCGCCATTCTACCTATCCGTCATGGTGGCTCTACTCGTTTTCATGATCGCGTATGCTTGCGGCGAGCTGGGAGAGAGTCCGCTCTTCCGACACCCTGTCCGAGTATTTCTTAAAGACTACGGTACACCACTTACAGTCATCTTTTTCACCGGGTTCGTGCACCTTGGCCGTATGAAGACGGTTGAGCTTGAGAGGTTGCCTACGAGTGCGGCTTTCTTCCCTACTGCTGATAGGGGCTGGCTTGTTCATTTTTGGGAAATTGACGTTGGGGATGTATTTATTGCGATACCTTTCGCGGTCTTGCTTACCATTTTATTTTATTTTGATCATAACGGTAAGCTTGGCCGGATTTCCTCCCACTCGGGGTAAATCAACACAGGTCTTAGTTAGGAAGCTCACGAAGTAAATAGTATCATCCCTCATCGCACAAGGAACCGAGTTCCCCCTACGCAAACCCGCAGGCTTCCACTGGGACCTGTTCCTCCTGGGCCTGACAACCGGCGTCGCAGGTCTCCTCGGGCTCCCCTTCCCCAACGGGCTCATCCCGCAAGCGCCCTTCCACACCGAATCGCTCTGCGTCACCAAGGTCGTCGCCGACACCGAGGAGACCAACGGCGAGGCAAAGGGCCACTACGCGCTCAAGCGCACGCACGTCGTCGAGCAGCGCGTCTCGAACCTGGCCCAGGGCCTGCTGACCCTCGGCACCATGACGGGGCCCCTGCTCGTCGTCCTGCACCTCATCCCGCAGGCCGTGCTCGCCGGCCTCTTCTTCATCATGGGATACCAGGCCCTCGAGGGCAACGGCATCACGGCCAAGCTCCTGTTCCTGCTCAGGGACCGCGCGCTCACGCCCGGCGGGCACCCGCTCGCGGCGATCCGCCGCAGAGCAGCCGTCTGGGCGTTTGTGGGAATCGAGATCGCGGCTTTCGGCGCTACGTTCGCTATCACGCAGACCGTGGCCGCCGTCGGGTTCCCCGTCGTCATCCTCGCGCTCATACCCGTGCGCGCGCTGCTGCTGCCGAGGGTGTTTACTCCCCAGGAGCTGGGTATCTTGGACGCGCCGACTGCGAGCCCGTTTACGATGGAGAGCGTGGGTGGCTCGTATGCGGCGGAGGGCGTCCACGGGCACGGACACGGTGCTGGGGAGGGGACGGGGACGGTGACCGAATTCACGGAGAGTGGGAGCGAGGGCGTTGTGGTGGGTCCTACGGGTGCGGGCGCGGAGGCGGTCGGGAGAAGGAAGAGCGAGGAGGTGTTGGCTGAGGAAGGCCGCGGCCGGGTGGTTGAGGACGTCGGGATCGAGATGAGTCGCTTGGGCGTTAGTAGGAGGGGGCAGGCGAGCCGGAGTGTGGCGAGGGATGTGGGTTAGTTGAGTAGGCGAATTGTAGACGTGACGTTACGTGACCTGGGTTGGTATAGAAGGGGTCTTGTTGGTTGGGGTTTGGGATACATAAAAGTTGAGGGAGATTGTGAATACTGCGTTTGATGTGGTTGTACTGAGTCCTCCGCTTTGGGAGATAGGTAGATAACGCGTTTTGATAGACATTATGCCTCGTTTCTTGTACCCAGACAATATTCGCGACGATCGTCTAGGACTGGAAGGTCCTTAGTTCTCGTTCAGAGGTTTCTAGTCCTGCCCCTGATCTCGTTAGTGGGATCATTACGTAGGTAGGTACGTTAGAGGTCTAGTTGGGTTGGTGGTTGGCCCAATACAGGCTCGACCTGTTGGGAGACGTTTGGAGATCCTCGCGCAGTAACACCGTCGCTTTCACATCCACTACTTTCTGCATCGTGACAAGTTGGGTCGGCGGCGTAGTCTGACATAAATTGGAAAAGCGGTAGTCCAGATCCTTCGCAGGCACATGGATCAATACCGAAGATGTTAGGGCTCGCGAAGCGCGTTGGTGGCGTAACACGTTGGGGTTCTGTGAGAAGTCCTGGGAAGGGTTGGAGCGCGATTCGCATTGAAAATTTGAGATGAGGAACGTTGCATATGTGGTGAGAAAGAGTGTACTGATTAAATGGATAGGTATACGTATGGACGATTGTGCCATGTATTAGCTTCGAGGCTCTTGCTCGTTGTCCGTTGTTGAACGTATTGCCCTAACAACTACGTTCGAGGCAGACCTTCCTTTTTCATTATTGCTTATGACTTTGCCTGAGATTGTTATTCATTTGCTTTGTTTTGAATATATACCTAGGTAGATAAGCCATCGAGGCATCGTGAAGTCGTTGTGTAGCTAGATAGGTACCTAACTAGGTAGATTCGATTCGCCTTGATGACGCCTCCTTTTACTTATTGTATGATTCTTTTCGTTTATCGCGCCAAGATATCCTTTCGTCACAATTATTTAGGTATTTCCCGTATAATTTATAACATCGTTCGATAGGACTTTTGGATTATGCTCGGCACCGTGGATTCGTCACTCGCGATTAAGCAGGTAGGTACCTAGCTTTCCAGGGTGTAAGTAGAAGGAAATAGTTGGTCAAATTTCCGACACCTGAAAGATGGAAAACTCCCATAAAATATCCAATGATCTCTTGACTTTAAGTTAAAGAAGGTCACAACAGTAGAAATTTATATGGAGTATCAACCTTAGGCATTATTCTGAATTGCGCCCCTTGACAGCTAACGAGGCGAGAGAAGATTGGGATACGCAAAACAGATCAAAGAAAGGGGTAAGCACGCCACCATAGTGACGACGAATCCACGCAACATAGGAGCCGAATTATCCCTGATAACGTCAAATTAATCGATGTAGAGGTATGAAATTTACACACCGTAGTATTCGACTGTTGAATCTTTTCATAAGTCCGTGAGCCAGGGAAAACACCGTGACTACGATCCACAGGTTTCCATTTAGAATTGCTCTCTAATGAAGCTCGCTGAACTCTGCAACAGTCCTATATTCGAGGGATTCGAGTTTAATAAAGGCTTTCAATTACGAGGGAATGATATGAACACGCTTCCATGCACTCCTGCATCTTGTTTCAAACCTGTTCTACGAAGTGCTCACACTTAAACGATTCGATCGCATGCACCGGTTCGTTTATTCGTCTATCTGTTGGGATTTTCTACATGTGATAGGGCCGTATGCTGCTTTAACCGCGTAGTAAGGGCTGCGCCTTCTAGGGGGCGAGGCCCTCTATTCATATGAATTAGCAATTTGGCTTCATTAAGGGGGATACATGTCTATTCGAGCTAGCAGGTCTCTAATTACTATGAACCAAGATGCGAATTGGTGTTTCGTCTATCAAGGCGATACTTTAACTTCTATTTGATGTGATTATAACTAATGGGCATACAGGTGCTCGCGTCTATTGGGACCAACCCCTTTTGTTGTTGTAAGAGGGAAAGTTGCTGAAAGTAGCCTGAACTTCAACTACATACACTTCATTGTGCCCCCTCCCCTTAGACAACGGCGGCAGTAGGAATGATCGCTACGGCGGGTAAACGCCGCTCTTCTGTCAGGCTCTCATCATTTCCCCTTCTGTTTCCTGGACGGTGACTAGACTATCAAGACCCATTCTACCGTTTCAACTCCGTCGTCTTTCTCTGCGTCTAGGACTTAGCGCTACGTAAAACAAAAAAAAGAACACGACTGCCGTGCTGGCTTCCCCTCGATCTCGATATGAGCCGGTGCACTTAGGGCGGCTAGCGGAGGTAGTAGGGGATGGGTAAGAATTGGGAAGACGGGGCTTGCGAGTAGGAGCGCGGCAGCGGCCCAAGCGAAGCTAGAAAGGGGGCGTTAACGCTGGGTTTCCAGGCAGAGTTCAGTTCCTCTTCCCCTCCATCATTCACTCTCGTGTAGAAGCACCGAGTTTCTGGCCGCTTACCTGCCTGTGACTGGTAGCTCTTGGCCGACTGCCCCATTTCGTACGTACGGGGGTTACAAGCCACCGGGAAGAAAGTAGTAGTGCGTGCGGTAGTCTATTCCTGCGTCTTAACCCTCAACCTGCGTCCCCACGCTAGAAGGTTTCCTTTACACTATACTGGAATCCTGCAGAACACTCTAAACATCATGGCCACTTCCCAGGTCCTCGTGCTGCTGCTAGATAGATAGGTAGATAGATAGATAGATAGATGATGGATGTGCCAGCCCCCCGCGCTGCAGGTTCCCACCCGCCCCCGGATTCCAAGACACATGTCTGTAGCCCAAGTTCGTTTCCTGGACGAACGGAAATTCTAGGACCATCTCTCCGGGGACGACTTGGGGGTTCGATGTCTTGGATTATGAACTTAATTCCCTTGCAAGTAGTACACGGAAAATATGGCGTCCGAATACCAGATTCCCAGGACTTAGGCTCTGCGGCAAGGGTTCCTTCGCGGATGCCTACACTTAGCGGTATAAGGGGGGCATAATTATCAACCTACCATCTACTAGCATACGGTTAGGAGGAGGCTATTTCGTGAGGAAAAAAGCCTTCGCGTCGCTGTTACCCGTCGCCATCTCTCATGTGCTGGTAGGCAAGGGTTTGCTGTCGGCGAAATATAAATCGCATGGCATCATCGCGTGTTAAGAACGACCAAAGTCCACCATGCAAGATGCAAGGACAGGGCGCGGCTATACGACATATAGGCCAACCTACCTAGGTAAGTCGCAATACAGCCGAGTCGGGTACCCAGGAAAATACGTGAAAGAACCGGGCGCACAAAGCAAGCCCGCAGGCGCCAACAGCTGCACGGTTATCGTCATCTATCTGCAAGCAAATATTACGATGCCTATAGCCTCCGTAGCGGTGGCGTGATGGGGACGTATACGCAGAGACACGAAATCTTTCGACTTTCGCAAGGAGGCGCTGGATTTCGGGCCCGCGACCGGGCTCGTGGCCGAGGTGGCTTGCCCTTCGGCGCGGGACGCTGCGCGTGTGGTGGCCCCCATGGCGCCGCCACTCGTTTCAGCGATAGATTTTTTCGAATACCCAACTTACTGGTTGTCTAGCATACCTCGGTAGACGGCTATGGTAAGTCGCAGGAACCAAGCGTATGGGCATAATGGGGGCAAGTCGGGGGAGTAGAACTTCCGCCCGGCAAGCCACTCGCGCAACGTTGGATCACTTTTACTTTCACCTAGGCCTGCAGAGGAAGAGATAGGTAGAATAGGTAGAATATCCACTTCGAGGATTGCCCTCAGCTGCTAATGAAAAGTGCCGAACTGCAACTAGGCTCCAGGAACCGGTTTCTGGAGATCGTCCTTCCGGGGCCCCGACCTCTACTCTGTTCGACCCCCTTGGTCATTTCGGAATTTACCATCGTTCGACATCGTGGGATCTAAATTCCCCTTGCCCCTATGCGGCGTCCCTTGTTCCCCTTTCCCTAGACACGAGAACGATATACGTGCTTCTTCAGCAGAACACCCTCTCGCTCTTTTGCTTTCTACCCCCCACAGCCGGAAAATATCTGCCCGGTTAGGTAGACGTTTGGGAAATCCTGACAGGCTAGACCTAGCTATCGTCTCGGCTCTCAGGCTGACTGGCCCCTGGGGACCCCATATGCTGTCATTCCACACCTTTTGCCTAAATGGCGGGCGATCTCCCTCCTAGCGAATCTAGGCGGCCTCCTGAACGGTAGGCTAAGGCATTGGGGGCAGTAGGGCGAGGCTCCGTCGGTCATCAAGGCTGAAGTTCCCGTCATGTTCTTCATCGCTCTCGTCCTCCCTTGTTACCCCTTTTAGTCTATAGTCTACCGGGTTATAGGAGGGCATATCTAGCAGACGGAAGGCAAATCTAAGGCTTAGGGGTCCAGCCAGTCAGCGGTAGGTAAGGTAACATAGAGGATGGCTGAGTCATATCTGCGCCGCTAATAAATTATGATTCGCGGGTCGGAAGGTTGGAGCGAAGAGGGCCCAGCCTAGAACTTGATCGAGCGTGACTAAAATGATCGCCTTCCTGGATTTCCCTCTGCACGCCCGTCACCGTGCATTTCGTACCTACCTACCGAAGGAGCAGACGGTGAATGGGAAGATGTTACGATGTTACGATGTACAACCACGTAGGGTCTTCGTATCTTGTATCTACATTGGGGGTACATTGGTTGGCCTACCTTAGTAACCTACACGTACGGAAAAGGGCAAGACTAGGACGGGATGGGAAACACAACGTCTCAATAGGGGAAGTCAAGATTCAAGCAAGCCTCTGATGGGTTGGAACGGGTGGGGGGCTATAATGGCACATCTTATAGCCCTGGCTTCGGCTGCCACGGCCTGGTGCATAACACGAACCAAACTGTGGCTTCAGCCGGGTCCGCGAACTTGATTGACAGTAATCATCTAAATCTGTTTCGATCAAGATTCAAATCGTCCAGAACCGATCGACAGCTGCTGCGCGCTTGCGCCTGTGGCTTGAGAGGGAGGGGCGTGTAGAAAACACTAGGATAAGCTCGCCCGTTCTAGGTACGCGTGGGCGTAGCGGCGCGAACTGGAGAATAACAGAGGAACACGACAGAGCTAAGACGTTTAAAACAACGCAGAGACACGTTGACTAAATCTAACTGCAGTCAGATTCGGCCGTCGCTGATGTTGTAATGCAGTCTGCATAGATACGTAGGCATGGATGGATGGATGGAGGTTCTGTAAACCAACAGAGCAGAGAGAGCGTAGTAGCTGTGGTGCTGTGTCGAAACATCACAGCATAACAACATACGCAAGGCTAGACCGAGAGCTTCCGACAGGTGCCTCAAACCCGCTGAAGAAAAAAAAAAAAAAAAAGGGCGAAGAGAATAAAGGAGACCATAGAAAAGAGAAAGAATAAGAAAAAAAAAGATCATCATCTGCAACGCGATGTTGTCTTGCATGCGGAATGACGCAAAGTAAATCCTCCTTTTTTTTTTCTTCCCCCTTCGCTTTTTATAAACAACACTTGGGAACGTAACTCTCACTACCGATTGCTGCATTGCGCTGTCCGGCGCCTAGTCCCGAAGGAGCTGGGACCGTCTAGCCAAAAAATATATCGGAGCGATCTTAAGCGTCGTAGCGCAGCTGTCTGTCTTGGGCACGGTCGTTGTACCGGGAATCCTTGGCCGGAAATTCCTCTCTCTGCCCTAGGCTAAGCTTTGACATATTATAGCATATTCTTTGCCGGCGAGCGGCGGCGGCTGCTGCTGTGCGGCGTGACAGGTAGGAAATACGTCTTAACCTTTTTTTACACATCAATATTTGGTGTGGTGGCATGTACCTAGGGGGCTAGGTAGGTAGATACGTGTGGATGAATAGGTAGCATGTATGTATGTATGTAGGTAGGTTGGTCGTATAGGTGGATGCTTGCTTTGCTCGCTTGCTTGACGGGAATATCCCTCCTCCTTTCTCGAGGTTGGGGAAGAGTTAAGGGCCCGTCCACCTAAACTCCTTCCCGTGCCCGAGGATCTGAGCCAATCGTTATGTCGTGGTATCTGGCACAGCATCGTTTTTGGGGCCCCCCTTGTGCTGTCTTCCACAAGAACCTAAGATCCAGCTCCCGACAGCGTCTCACCGCGCCGTACGTACATCCACACGTCCAGACATCCACAGCTCATCCACACTTCTACAAATATATACCTACATGCCTAGCATAACCTAACATGCTTCGAGTTTTCCTCCTGCATAGCAGCCTACCTAGGTACCTAAACCTAGGTGGTGGAGGGTCGCACCAAACGCAGCAGCCGTCATAAATCCCATCCCTTTCGTATGCAGCAGGCTGCGTCTTGTGCAACCCATCCTGCAGTTGTCAGCTTTGGGGTCTCTCCTAACCTTTATTGGCTTTTTTGAAGTACCCCAGGTGCATCCCTGCAACCCAGTGGGAAGCTTTCCAAACTGTTACCGCGCGTTTCCTTATTGTGGCCTGCATTATCTGTGGGTGGAGGTCCCAGGAAATTGTTTTTGGTGCGTCTTCTAAGTGGTGAGGGATCGCGAGATGATGATGGATCGATATTTCCGACCTCACCAATTTTCTGAGCAGACCCCTGACGGTTTACTGTCGGCTTTGTGGTGGTTTTATGGGTTGTTACAAGTCCTTACTTTCCTATCTTTTTTTTCTTGCCTATTTGGTATAACGTTACCGTAACGAGAAGGCCTATAGCAAAGATTGCAGGGGTGTATTTTTTTTTCTCTTCTCCCTTTCGAAACCCCTCCCCTGACCGGGAACGATGCCGCGTTTTATACGCGCGCGACGATCACCCACCCGGAAATAGGACCAAGGAGATTTTCAAAAAGCAGAGGAAGAATATGGAAAGAAGCAGCTAGTCGTCCAGCGTCTGCAATGTCGCATCGAGACTTGCCTGGGTAGGCAGGGAGGGCCGTCTTCGTTAATTGCTAAAACGTGTTCGGGGAATTCTGAGTGGAACGAGATCTCTCCAAAACGAGATTTACCATCTATCGGCGTTACATTCCGATTTTAGGGGCAAAACCCTCTTTCTCCACGCTGCTACGACTTCGCTATGTATGCTATAAGGCGAGCAAGTCGGAGAACCTGGCGTACTATAGTAGTAGTAAGCTGGGGGCGCATAGCTTCGGTAAGTCACTTTCGCGTCGTTTGCGTTGAGAACGTCTAAGCCACGACTTATACCGGGAGGGCAGTTCGCGCCTTACTAGTCGTGAGCCTCAACAGAGGTCTATGGGGCTTGCGGAGAACGTCAGAATTTGGAATGCAGATCGGTACCAAGCTTCAAACAGGAGGTATGTAAGGTATGTAGTAATCCACATGAACGTATAATTCTTAGAAATCGTACTATCGTGTGGATCCCCGTTCGACAGAGCAAGCAGCAAGCGAAATAAGCCTCCATGAAAAAAATATCAGACTTGATGAGCTGGTTGTTCACGAGCCTGATTCGTCTTTGCGAACCAGCAGCTTACATTGACCTCGAGACCTTTTTTGGTCTCGATCGAGGAAGTGCCTATGTACAGCCCAAGTGCAAAGGGTATCCAGTTCGCGCGTCAAGCGGTGGAAATGCCGGTATATGCCTCGCTTGATTTCACCATCTTGATCACACGCCTTTTCCGTCCGTCTCATAGCCATGCCGGTTTCGTATCCTGCCTCCTCCAGTAGGTATGGTATGTATGTAGTATGTTTTGATATGTTCTTTTTTCTCGGATCATAAAACACAATCATTCTGATTCCGCCCCCTAACCAACCGATATACCAAAACGCTCAATACTCCCAAGAATTTGTCGTGGCACTGTGACACGCCCACACCGAGAAATGCAACTAAAATACCCCAAAAATCAAACACAAAAAGTATATAGTAACACATGGTAATCTAATAGGGTCCTTAAAAATTGGGTATTATTTTCGAATAGAATCAGAAGAGCGCCACATCGTTTTTTCGAGTTTCTGTGTCACCGTGCTTCACCCTCCCCCTTGTTGGTATCTCGGGACCGTTATTAAAATGACGTATCCTTTCAAGTAGTGTGTCCGTACGGTTGGGAAGTTTGAGCCGGTCCGGGCGTATGCCCTCCTTGCGAGAGGCTAAATGAACTCCGTTTTCGTTTCAACCCTGAACCAGATCCACCCATTCCCTCTTGTGAATAGTCCTCGCTCCTTTCACTAGACCCCTGTCCCTGGCCCACACTCAAAGGACCACCCCCGAACGTGTCTCTCATCGGGGTCCTGGTACTTGAGCTTCCCATACTACCGTGTAGTGCCTGATTAAAATCGTGCGGAGGCGCGATTGGCGCGCTCATCTGTGGCATCGAATACTCCTGAACCGAGCTCCTGCTGGGAATCCCTGGGGTCCTGGAAAGCGAAAAGTCGATAGGTGCTGTTAAAGGAGCGGACGGAAAACTTGTAGTGTATGCGGAAGATGAACCGTAAGGCGCAGTAGTTGCAACTCGGGGCGTTGAAGAATGGCTGGGGGATTGAAGGCCATGACTAGACGACATGGGTCGGTATTGGTGTCGTAAATCCAGGCCGAGTGGCAGAGTCGCAGAAGTTGCTCGAAGACGAGATCTGTTCTGCGAAGGTTGTTGTAGGCTTGAATAATTAATATTGGTCGGAGAGGTTTGGACGCCCGAAGCTGATAAAAATGTTAGCAGATTATCCCAGATAGTGAGAATATTCCACTTACTAGAATAAGAATTAGAATCATAGTTCAACGAGCTTCCCGGGTTGCTACCCATTTGGTCGGATTGGTAAATGGACTGGTGCCTCCCACCGATTCCAGGGCTCCCGCTGGTGCCCGAATACGTGCTGTAGTCGATTGAATCCCCTTTCCATGACATACTCGAGCGTAAGGGCGACTGTAGATTGTCTGGTCGTGACCTCGACATGGTTTCCCTAAGTTGAAGTGGCTGTAGAGGACGGATCTGCTGCCTGTTTTGCGAATGCATTTGCACACCAGAATCAAGGCTGTTTTGTCTGAAAGGGTTTGAACCTCTTTGAGCTCCCCCAAGAGGGCTTGTCATATGACTTGAATAATATCCTCGATCGTTCGAGGACGGCGACAGCGGAGAGAGTATGTCGCTATTCATAGTCCCTGGAGGGGTGAAGTTGATGCCTCCAAAAGCCGGAGTCAGTCCGCTAGGAGACATATGGTCGTCGTTTTCCCCTCTTCGCATCGTGTCCACCATCAGTGGCCGCATGATATGGTCCGTGTATGACGAAGTTCCAAAGTCGACAGGAGGCGTGATCGGGCCTCCCCCAAGTCCGTGGACGGCACCATAAGGAGAATGCAGCGCTTGAACATTGTCAAAGTCGTCCGGAACGGCACGCATTTTGATCATTCGATCTCGGTCATCGGCTGTAAGCCGCTTGATCTTCGCTCTCCTGCAATAGTTTAGATTTACTTCGTCAGAGAAAAAGGACAGCGAAGGTCTCACCTGTTTTGAAACCAGACCTGAACCTGCCTCGGACTTAGTCCTGGGATCTCCCTCGAAAGTCGTTCTCGGTGTGCGGCATCCGGATGCGGTTGTTTTGCAAACTCGCTCATTAGAAATCGGGTTTGTTGGTGCGTAAGCCTGCTTATGTTAACGACGTTTACTAGCAGCTGAATCATCGTCCCCTACCTAAAACGCTTCATCTTCCTTCGAGCCGCTGTGCGCTCAGCTGCAGTTTGCGGTTGCGTCGTGGCCTCTCCCTCCCCTTCTACCATTTCATCGTCATCCAACACCTCGTCGTCTTCATCTTTTCCTATGGCACTCTCTTCATTCCCGGTGGGACCAGATGTTGTTTCTTGCCCTTGCACTGAAGAAGCTGGTCCTAACCCGCTCGGTCCAAGTGGAAGTCCCTGAGGATCTGTAGAAGCTAAGGATTCCTCGTGGGCGGACTCTGCCTTGATAGCATAACTCGCTCCTTGAACATCAGAATGTTCTTGTACGGGAGATTCTGCCTTCGGTTGTCGTAGTCCAAGTGGATCTAATATGCGAGAGTGGCTCATTGGCGAATGAATACTGCTCTGGGCTGCCTGATTCGTGTTATCAAGCGTGCTGTTGTGTGCGCTCGCGGGGCGCTGTTGCGAAGAAATGTCATTGTTACTACTGGAGCCGGTCACTTGCTCGTAAGGTGGTGCGAAGATATTACTCTCCCCGGGAGGAAGAAAGGAGTATTGCCCCTGCCAATCAGGCTGTGTCGACAGATGGCCGTCGTAGCTCGACATGCGTGGGCTTGTGGACTTGTGGAAGGTGGTCTCAAATTTGCTAGACCAGTGGTTTTGCTCCGGTTCGAGATGCCTGGTAACGAGCATTGGAAATGTTGCAGGGGTTTGGGTATCGAAAGCGATATAAATTCCAAGAAGCTAGGGTAGCTGCTTGCCGAAGTAGGTCGTTCAGATCAGCCCCAAGGAAACCCAAGAAACCAAAGAAACCAACTCTTCACAGTCAATATTTTCAACAGGGTAACAGTAAGGCGAGAAATTTATTTCCCCGGCCTCGAGCTTGGAAAGTCAGCAGTAATCTCGGCTATCGATAGAGAACTGCAGAGAGCTGCAACAGGAGACTATCCAGGACCTTTTTAGAACCGGCTTAGGCTCGGGCGATCTGTAGCTTCTAGGTACTTTCTAATACCGCCGAAGACAATCGTACATGCATGCCATAGATTAGGTATATAGAACGGTCGATGAAAGGGCCTTTTCTCTCCTTGGATAGCGTTCCTCCTGTTGATATGTTTACTTCGAGAGTTGTCGCGGTGAAAGCTGGGTAGCTATCGAAGCTCGAAGTCTGTAGCTGTAGAGTAGGCACTCTTCCTCACCGACTAGGACCCGGTGGATAGGTATATATCGAATTGTTGAAACGAGAGTCAAAGCAACACAAGCTGCAATAGTACCAACCTATGATCAAGGCCTGTTTGTTACCGACTGGGTTGGAAGACGAGAAGGATGCGAGACATAGATATGAAGCCACCAGGTATATGTTGAAGATGCTGAGGATGTAGAGAAGTTGCTTAGGGGTCCGTCCTTCTTGATTTTCTATGACAAGTCGTATATAGATCGAGGATCCTCGAATGATGGTCTGGTGGGGTCGGTCGCCTCAAAGCGTCTAGACACCGGTAGGCCTTGCGTTATGTATGTATTTGGGCTTTGGAAGTAGTCCGTGGTCGCAACAAGGCGCCTTCGAGGTAACCCCTGCTCTTGAGGATGACAGAGGTGGAATTAATACCGAATGGTACCGCCCATCCTTACGGAGAAATGTCCAGGGAGGGTCCGAGGAAAGGGCAGGGCCTGCACGTCTGGAGAAGAGGGTGTTCGTGAGTGTTGGGTCAGCTTTGGGACGGTACCTGGCCAGATACGGTAGAGATATTGAAAAGGGACTGGATGCACGTTTTAAGGCTTCGTCTACCAAGACAGAAGCCGCACGCTTAATAGGCTAGGTGTGGTATTAAGAAAAAAATCCCCCAGCATGGTAACTGCTGAGCCACACACCTTTTTTTTCTTTCATGGATGATAGCAGAAGTAGCAACGTCTATATCGAGTGGGCCGTGACCATTGGGTTTCTCGGCTGAATGGCTAATGCCGTGTTATGGTGGCCTGCCAGAGAACCAACAGACAGACCCTTGCCGTCACAGGCCCCAACCGGAAACGTCAATAGAATAGCAGTAGTAACTACGGAAAGGCAGCCGCTAGACTGTTAGGCATAATTTGCGTTCGAGCGTGCAAAACCTCGGTATTTCTTGGTCGAATATCACCCAGCGAACTACTAGGTCAAGGACGAAACAGAGAAGGAATCTGACACGTTCCTAGGATAACGAGACTTCCTCATTAGAGCTGCTCGCACTGCTCGCACAGCCCAGTTCTCCCTCGGGTCGAGACTTACGGTATACGAATAGAAACTGAGGTACGGTACAGCGGTAAGCAGAGTCCTCGGAGAGAGGACAGGATAGGGAAAACATAACATCTCGGCTGGGACATCTGGGAGCTGGTAATTGGTCCTTCATTACATTAGCTCAGCGTAGACTTCGCGGATGAACGCATGACCGTTGATGAGACTAGTGGAGGTTCACGCCAATAGGAAGATCAACGCTTCTGGGTGGGTGTGGTCCTCCAGGCTATCCCCGCAGAACATCGAGGACTGGCCCAGGAGTCCAGGAGACGAGAGTGCCCGTAGATGTACAGATGTACAGATTGCTTTGGAGGATCGCATCCGAATCGGTAGGGAAGTAAGCCTGCGAATTATGTGGGCCAGGTAGCGAGCAAGGGGTATCGATTTGTGATGCTTGCCCAGGACCTGCCCTGGCGGTGGCGACAGGGGATCAAGGGAAGATCCCATAAGATCTTCCTTGCCGAAAACTAGTACAGCACATGTACCTTGCACAGACTGAGCGGGCATGCAGAGTACCTGTCATCGACCCGCGCTCTAATGCTTATTAAGGAATAAGAGTGGTGAGCCGATGTGGACAGATGAGGATTCTACTAGACATTCCTGTGGCCACCTATAGGCTGTAATATAGGTAGCTAGATGTCGACCTTCCCTTCACTGACGGGAGTGAGATCGGGTCGGCTCGCTAGTACGAGCTCTATCCTCCATGCTATGCGCTCGACAATTTGATAGAGAGGACGAGCATGGGTTGTTGGGGGAGGAACTACAGCATGTAAAGGACCCATAGGTACTAATAGCTTCAGATCTGGAGGGGGGGCCGCTACGAGAGGCAAACAAAGAAAGACGCGCTAGGTGGGTAAACCCCAAGAGCCATCCGAACAGTGATGGGGGTTTGTGGGAATCTGCGCCGAATGAGCCGTAGGCTGATAATGTGTTACCTACAAAAACCTGTGGGGCCTAGTGCAACAGTATGTGAAGTCAGGTACCTAGTATGTGAGGTAGCAATGCAGTCTGGATCTCTCGAGATTGCTAACCTTTAGAAGGAGCCGCAAATGAAAGAGGTATAGATTAAGATTGGAGTGGAGAGGCTCACGGACAAGAGATATTTCGATGTTGGAAACAAAGTCGACAAGGAATAGGGATGACGTGAAATGTGTGAAGGGTCTGGAGAGATCCCCGTTGAGCTTTTCTGACGTTGGACAACTCGAAATCTAGAATAGACCTCAAAAAGTTTGCTGGCCGATTTGGCTAGACTATTGTAGGGAGGTTCTGTGGGTACAAGAACGGAGCATGCCTTTAGCGTGGCTGCGTGGGAAGGCTCTGCGGCAAGGATAGCAGCCGTGGTTTCATCAGGGGAGGCTGGCTGGGCGACGACAAGGGTCCGTGCCAGGATGAGGACGAAGATGGCGCGATAAGATTGATTTCTCTCAGATGCTGTTCGAGACAGACGAACGAGATTCATAAAACAACGACCAACGCCAGCGCCAAGAAGGATTTCTAGCGAGGACCGTAATTTTAGAGGGATCGGAACGTGGATAGGTAGGCATACAGCAAAAGTGACGAGATCTTGAGAGAGTTGCCAACTCTCTGAGTTGTGGAGACACGCGAGAGCCCTTTCATTCCATGCGAGACCGTCCTCATGGAACAGATTTGTCTCAAGCCAGCGGGATACGAAAAGTTGGCAACGAGAAACATCCGGCATCATTGCGTAACTCGTTTCTGTAATTGTAACTGGGGATGGGCGCCAGAGAGCTGGAGTAAATTTAGGTCTCAACCTTACGCTGTGGGCTCTCTCTGCTCCATCGCCCACAGGCTTATACAGATAGATACATGGTAGACGGGTTAGAGACGGAAAACACAGGCATTGACACAGGAGGAGTTGAGGATCTGACGCCATACATCACTGGATGAGGCGGTGAAGACCACAGCAACCTCGAACACTTGTTTTCTGTTCCAAGGTTGAATCGACAGAAGCGCGTATACTTCGTACATAGCAGAAGCTAGAAGCATGGGATACAGTACATATGCGCGTATGTGTATGTGTGTTGTGTGTGTGTGTGATGGAGGGGTTAGCGGATTGGGCGTGGATCACTTCTGGTCATTTCAGATCACATTTGCAATTCCAGGATAGTCTCGCAGCTGGTAGATGTACCTGCATACCGGCGTGTCGGGTCGCCACTCCGGAAGTACAAAATACAATGTGCCCAGAACTGATCTGTGTCGATTGATTGGCATCAGCACCGTCCAGCACAGACCTATCGATGTCTTGCAGCACGGGGTGGCTGAACATGGGCCAGCATGGGCCAGCATGGGCAAGCGTGAGCATGGGACAACTCCATGGCCTTGCTTTAATGTTTGTAAATCTTTAGTATATGTTGACAGCCATACTATTAATACCTTATTTTTACTACATCCGGAAAACAATCGATACCCCTTTCTTACCCTTTCTATCGCAAGCCGCCAAGCATTCGATCGTGATGACGAGAGTAAGGCTCTTCCTGTGTACGTCCGGCATCTGCCTCAATAAACATCTATTTGCTATTATATTTCAGTTTCAAGAATATCACGGGTTCGCAGGTGGCGAATACAGCGCCAACGTGCTCAACTGGGAATACCTCATATGACGTTAAGGGGGGGAACGTGGCTGTGGCAGGGATGCGGGTTTTCGCGACTCCCTGGCTTACCTCTCTTACCTGCTTACATAGTACATGGAGAATGGAAACATTAATCTTCTAACATCTCATCTGGGTACACTACCTAAACCTGGCTTACCAACCCAAACCTCTGGTCACGCAGAATCGTACGAAAGAGGCTCTGAGACAGCTACTAAAGTAAATTAGTCGTTCCTGACTAGTAATTAAGGCCTGGCCTAGTCGAGTTCCGACGGTATGGTTACCGGCGATTGCGCAGCTTGCCCGGGCTTTGAAAACCGTTGCAACTATTTTCCAACGCGATATTTCGGTAAATCCCGGCCTCTGTTTTAGCCATTTTGGTGAAGTCTCGCTTAAGCACCGAGCATCTTCCTCTGTCATTCGCTGGCGTAGGTACGGGATAGGATATGGGTGACAAAGGCAGTCGTTGCAGACCCCTGGAGAGCGAACATGGAGGTAAGCGGTTGGTTAGCAGCTGTAGAACCACCGTCGAGAGCCGCAACCCGGCAATGCAAACGTCAATCTACATCTCGATATGGTACAAGGGACTTGGAAGAGGGTGATATGCGGTTCTGTGGCGTAGGATACCCAGATACAGGCACAGATACAGATACAGATACGGTCCGTCCTTGCACAACAGGGGCTGAAGTCCGCCGAAATGTTGAAAAGCTGCGAAACCGCCCCCACGAGGTGCCGTCGACGTAGGTAAGCAGGTAGCCGTAGGGATCGGGAATTGTTGACTCTCGGGTATCAATCTTCTGCATAAGGTTATGTTACAATGTTACCATCTGCCTACTTCCTATGTAGGTACATACCGACCTGGTGCCTTGGTAGCCACTGTAGCTCCTGTACCCAGTTCTACCCCATCCTCAGCCCATTTTGGAGTGGCTAAAATAGTCGACGATGTAAGCTTTGAGTAACCGTAAGCGCGCATCCGCCTGTTGAGTACCTAGAGACCCAGACGGTCACATGTGGTGTAGCTGTGACACATGTGCCGCTCATCGAGTCTTGCTTTCACTTAACCCCGTCATCCCTAATCGAAAAATCTAAGCCCGGAGAGAATCGACGATGCTTCAGATTTTCGCTTATAGAATCCTTAGCATAGGTTCGACCGGCGAGTCGGATGTTTCGTCGATTCATCTTCTATCAGGGTGGCATGGTGGCATGTTAAAAGCCACCTGCTAGCGCTCTTACAGATCTGTGCAAGAGCCGTAAGACCTTGACCCCATTGAGACCTTAAGACCTTTGAATATTATAAGCGGGTCCGATTATAAAAAACCACGAATCGTAGGAGAGAGAAAAAGGGGGACGCCCCTAATGTAACCCCTGTTAGCGGCACAGGCACATGAAGTCGTAGTATCAATTACAAAAAGCCGATTTTTAGTTTGCATATTATTCTTTATTTTCGGTCTGAGCTGTATTTAGCACTCGAACTGCGACGTAAATCTTGAAAAGGTTGAAAATTGAGAATCCTTAGAGGAGGACGCTTAAAGCTGCCGGTATTCCATCTACGCCACAAGCAACTAAGAGTTCCAAGATGTTACGATGTGCGCAGCTCGGGCCAGCTACCCAAAATAGTATGAGTGCAGATCCTTCCCAGAGCCTTTACCTACATAGGTAGGCAGCTAGGTGGGCAGCTAGGCATATTTTCGACGAGATATAAATAGGCAACTCTTACCAGTTATGCGCTGAGGCGCCATAAGTTTCAACGTCGGCTATGTGTTGTCGACCTGCCGTTCAAGTGTTGATTCCAAGGAGGTATACAACCTACCTAGGTAGTAAGGAAGATCTCTCTGCAGATGCAGTCACTGCCGGACCGCGCCAAGGTGAATTGACCTACCATCTCGAGAGATCTGACGCAAGGATTCTTGCGGCGGGCAAGCTGCCAACCCTAATAATCTCATGGATGATGCGGATGACGGCGGGTTGAAAGCCGCTAGCCCCCGGCGGGCCATGGGTCATGTCTTCAAAAAAGAAACTCGCGAGGCTCCCCGAGGGCCTCGACCACTACGTCAGACGATTCTGCCGCATTAGCAAGTTTTTACTGTCGTCAGACGTGCTTCCGTTCAACACGATGGATTTGTTGTGGATTAGGTATTCACATAACCCCGGCTATGAAAGGGTCTGGAACCAAGCGGACAGAAGGGGTTAGATCCAAGTAACAGTGAAATCTCCGCATGCCGGCATATTCTCGAGATTTCATCCGCCGAGGCTCAGTCAAGTTGACAGGCAACCAGTTCCGGCTGCACATATTCCATCATCTATGGGATTTGACGACAAAACAAGCGTGCAAAACACGGCGTATTTCGATAACTACGAAAACCGACGATCCGATTTGAGATGTTGTCTTAACTACCTATATAGGTAGGTAGCTAAAGTCTGGTAGCTTCCAAGTTTTGGCGCTGCGAGCTGATTGGTATTATGCAGGTGCGCACAAACGCACTCAACTACATACCTACCCGGTGAGACCTTGCATGTTTGTACACGTTACCTCCTGCTGTTGCGTCGTATAGATATAGTACTTCGCGAAACACGGTAGCTTGACGCCCTACCTGGAGTCTTCTCGAAGTGATACTGAAACGTATGTTAGGTATATATACTCGGCGATCATGAAGTCCTGGATTGACAGCCGCTAACTAGATCCCTCGTCAATCTTGATAATATATTTTGTAATTAATTCATAATTCTCAATACCACTATGCAAGGTATATGATAAACGGTCGTTATTCGTAGGGCTGAGCTGAAATGCGACAATAGACAATGCCGTACATCTTTTGTGAGGCGAGACAGTAAAGCAAAACGAAGACAGGAAGCTTTATAGAAGCTCTCATCTTACAATTGAGACGTTTCTTCGTGTTGTCTGTGCGTCTTCCTTGCTAATTATCCTTAGATCTTCGGTTTCTCCGTGTGTTCCCATCCCTCGCTGCTCTTGAGATGCAAGTTGTCCGCTGCAACAAGAGACAAGGAACCTTGGAGCCGGTGGATCTTGATCTACTATGTAGCAAGGGGCTTTGTATCGATAAGCTCATACACAGCAAAGCCCGCCAGGGGTAAAACTTCGCTCGCGAATACCAGGATTCCTCATCCTATACTGGGTATACTAGGCATGTATAATGCCTGTCCACGAGAATACTTGGTAATTAGCAGCGAAACGTTGCCCTTTCTATAATTTTTCGTACGTATCATTTTCCCTCCCTCACAACTTCACAACGCGCTAAACCGCCGTTTAGCTTCCTTTCGCCCTTCCTCCCTGCGGACCATTCCCCCGTAATTAGACGCGGTCGTCTCCTGTGACATATTGACGACATGTGCGAAATCGCTGCTTCGCCTCTTTTTCATGCCAAGAATACTCTCTGTCGCACGAAAACAGCCACTTCATTTTCACCCTAGCCTATACCTAGACCGTATCTACGCTTCTGAGACTGGAAATTCTAGGTCTCGAAAATTATGGATAGGGCCATGCAGGAAGCCGTCCCGGAGTTCTAGCTAGTGGTCGGGACCCCGAGCTCAGGGAACGAGGTGTGGAGGGCGGGAACCGACCTGACCTCACCTACCTACCTGGGCTACTGTGAACCCAGCGGCTTTCTCTGGCTTGGGAGGCGCGAATAAAACCAATATGACGGCTGTCCGAGACTTCAGCCGCGTACGCCAGCCCACTAAACAGGTGGTCCCGTATTCCATCTCGTCGTCTTTCCGACGCACATGTCAATACCCAAGAGGTGGACAATTTGATACTTTAATGTCCCGAGTCATTGCCTTGGCGATGTTGCGGACGATCGAGACCGATCATATCTTGAATTTCATTTCTTCTGTTGCAACAGTTTGGGCTAGGGGGAAATGCTCCTGGATTTGGCTTCCATTGCCGACGAAGCTCTAGTAGGCTCATCTCCGTGCTAGTGTACAAGGCGGACCCTTGGTCTACCTATTGGTCGTTGTCGTCAGGTCGAATCGTCATCTGTGCCTACACCATACAGAAACGCCTCATGGAACCTACCGATTGGGCGGACTTGGTACTAACCGTTTGCCGGTCATTGGCCGTTGCGCCATAGGTAATATGTAGATTGTGACTGCTCGACATCGTATCCCCCCTTGTCTTTCTACGGCACATGGATAACCCTCATAATAAAAACGTCTGCACCTTGGTCCAATTAACAGACTACATGAAAGCGTAACTAAGACTCTAACGGCCGAGCGGGAATAGCGCAAGCCACATTGCGACTAAACTTGCGCAATCATCACCTGATTATGAGAACTCCAGCCGTCTATGGACTACGATTTTCTCTCCCCCTAGATAGAATGAGACAGGCTGACGGCTTTTAGGTACGGTCCGTGTGTTCTCTTCTTCCAGGCCGCCTGGGTTGCCACGATATTCATCCTAGAGACTATTCGAACATGCCGCCGCGGCTAAACACTCCTGTCAGAATGTTTGGTAAACCAGCGGCTTCAATTTATCGGTGACGTACCGCTGGCGATGTTCTCTGCCTAGTGATGATCAAGCAAAAATTGGAATTTTGGGCACATCCCAGCTATACCAAGTCGTCTTCGTACAATCATGCACATCATAGTCGATCGAACTACTTGAAGGCATTGGATCTTTCATTAGCTGGCTAGCAGATACTTATGACAAAGACCGTACGTCTCATAAAGTTTGTTAGAGAAGCATACATACAGCCTGAGCCGTGATCATGCCAAGAGCACCATCTACGCTCAGCTGCGGCTACTTTTCCGGCAATAGCATTGATAGGGTTCTCGCAAATTCCTGCACCAATTCAACTGCTTCGAGCCCCGTCTTGAGACCAGAAATACCCACAACCCTATCTGCCGTGAACTCGATGGTCTATTAGAACGGCACGGCGATTCCATTTCCTTCTCAGCTGTAGAAAACTAGGCCAACATGCTGACCAGAATAAACATGTCAACCCGCATTTACATGGATCTCAAGTCTCCCCTCCTTTACTACCCTGGCCTGCATGCCTACTTCGTCGATTTATGCGGGAGCAGTCCATTACGTCCCAATATTTTCTCCCGCCTCATGCACAAACCGAAGATGCCTTGCTGCATGACTTTGCAGCACGTGGGCGACGAAGGCACTATCCGCCCCAAATCAAGGGCATATCACTCACGGCATGGCTTACCACCCCTTATACGACCCAACCTTGCCTTTTCTTTATCCCACAATAGGTCTAGAGCTTTTGTGAGTTATACCAAGCACCATACTCTATATTACCGATAGGGTGTGTTCGTTCTAGTATCCCAGTCTCGGAAGATAAGTGATGGTCCTCCGTAACCCTAGACGTTGACTGATTCCCGCCTCCGAAAAAACTGTACTCGCAAGATGCTATGTGAGCGTTCTTTGTACATGTACCAGCTGATTCAGCTCGCTATACTGTACAATATTGCTTCGACCGAATATCAGTCGGCGAAGCAACGCCGATGTGCTTCGAACAAGAGTTGGTTATCGTGTCGTACCGGTCTATCTCAATACCAGGGACCATGGGTGGAATTCTTGATAATGATTTCCGAGGTCCTAGGTTGTATGATATTCGGCTTATGACTCTAATACCTAGATGGGTAAATTCAAGCTGCTTCATTCGCTACCGACGGTAGCTGTCCCGTTAGCCCCAGCCGCTTGGGGAAATACCGGACAAGGTACGATTGAACGACTACCACCGGCTAATACGGGTTATTCCTCCAAGAGGAAAGGCGTTAGCCATTGGGGCGAGCCCTACGATATGTAACTTGCCATGAGATTCTGCGCGCTCCCTAATTCCTTTATACGGTCTTAAGATCCTCAAGCATCCCCGCGTTCCTATTGGCTCAGATCGCGCAACACTTATTCGTTTCGCGGAAGCAGTATTCACGACATCTCTCGCCCTTTGCGGGACTAGGTTGGCCGTTTTTTTTGACAGCCTGCGGACGTATGGATACGACTCATTACTTGCCGGAAATATAAGGGTGAGCTTATCCGAGCGCGCCTGTCGGTAACTGTCTTTCGCTAGGCGCGCGATGAGGCAATACATCGCGCGGAGAATACGGTCTCTGCAAAGGGACAGAATGGGAATACAGCTTGTTGATAGAAGGGCCGATACGTCTGGCAAGCGGCCCCCACGTTCTAGAAAACTTGTCCATAGCCAAGGTCACCTTGACCTCACTGCCAAGAGCTTCCCCAGACACTCTAATCTCATCTTTGTTATGCGCTGTTGCCAAAACGATCGTAGCATCGGATTATACTCAAATTACTCGATTCTTGGGTCCGACATGCGCTGACTTTCCCTTTACAGCGTTAGGTAGTATGATTGCTAATGCCAGAAAATAGATCATTCAGCTTTAAGCGCCAGCAACCACGACGAAGTCCTCGAGATCGCCTATTCTATATGGCTGGTCGCCGATGAAAACTCCTACTATAGGGCTAGATGTTCTTGGAGAGAGTGACACAGGGGCGTCTTTTTGCCGCATCTCGGGTGACGTGTCTCCGTCTAGACGCACTGAGCGTGTGGACATGCGTCACATTCTGATTTCAGGCGCCAACGTGCCTGGCATCGGGCTCTTGTTAACCCACGATACATTGTCTGGAGGTTGATATACTTGCCACGGCTTGCTCACGAAGCCGAATTGGATCCCGAGGCGCACTTCGGCAACTTGCTGCGGGACGATTCTTCGTATCGGTCTGCAAGAAACTCAAAATTACGATGTTGAATGTAATCAAGCATGTCATATCTAGCCTCGTACGTATGAATCCACCACTTGGTAGGCTGTCTCGCCGTAGTACCGTAGGCCTCCCGCCCATGAATATGGTAGCCTTGTGAAATGTTTAGTAACTCTGGCAATGCTCTTCATGACATAATCTTATAGGCGGAGATATGTGCGTAAGAGCTTTATCCCCTTAAAGCTAGATATCGAACTCATGAAAAACTATCTGTCCGAGTGGTTGGTTCTTTTGAGCATGATCGACCTACTCCCATGGGTGGCTTCATGGAGCCGCTGCGTTCCAAGTATATCCGATGCTCACATCGCTATGCTACAGGCCGATACACGTACTGAAGCATGGCGTGAAGCATGACATGAAGTATCACATGAAGTATCGCATGAAGATGATCATATACGATTGACTTGAACTCTTCTACTAGCTACTAGATAACTCATTGTATCCGCGAGACTTGAGAGTCTCGTCGGCCACCTCGCCGTCACCATGTTGTAGGGGACTATCTTATGAGCTTCAATCGTGGATAGAAAATAATAAATGGAGCCGTTCAAATTGGCGATCTAGTAGGCGATCTCTGCCACGTATCTAGTGACCGATAGGTTGCAGACAAGTCCTCACCTTCGACCTGTACGAGTTTCTCCCAGAAACGCTGACGCGGACATACGAGGGCCCTCAATCGCACTAGACTCTTCTCGTTGCTCTGCTTCCCCATATCTGTTGTCGTGCGGAGCACGGCTCGGGAATACTCTAACTTATGCGATTGAGTAGACCGAGAGCTCCGATATCGACGGTTACAAAGAACAATCGCTACTTCTATAGGTTAAAGCTTTCGGAAATAGTTAGGAGACAGTCAAGACCTACGTATGGAGATGACTTGGTGTTGCATAAGAAACGAGGATCGTGGTGATTGTGGAGTAGCACTCATGTGGGAATCACGGCAGGTTCGTTGAGATATGGAACTCGCAGAAGCGAAGGCGAAAGAGAGTATCGTCCCTTTAGGTGATCAAAAGGGGAGTGGCGGGACACGAAAAGATGTATACCAAATGAATTTCTAGATTGACGTCCAACCTTATATACAAACGCTGTTGTTAGTATACACATACCTACCTAGTCAGGACCTTATTATGTCTCCCAGCTGGCTCAATATTAACAATAATAGAGGCTAGACAAGAGTAGTAGAATCATCTCGCTTCACCAGAAGTACTCATTATCATACATAAAACCATATATGTCAACGGATTTTTGATTCATCTTAAACTGCATGCCCACGGTCTGTCTAGACCAACCCCAACGCCGAAATGATTAGGTATGTCTGATATCTTATATGTCTAGACCTCATACTGATACCCAGGGCCTCCTTATATCCTCTGGGTGAAACACCAATATATACAAATTACTTCCACGCTTAAACCTCTTCCTTCGTAACGTGCTCGTGATGGGTTCCGGCGTTCTTATCCGTGAAGCCCATCTCGGCAGCATACGTAGAGTGAGGCACCCACTTGGCCGAGGTCCTGGGGGTGGTCTCCTCCAACATGCGGTCGACCTGTTCTAGGGTCAATCCCTTGGTCTCGGGGATCAGGAGGTAGGCGTAGACGAAGCAGATCGCGCAGAGACTGCCCCAGATGTAGAAGACCTTGGCACCGAGGTTGCCTTTGTCCTCGTCAGTCATGTAAGGGGTGATGACGGCGATGATGCAGTTCCACAGCCAGTTGCTGGCGGTCGAGAGAGCGACACCACGAGCACGCATGGGCAGAGGGTAGATTTCTCCGATAACGACCCAAGCGCCACTATACAGGTATTAGTATATGATAAACAAGTTAATTTTATATAGGGAGGGGATAAAACTTACGGGCCCCAAGTGCTGGCAAAGAAGAAGATGTAGATGCAGATGAAGGCAATCATGGTCTTAACGGCAGCGTCGGCGCTGGTGATGGTGCCGATGATGGCAACGATGAACTGGCAGATAACCATGCCCAGGGCACCCCAGATGAGCAGAGGTCGTCGTCCGATCTTCTCCATAGACCAGAAGGAGATGGGAGTGGAGCAAACGTTGACGAGGGTGGTAATGAGGGAGATCAAGAACGGGTTTTCAATAGTGCCGAGCTGCTTGAAGAACGTGGTACCGAAGTAGAACACAAAGTTGACACCGGTCCATTGCTGCATCATCTGAAGAGATGTACCAAGAATGGTACGGCGGAGATTGCTGCTGCCCTTGAAGAGAGATCCGCTGAAGCAAGCCAACCAGGAGCTCCAGTATCCTTCCGAGGGGACGACGGACAGTTCATATTCGTGGTTGGCGATGATCTCAGCCAATTCATCTTGAATGTAATCAGATTCGATGGACTCGCCGCGCAGACGAGACAAGACATTGGCGGCGAGGTCGAGCTTGCCCTTCTTAACGTAGTATCGAGGGGATTCGGGAAGAAGGAAGAGACCGGTTCCGAGGATAATAGCCCAGAGCATCTGAATAGCGATAGGGATGCGGTAAGAACCGCTGTCATTTCGGTCCTGGGTGCCGTAGTCGATAGCTGACGCCAGCAGAAGACCAACGGTGACGCAGAACTGGTAGCCGGAGACGAGGGCACCACGAACTTTGCGAGGAGCAATTTCGGACATATACAGAATCAGAATGGCAGAGACGGCACCGACACCGAAACCGGCAACGAGACGACCGGCCACGATGAGACCCAAGCCAGCAGAGGCGGTTTGAAGAGCAGTACCGACGAGGAAGACAACGCAACCACCAATGATAGTAGTTCGTCGACCAGTCCAGTCAGCAATATCACCAGCCATAAGCGCGCCTAATTAGAGGTTAGTAAGATGAACACGAGAAAAGAGGAGTTTCATATTCTCTTTACTTACCAAAGAAAGTACCAGCAGAGAGGATAGAAGTGATCAGAGACTTGTGGGTGGAGGTGAGAACGGTGGCGTCGGGGCCTTCGATTTGGTGAATGAAGTAGTCCATTCCCATGACACCGCTGATATAACCACTGTCATATCCGAAGAAGATACCACCGAAGGCGGCAAAGGCACACATGAGATAGGCCTTGAGAGTAACGGGTGCCTCGACCCGGTTCACGTCCGAGGACCCTTGTGGAACGGCTCCGCCGGCCATTGCAAATGATTTTACGTCGACTATTCGGAGGTTTCGATGGTCGACGTGGGATTTCGGGTTCCGATTATGAGGAGGATTGGTGGGACGGTAAAAGATATATATACGGATTTGTTTACCTATATATACCCAATATTATGTCTATAAGCACTGTGGATTATTGGCCCGAGTGCCTGATGTAGCTCTTTATGGCTAGGGTAGTAGTGGGGAGGGTAGTAATGAAGATATTAGAAGATGTGATAGAGGAGTGAGGAACAAAGTATGTGTATGAAAAGGAGGGATCGTCTTTTAAATACCCAGGGTATACACATGCGAATGTAATTACCAACACCGCGGTTTTGTTAATTACCTCTAGATCTCTTCATCTAGTTCCTGACCCACCTCCACTCCCCGGACAATGCCCAGGATGCCATTTGATGCCCACAATCACTCCATAAAGTTTCCATGCACAGGCACGAGGTCAACCCGCAAATACGCCAGAGCACTCCAGAGCTCCATACTCCGTCCCCTCGGGGTCACCAACTGCAATTGGCCACCGCTAGCTCGCTTTTAGTCTAGTAACCTTACGTTTCTGGATCGCGTTGAGATTTTAGAGGATAGCAGGTTGCATTCGACCCGAGGTCGATACACGCGTCATGCAATCCTACTCCTCCCACGTAGGAAATCATGGCTACCCTTGACCCCCACAGTCCACCCACTCTACTCCCAGCTGCTCCAGAAAACAATGTTTGACATTGCTATATTCAGCCATTCCATGAAGCTATCGTGAGTTTTCCAAGATTATCCTTGTAAAAAGTCAATTGACCCTAAAAACCCATGGATTTTTGACTACTGCTGCTCCTGTGACGGCTTGCATTCCGTAGTCTTCATAGCTTTTGAGTCTTCGTCAGTCATTTGATGCATGATATTTTCGGCCCAATGATTTTATCACCCCATGCACATAGTCTATGTGAAAGCCTCGCTTCTCTAACAGCAAGCAAGAATTCGGCCTAATAGCTCAGCTCGTATTAGGTTGGCGGCTCGGAGAGCAAAGGCAAAACCCCATCTGCTTGGTTTCAGGGTCCTTGGGGAAGTAGTGTTCTTTTTTTCTTTGCCCCCTCCCCGTACTTTTCCCCGTCAACTCCAGAGAATTAGATGAAGAACTCCGCCTAATTGGGCCGACTGTAGCTTAGCTACCCACCACACTTCCCCCAACTTACCCCCAGCTTACCCCCAGAATGGAGTTTGTAGACCGGTCGGTCCGGTGTCAAGCTGGCGTGAGGAGAAATGGGAAAGACGCATTGGTAAAAAAGGGCCTTTAGAAGAACAAAGAACAAGGAGGGAAATCGGCCGAATGCAAGCTTCTCTCTACCAGAGGATTGGGAAAAAACTGAACGCAGAGATAATGCGTGGACCTGACTCGGTATACTCGGCCAGATTGTGGGGCCGCGGCGATAGCGTCGGCCGTTTTGTCGTTGGCTTCCAATCTTCCTTGGACTTTATGGGCCGTCCCCTGGCAAAAAAGAGATGCGGCTCCGCTGACACGTTTAGTTCTAACGTGGCAATTGGCCAGTCTTAGCTAGTAGGCGGATTATGTCATGAGGACATAATAATACCCTAGAATACCCTGGGGCAAATGAGAAGCTTAGAAGAAAAAAAAGAATTATTACGAAAAAGAGATCGTTGAAGATGGTCTGTTTCAATCGTCTGTAACGGTAACCGAGGCAGTGGAGAGAGCATGGTCCGATGCAACGACGCGACGACGGTTCATTGCGCTTCCAGCTCCTCGGTGTCAATCAATTGGAGACCTTCGACTTCCATCTCCAATCTCCAATCTCCAATATTTTAATTATCTTTCTTTTCTTCGTTCCTCATTCGCGTTTTGCGATCAACTGTAGCTTCTTGCCTATTTGGAGGAGCTCCCCCCGGAGGTCAAGCCGCTAAAAGTTACGTCTTTGTAGAGAAGACAGCGAAGACGGTCCGACTCGGGTCTATTTGCCCTTATAAATCTCTACAATGGTTGCAATACTTGTTGTGCTGATTGGCTTGCGCCATCTGCAAAGTAATCGATAACGTTGGAGAAGCGTTGACGAAGGTGTAAGAATGTTCGCCGAAACGTTTCTGTCTTGTCTAGCTTGTCTTAAAATTGTATTGTAAGGTTGTAAACCTCCCATACAACGTTCTGACTTAATAAAAATTGATGGATCCCTGCCACGTGTTGAAGAATTTAGATTTCTACAACCTTGGAAGCTAGAAGGAACGTACCTCGCTTAGGTAATTGAAGAAGCTTAACGTTCTGGACCTTCCGAACTCGGTCGCCCCGATCCTTAGTAACGGCGGGCGCCGCGAAAGACGATGCGCGCGTTGTCAGGTGGATCTTTAACTTTTCGCGCCCGAAACTAAAGCCCTCGCCTATTCTCAGCTGAAATTAGATTTTTCTGTAGACCTTACCAACCTGGTACTTCAAAAGCGAGAACTTTCGACATTGTGCTATTATTCTAGACTATCGTGCTCACGAGGCCTTCATATTACCAATTCGTTAAGCCGCTTCCAAATCCATTCCTACTAGAGTACGTTAGTTTAGAGTTGAGTCACCGTAGAACACAGTACAATCACATGAGCACAGACATGGGCACAGCAAACATCGGTTGCAAAATACCATCCCATTCAACGGAAATCGAGCGGGACGAGCGGGACGAGCAGTCCCTCAACACTAGCAACGGTCACAACAAACGGGCTCTCGGTGTCTTCATGTATAGTGCCATGCGTAAAGCATAGCTAGCATTTCAATTCCTCAATTCCTATTACACGTACATTTGAATCTGACAACATCAACATCGCACCAGTTGGTTGGTACTGATGATAGCATCCACGTCCTATCTCATTCCATGCCAAGCTCAAAACGCCTCTCGGTGCGAAACAAAGAACCAAGGTAATCGAACATCTTTCTCCTTTCCGGCCGTCAGAAATGAAAAAGTTATGAATCCAACGTTTCCTTTCCTGGAACGTTATCTCATCCATAAACGCCGAGTAGATGCAGAGAGACGAAAGAGCAAGAAAAAAAGAGTAATATACCACCATCATCCGGTTCGGCCGACTATTCCACCGGCGCGTCGGTATGCGCTGTGAGGTACTAGTAGGTTGTCCCCATAGTCTCCCCGAGTTCCAACGCCCGGGGTCTCCATCGAATATGTATCAACGTATGTAGAATCCTGGATCGTACATGTACCCTCGTACATAGCGCCGCGACGCACCCGCCGCCCACGTATGTGGAACCCTCCCCCTCTCACTAGTTTAGGGAGGCTTGGGGGATTGGGGATTGGAGCATGCTGTAGAAAAGTTGGGGGAACAGTCTTCGAGTCCAAAAGTTGGGGCGGAGTTTGGGGCGGAACCCGAAAAAGAGTTTCTAGATGCAAACCCACTCCGCAAAGACGCACCATCTAGCCGTGCGGTCCGCGAGCACCAGGCCGCGCCAGACCCCGCGCTCCGAACACTTGATGATGGTCTCCCACGTGCCGCCGTCGCTAGCCTCCTCCTCGGCCGGCGCGCGCCCGCCGACCCCGATGCCGCCTCGGCCGCTGCGGTCCTCCTTGCGCATGAGCCTGAGGATCTTGCCCCCGGGCGTCTGGATCGCCAGCTTGGCCGGCTTCTTGCCCGCGATGCTGCCCGTCGCCGAGCTCGGGTTCGACGACGCCGCCGCGCTGCTTGACATGCTCATAGCGCTGCCCGGCCGCGCGAACGGCGTCGGGCTCGCGCCTCCCGGGTTACTGCCCGGTCCACCGCCCGAGAGGCTGGATGGGTGCTGGCGGATGGCGAACACGAACGTGTTGTTCAGCGCGAGGCGTTGGCACTGGGGCTGCACGACGTATATGTCGTGGCGTTGCGCGTGCGGCGTCGGGTGACGGGTGACGAACTCGTAGGGCGGGTTTTCGCCTGTGTGCATAATCGGCAGCGCGAACGCGAGGGGGTGCGGGATATCCTTGATGCTATGCATAAGCCCCCGCTTGCCCGCGTAGACCTTCAGAACACCGCTGCCCTCATCTCCCGGGAGGAGCGCTTTCACCGTGTACCGCTTTCCGCCATTGTACCAGTCTGCTTGCGCGAGCGCGCGTTTCTTCACTACCTCTCCGCTTTCGAAGAGGTCGCCATCTGCATCGCGTGTGAACCCTCGCACTTCGACCTCGGCTGCTACCTCGATATCAGGGGGTACGTTGAACTTGATATGTACCATCTCGAGGTCTTCGATGCGAGTTAGGGAAGTATTGTAGTCGACCATGGCAATGGATTGCTTAAAGAACGGAGGACAAGCACCAGGTAAGTTGAGCAGCGTCTCATGAGCAACTGGCGGACAGATGTGTTGCTGGCTGTGATGCTCGGGGATATGTGTCCAGCAGAGCTCGGTAGGTCGAGTGAGGAAATACCAAAATTCCGCGGTAGCACTGCTGGCGCCTGAGTATAGTCCGCGGCGAGGATTTGACGGGCTTGCGAGACAGCAATCTATCATGCGCCACTCATTGTCGATTATGACGGCGTTCCACCAATGGTTCGATCGAGGCATCATGCCAGTTTCGGGAACCTCACCGGGAGTCTTGAGATAGCCGCGGACAACTTCGGAGGGTATACCGATCGCGGCGCACATCTCATGGACGAGAACGGCGTATTCTTCAGAGCAGGCTCGCTTAGTCGAGATCACCCGTCGCGTATCTATATCGCCATCGAAATCTTCCTCCCAATTAACCTTTTCCGCGACCCATGTGAATATTGCTCGAAGGCGCTGGACTTCGCTTTTATAAGGTCTGCAGACGTAAGTTGTTGCTAGAGTAACAGCAGTCGTCATTGGCGGTAGACTACTGATGAAGCGGGAGTTTTTGTCTACTTGGCTTAGGTTTATGACTTGGTAGTTGATCGGCTCGCGGACTGGCATGGAATCGGCACCCTCGTCACCCTCGACGCTTTCATAGAGCTCATCGACGGGATCTATTGCCGGATAATCCAGCATAAGACAGCGGTCACGTCGCTCGGATCGCTCATTCTTGCTCAATGTATTTGAACGGTTCACATCCCTTCGTACCTGCACCCAGTCCACCCCATTTGTAAGTCCCATATCGGTCGCCGCATCTCGTATCAGGTTCGTGCTGCTAATACCCCCTGTCAAGGACGTGATCCCGTTAGGTACTATGGACCGCCTAGTCGGCGAAGGCTGCGCAGACCCCGAACCGGTCGCAATACTACTGCGACCGCTAGCAACTCCGGTCTTCGTCGCCTCTAGAATCCTCTTAATGAAATTCTGCTTCTTAGGTTTCGTGGCTCCGGGTTGCACGAGACCTCCTACGGATGCGATTCCGTCATCATTAAAACCAGCCTGTGACTGGGGTCTCATCGCAGACGTGGAGTGACTCGGATGATAGGATACTCCTGTAAACGGCGTGGTCGGCCGATTCGGATCCCAACCCTCGTCGTCTTCGTCCCGGAATCCTAAAGCACTCCGCGCTCGCAGGTTCTTTCTCGCCAGGCTACCAGCGCTCGTAGCACTGATTCCGCCCGCCGAGACGCCACTCATCAGACTTCGCTGAGTGCTGTTCGTCGCGGTACTCCTATTACCGGACGAAGCATTCGTTGAATTCGTCTTGTTCGTACCTGTCCTATCCAGCAGACCGACTTCATAAGACGATTTCTGCTTTCTCAGGAATTTGCGTACTCCTCCCTCGTCGCGATCACCCATCGAGGACTTCGGCCGACTGTATATAGGATTTTTGGGTGGTGGCGGCGGCGGGGGGCCCATGTCATCATTGTCCATGCTCTTTGAGCCCTGATGTTGCATTTTTCGGAAGCGATTCTCCATTCTCTCCACGTAACTGTTCAGCTGCGGTAGCGGATGTTCTTGCGGGACGCTGCCATGAAACGTGCTCTCTTGCGACGAGCCACCGTTGAAGGAGCCGCCATACCCCGAATCTTCAAAAGGCATGCTTCTAGGGGCTAGAGGTCTAGTTTGCGCTCTTTTCTTCGATCGGTGGTGGACCATGTCGAAAGACTCCGGCGACCACGGATCCAAGGGCGGTTCTGGGGATTCGGTCGAGCGATCGCGCGACATGCCTAACGCGTCCAATTGTTCTATTACGCCGTCCATCGCCTCCCGCAGCGGCGAGGGGGTATATCCGTCGCCAGCTGGGGATTGGGGTAGTGGTGAAGGTACCCTCGGTGTATGATATCCTTCCTGCCGTCGCGTTTCAAAAGATGCATGGGACATGTGCGACGCGTTTGAGTTCCCTCGCGTAATAACGTGGCGATGAGGCGGCGGGGCCGGAGGTGGTGGTGAGTCGCGCTCTGCTCCGGGCCGATACGGCTTGAAAGAAAATGAAGGAGCCGGCGATGGAGCCCTTGAGCCGTAGTTTTGAACTGGAGGCGGGACTGGCGACGGGCCTCGGCTGTAGTCATAGGGTTGGGGAGGAACTGGCGAAGGGCCTCTGGAATGCGGGCGCGATTGTGATTGCGAATATGAGTGTGAATGCGAATATGAATGTGATTGCGAGTGCATTGGAGGTATAGGAGACGCGCCTCTAGGGGCATAAGTGTTCACCGGCGGAGGAGGCGCCGGCGACGGGGCTCTTGATCCGTGGCCCCGAGCCTCAGACGGCGATGGGCCGCGGTCAATACCGCGACGCGCATCGTTTCTGAACGAGCTAGCCGAATTCTTTCTCGGCGGTGTGTTGGATGTGTGTCTTATTATTTCGGGTTGTTTTGCTGTTGTGTAGTGAGGTGCCTTCGCGTAGGCCTCGAAAGGTTTGCGGAAGTTTCGCGACTTGGACTTGTGCGGCGTGTTTGTAGGACTCGGGGAATGACTCGAAGTCAACGGACTCGCTGACCGCGTAACCGGTCGAAAATCCTCGGGTAATACCTCGACGAAGTTGGACGGAAATACACCGACGGTCTTGTTTCGCCGTAATCTTCCCGTCCACCATGATCCGTCTCCTGCATTGAGACATTCTATTAAATCCCCCTCAATGAATCCGAGATCGTGTTGTGACTAACTCGGCGGTTAGCAAAAGTAAACAAAGTTGAGGCGAAGGCGCAAAAGTTCAACGTCAAAAATTCAATTACATACTTCTCCTCCCCAAGAATAAACGGCTCTGCACCAGCACGGAAACCGCGTGGGTAACGGTGGTGCTGACCCCATTGTGCCGATATTCGCAATGTAAGTAGTCGGCGATTCGCCAGTTTGGAATATGCGGCGATTGAGTTTGTGTAAGTCGGATCGGCTTAGGGGAATTCGATTCTTACTCTAAATCCCTTACAGCGCTTTCGGTGGTTGCTGCAAGGCGATGGAGTAAATACGCAGTTGAAGAAGACGATATCATCTGAGGCGGTGTGGTACGAATAGTATGTAGTGTACTCGTGGGTACGTCCCGACGGATGGATCAACAATGCCGTTCGATAATACGTTGAATTATTATGATTATTACGGCTGTTAAGCTGCTAAGCAAGCAAGAGGTCAGGGTCAGGAATTTGGGGACTTGCAGGTTGTAGGGGAAAGGCAGGCAAAGTATGGGGATTGCCAGCACATCAGGTCAGATCTGTCGATTATGATTGGGATATTGTGAGCGAAAGTGCGGTTCAGTAGAGGGAGCTCGGGGCAGTAATTGGAGCAGGTTGCAATCTATGGGGCTTGGCAAAACCATCGTAGGAAAACAGAGGGGTGTTTCTGGGTTGCCCGGTAACGAGCTCAGCTGGGACCCGCAAGTTTAAACGGAATAAGGTCTGCTGGTTCCCGCACTCGCATTGAGTTTGTAGGGGTTTCGGGTATTGTACCTGTCCAGGTACATAAAAATCTACACGGACACTGTACATTGCATCCGTGCTATCCCTCTCATAAATCTGAGATCATGAGATAAACATTGAATCTGTGCAATCCAGGAGGGTGTTAGAGATTAGATTTGAATGAATTGTCACTATTCTACACCATTCAATCCTTTCATGATTGGAACCATTCGCATGTAAATGTAGTCGCATAGCCACACAGTAAAAAGGTTCGAAATAATAGGTAGTGTATGTATGTATGAAGGTATCGATAGACAATAAATGCACGTCACTTTGTTTACCTGCCGGCCATTCACGAATCAAAATCCCGGATTCACCATGCATGTGTCGATGCCGCTAATGTAGCCACTGGTATGTAAAACACGCAGGAGATACATGCGTCTCTTGTGTGCTTTATCAACTGAGGCTAGTCCATCATATGCAGCTTTACGTATTTCCCTCCTTTAGTTACTCTTCGCGGCCTATCCACCATGAGAATCATCGCGACCTTTCAAAACCAACCATTCACCTCTTCTATGTTGACGAAGAAGAAAAGACTGGCCGACGAACCACCAATTGTATTATTCACCCAGGTACCTCACGTATAGGTAGATTAGGTATTAAGCTCCGAACCGTAATGCGAACCCGACGTTAATCCGTGTCATAAGTCACCCACTAGCCCCCATAACGGTAATCTGTTGATGGTCATAGCTCTTAGGAGCTTGCACCTAGACAACGGCCGCTCCATCGCAATAATCGCAGATTAAACATACAAACCTTCAACCTTCCCGGACACTTGCAAGTCGTCGCAATCCCTCTAATCCCTCAAACCTCGTTCTTCATCTTGCTTACATTGCTTCCTCTGCTCGCTTTACAATCGAAGACGACTTCAATCACCATTCAAATTAACATTTCCCCCACAATTGCCCCCTGTGCTCAAAAGCTCCCCCTACATTGATCGCATCGCTTGAGACCAGATACTGTGTTGCTTGTGTTGCTTGCGCAGCCCGCGGCTACTCGGCTGCCACTGCCTCCTGAATCTGAGCCAGGTCTATCGTCGTCGCCGCACTTCATATTTTATTGTTATTATACATTTCACAAAACTTGAAGTGCGAAGCGCATTAATCCGACGTCAACATGGGTTCTGAGGCGATCGCAAGCCACTACCAGGTCCTCGAGGAACTTGGCCGTACGTATTTCCAATTCTCTAACCGTACACTCACCAACCGAATACTTGCTAATATGCCATACATATAGGGGGTAGTTTTGGTGTAGTTTACAAAGGTATTGAAATTGCAACAGGTGAAGTCGTTGCTATCAAGCACGTAAGTCGCATTTCCATGTTCAGCAGTTACTATGATCGTCTACTTACATGTGCTTCAATAGATTGATCTTGAGTCTACCGAAGATGATATTCAAGACATTCAAGCGGAGATCTCAGTTCTCAGCACTTGCGCCAGTCCTTACGTCACCCAATACAAAGCTAGTTTCTTGAGAGGGAGTAAGTTATGGATTGTCATGGAATACCTCGGTGGTGGATCGTGTCTCGATCTGGTAAGATACCACAACCAAACGATAGAGTTTCTAAATCTGACATGTCACTTTTCACAGCTCAAACCCGAGCCGTCCTCTTTCAGCGAGACACACATCGCTATCGTATGTCGCGAGTTACTTCGTGGCCTCGAATACCTTCACGCAGAAGGCAAGATTCACCGAGACATCAAGGCTGCCAATATTCTTCTCTCGGATACGGGCAAGGTCAAGCTAGCCGACTTTGGAGTGGCTGCTCAACTCACGAATATGAAGTCACAGCGTAACACCTTCGTCGGTACGCCATTTTGGATGGCACCCGAAGTTATTCAGCAGGCCGGCTACGACTTCAAGGCCGATATCTGGTCTTTGGGAATTACAGCTATTGAGATGGCCTTCGGTGAACCCCCTCACTCTAATCTCCATCCTATGAAGGCCTTATTCCAGATTCCTAAGAGTGCCCCGCCCAAATTAGAGGGTAACTTCTCAAAGGACTTCAAGGACTTCGTGTCACAATGCCTTATGAAGGACCCGGACCGACGACCTTCGGCTAAGGAGATGCTTAAGCACCGTTTCATCAGGTCCTCGGGAAAGGTAGAGGCATTGCAGGAATTGATTGAGCGACGACGGAAGTACGACGCTACTAGAACAAAGAAGAAGAACCGGTCGTTTTATCAGGAGACCATGAGAGATCTCTCCCCTAAGGATGAAGCAGATGAGTGGGTCTTCGACACGGTCAGATCGGTTGCCCCTAGAAGGCCAACTGTTAAGTCCAGGAAGCCATCCTCCATCTTTTCTACTGAGGAAGCATTGCGCAGAATGGATATCAAGGACGCCCCGCTTCAGCCAACATCCCCAGTCGCTCCAGTTACTATGCGCAAAGCTACTATGCGAAGACAACAATCGTTGGCTCAGTTGTCAGGAAATGGTTCTGCACGTGCTCCGCCTGCTCCGGCGATGCGACGACCACTTCAACCAGACATGTCGTTCGGCAATTCAGGCTCATCCCAACGCCTCTTTAGAAGAGTGCCCTCTGACGGTTCTACCACTGGTCAAGTCTCATCTGTCAACTCAAATGATATACACACGGATGAGAATAAACATCCCAACTCGGTCGAAGCAACAAGCAAAGAAGCAATGCTCGGACGTCGTCTTTACTCGAAAGCTGTCGAGCCCACCCTCGCAGAACTACACGCCCAAACCTCGAGCATGGCGAAGCGCGACGCTCTCGGCAAGCTATCTGACGCACTCGCGCTGCTCGATTCCGTTGATCCCGAAGGCGCTTACCACCTCTTACGCAACCTGAACGCCAACATCCAGCACGACAGCAAGTTGTCGAACGCGTTCTTGAAGCACACCAGTAGTGATACCGTCAAGGAATACGATAACACCACGCCCCAAGGCACGGTGATCATCAAGAGCCAGACCCCGAGCCACCAGAACCAGAGTCCAGCGAAGCTCGTCCTAGCGTCTAACAACCCTCACTTGAAGAGCCACAAGCGGCGACAGTCGAGCATCACAGTCGCCGGTAACGGAAGTCCCGGAAAGTCTAGCCAGCGAGACCGAGACCGGGAGCGGGACCTCGAGAAGATTGCGCTGCAGGCTAAGTTCCCCGGCCAGCCGGCGCAGCCCGGCATGGAACACTGCAAACAACTCTCCGATGTTCTGTTCGGTCGGTGGGTAGACGGTCTGCGGCAGCGCTGGCCTAATGCTTAGTCCACGTATGTCCAGATGGGCTGAGAGCTGCGGGCCCAGTAATGCAACAAGTTAATGTGTAGGATAACGAGGGGGCTTCCCGGTAGTGGGATCGTAATTGGAAGTATTTCTGAACGAGGACCGGGTATTACGCTGCTCGAGTTGGGTGTGTACGATGAGAGAAAAAGCTACGTGGAGTCTCGCATAGTATTTGGGGGTTCTTGATTCATATTTTTTTCCAAACGCCCGGAGGATGAGGCGAGGATTGCAGATCTGACACACGAAGTCAAGGATCTTTTTCCGCATTTGGATCCTCTCTATTTTCCTTTTAAGGGGTGGATGAATAGTTGTTTGCATGGCATAGGTGTTTGTGTTCTTGTATGGATGGAGGATCAATTGTATGTCTGATTTTGTTAAGCACTTTCCTGGCTGGGCTGGAATGGTATGGTTGGGCGGTTGGGTCGGACACATAGGTACTATAGTCAGGTATTCGAAATACCAACATAATTCTTCATAAACTTGGGACTCTTGAAACTAGAATTGGACGAGCAATTATCACGATCATGATTTATTTCATAGCTCTTCATACATGGGCTAATTTTTAAAATTGGGTGTATGTATAATCGAGGCAAGTGCTTGGGTTTTAACTTATATACAGCGTACAGCAACTTCTAAATATTCACAGTGAACGATAGTGGGTAACTTTTTGAAGCGAAGAGATCCATGGGTCAGAAGTGAAGGTGCTTCAAGCACAATTGCCTCAAATAAAAACTCCTATTTTCTATAGGACTTTCCTAACCACGCCGAACCTTTTTTTTGGTTTTTTTTGGCGAATAATGATAGCGGTTGGTCTTACGACGCAACAGATGTCGTGCCGGTAGGATAATTGATGTTGATCACAGGGCAATCCGTCAGCGCCACGGTGAGGCCGAGCTGGTGGTCGCAGATGGGCTGGTTGCCCTGGCTGGGGTCGGGCAGGTGGCAGAGCTCGTCGATACCCCAGGTGCACTGGGTGTTGAGGATGTTGTACAGCGCGTAGTTCTGGCCGACCCAGGTGCTGGCCGAGCAGGAGCTGATGAAGTTCATGCTGTTGGCGGCGGCGAAGGACAGGTGCTGTTTGTCCTTGAGCAGGTCCGCGCACTCGGACATGGGCACGTCCTCGTAGGTGGCCGGGAGCCCGCCGCCGGCCGTCGGGTCCACCGTCGCGTTCTTGCCCGTCGACAGGTAGTTCCACGCGTCGTACGAGATGTCGTAGGCGCCGCCCGACTGGTCGACCTTGAGCAGGTTGACGGACCGCCCGTTCGCCGTCACCTTGACGCACAGCTTGTCGCAGTCCGGCGCCGACGGCCAGTACGCCACCCGGTTCGTGTTGATCTTGCAGCCGAGCACGCCGATCGAGGACGAGTAGCTGTCGTGCGGCGTCACGGAGACGGAGGTGCCGCGCTTCGAGTGGGCGGAGAAGGGGGAGGAGGAGGAGGGAATGACTGCGGCGGACACGGCCACCGCCGAGATAAGGAATGACAGGACGCCGGAGCGCATTTTGAAGGGAGGGGCAGGGGGTTTGGGGGTTTTATAACAAGGAGAGTGTGAGTATGAAAATAAAACAAATTTCTAATTTGTTTAGAAGGAATGACTGGCCAACAGGCTGTGAAGGGAGTGCAAAGATTGGGCAAAGAGAGAGAGAGAGAGAGAGAGACCTGTTGCTGGCTAACTTACACCGTAGGTTGAGGCCATTCAGCTCATATATATAGGTACTGGTCCGGGAGCCCGAGTAACCGGATCCACCTGAAAGGCTATTTCTGTCACATCGCTTCATGATAATCCGCCTCAAAGCGGCTTTGTTGGAGGCAGGACCCGCGGAACGTGGTGGCCTTCCCACCCAGAAGCTCTTTGGGCTTTTGTTGCGGACAAAGGAAGGTGGTAAATTGGAAGGATTCGCGGTTGAGTTTTTTCTCAAAATTGTTGCTTAGTCGACCCCTACCGGCGCAGGTTGGCTGAAACAGGATATGAATGGCGGTTTCTAATTAGCATCCCACCCTATTGCTCACATAGGGGTCTGCAATAGTAAAACCATGTAAGAGCGCCATCTAGATTTGTAGCTAGGATCAGCCTTGAACTACCGGTTTTCGTGGTAGTATATGTATGTGACTTGGCTCAATACCAGGGGTCGAATTCCGTGGCTGGAAGTTTAGTCTCTTTTTGTCGCGCTGTGGCGGCGCAGCGTCGTTGAAGCTCAGTTACCCCCTCTGCCCCTATGAATAGGTGGTTAAGTCGTTGGGGATTTTACGATCCTACGACCAGGGATGCATTTGGTAATATCTCCATGTGAAATCGTGCCGAATAGCAACCCATCCACGCGGCTTCTTTCAGCAGGTCTGCTACCAACATGTGGTTTAACTCCGACAACGGGGAAGGCCTAGCTGTGTCAATATGAGCCTCCTTTATTACCTACCTAGAGCGGGAATGTCTAATCCTATAAAAAAAAGTTCTAGGCGGCTTTATGAGGCGTCCGCTTCGTCAGCTACCTACCCCTGCAGCTCCCTGCAACTAAGAGTCCTTGTCTATGGCTCGTTACATTGTGCCTGGCAGATGATGTACAGAAACGTGCTTGTCATGTGGTTTGAGATCAAGATCGCTATAGATAACCTGTCTTGGCGGTCCCGAGAGCTGCAGGAACCAGCAGAAACAAAGCCCTTTTGATTGGTGGTCCTATTCGAATATCCGTATTCGTTATGCATGTAAACAGCTTGGTCTACTAGATACCGTCTACTTCTTATAACGGGATAGTGAGGTTAACATGCATTTAAGCTTAAAGTAATACTTAAGTTGAAGTTGTCGGAACGTTGAATAAAGACTTTTCTGCTTAATAAGTTTTACTTTAAGAAATTGGTAGATGTCTCATACATGTAAGCCAAGCCAAGTGTTGTGCCCCCAACCACCAGCATAAAACGACAACTCTGAATAATAGTTATGCACGGATGATTTTCGGAGATGTTGGAAACGTTACGGAAGAAGTCCGTTTGAGGCTTATGGGCTTTGTAAGAAACCCCGCGACAACACATTCTGAAATCGGCAGGATACTAAGCTTGCCAATAATGTTGTTTCTACTGAGGGGTTCCAACAGCCTCTTTGCGACAAAGTTGTCTACAGCCCGAAATCGGTTTTAATAGCTTTAGACCGACACGGCCTAAGCCTACTGTCGGTCTCGTATCTACACACGTCCTGCTGTTGGAGCTTAGCAGAATCATTCCATCAGTAATAGCAGCTTAGTGCTGATTCGGATGTCATCTTCCCCGCATGCTATGAAGCTATCAAGGCAACGATATGGACATTCGGTGCGAGCTGCATCAATCATTTGACAGTGTCATAACCCAAAGTGCCTCTTAGGTATCCACCTACGAGTCTTGCCCTTGTGTTCGCCTTGCATCCTTATAACATATGTTGGTGGCTCAATACTGTTATAATATCACATAATGCAGCAAGATCCAAGGCAGAAGAGTGGGTGTTTGTTCTGGGCATTACAATGAGTGGCAGGCCTTTCTTTCGTCTACCTATGCTTCCCCTCTCTCCTAAGTCCATTATTCATCAAGAGCTAGCCAAGTGGTTTAGGTTCACATAATTTGGTTACTAATTTCTCTTTCAAATCAAGTTATAGTTCCTGGGCCTAGATTAAGTCTTATGGCGAATCCTCAAACATGGCTTATTACCGGTTGTTCGAGCGGTTTCGGTGAGCTATTCGTTCGCCAGCTTCGTGCCCTAGGGGATAATGTCATTGCGACAGGTCGCAACGCTCCATCGAAGCTTGCTCATTTAGTTGATACTGGCGCCAAAATTCTTGACCTTGATGTCACGGCGCCCGTTGCCGAAATCGAGGCCAAGATGGCTGAGGCATGGAACATCTACCCGGGTGGAATAGATGTCGTCGTGAACAATGCAGGTTATATCCTTAGCGGCGCTGTCGAAGAGCTCACGTAAGTACCTGTCGGTTCAACTCCATGCGCTCGCAAGCAAATGTAACATTTTCTGTTTGAATTCAGTGCCCAAGAGCTTAGAGATATCTTCGATACAAATTTCCATGGTCCCCTCAACATCACCAGAGCTCTTCTTCCGAAGCTTCGAGCTAAGAACAAAGGGACACTCTTATACATCAGCTCCCAAGCGGGCTGGCACGCTGATCCCGGCGCGGCCGGCTACTGCGGCAGTAAATTTGCGCTTGAAGGTAAATTGATCATCTTCACGAACTTTATTTCGTGATCTTCTATTATTAAATAGTATAGAGTACTTATTTACTACTTTTATAGGTGCCGTTGAGTGCTTGTCACAAGAGCTGGCTATGTTTGCGCCTGGTCTAAAGGTTCTCATCGTAGAACCGGGTTACTTTCGCACGCAAGCTTTCGCCAAAATCAACCATGTGCCTCCACGTGTGCCGGATTATGCTCAGTTTAATACCGCTGTCCGCGCGGTGGAAGCTGGCATAGTGGGAAATGAGCCCGGCGATGCCGAAAAGGCTGTTTCTATCATGGTTGATTTGGTCAAGGGAACCGGCGTAGCCCAAGGAAAAGACATACCTTTACGCGTCCCTCTGGGAAGCGATGGATGGGGAAGAATTAGGGCGAAGTGTGAGAATATGATAAAGATATGCGACGAATGGGAAGAGGTAGCTAAGAGTACTGATATTGTTAAGCCAGAATGAGGCTGTAGTTAGATAGACCATCCTACCAGAAGCTTGCGCATCTTTAGGTGGGAGGTTCTGACTACCTACCTGGTACCTGTGTCTTATTATTATACAACTTCAACAACCTACTCATCAAGACCGCATCCCGATCAATAGCTCCTGAATTACTTTGTCAAGGATACCGATCACAAAGTCTTTCTCATAGAAACTTATATTAAAACAAGCGCTGAGATGCAGTACCCCATCCCAGCTCCAGACATGGAATTGCACATTTTTGGTCAGCATTTCGGTTCCCAGCCAAAAGTTTGTGATATCGACCTTCAAGTCTCCATTCACCCGATATCCACATTGCAAATAAGATTCCATCTTGCCGAGACTACTTGGATCTGGAGTCTGCACCGGTGGCAGGCCTTCGGGTATAGGAGCGTTGAACAATGCGGTGGTTCATCGCACGTATGGCTCTACGAGGTCAAGTAAACTAATCGTCTGGCCGGCACTTCCAGGCGGTGTCCAGAAATGGTTGAGATCTCGGGCATAAACAGCGCCTAGCTCACGGGCGATAGCCTCGAACTCTTCCCGAGGTTTCCCGTCCTCGGGCAGCACAGAGCTGATGCACAAAGGAAGACCCGAAAAATAGACTCCAGTAGCCTCCGAGACGATTTTGGCGTCTGATGCGGCAGTACGAGCGGTTGCAAGTCGTAAATCAACGGGAACGAATGCTGTGTAGGATTTAGAAAGTGGATGTTGCGGAAAGTTAGCAGTAACCCGGACGATAGCCGCGTGTACGGCGCTCGTCACCTTGATACCTCTATTCCTACAAGCAGTCGAGACCTCAATAGTTGTACTAGCGAGCATCTATGTAAGTAACAACCCGCTCGCTAGAGCCCGGGGTGGCATTTTCGGAGTTAAGTCGACTTGGAAGCCCGATGCTGGGCACGCCACGTAGGAATATCCCTACCAGCTCGTCCGCACCAGCTCCCAGATCTGGATGCTCCTTGCCCTCATGCGAGCGTGGGAACTGCGACACAGACCTCGCTACATGCTCGAGGCTTGGGGCACTGAGGGCTCTTTCCCGATGTTCGGAACTAGGACTTCCAGCGGACAGTCATGTCCGCTGCGTATCGTTCCAGATAAAGCTAACATGAAGTGGCGGCCGAGTAACGCCATCCCCACGCCATCCGTACGCCGATGTGATGACTTAATAACTAGTTCGGATGATTTCGGCAGCCAGTAGCAAGTTGCCGTAGGCGTGGAAAGAAGGTTAGGGAAGAGTTGATCAGCACAAGCGACTTCATCGTATACGACAAAGGTCTGATTGGCCCAGTCACCGAGATTTAGGGGTCCGGCAATTAGGCGCGATGGCGCGGGCTGCGCAATATCGTTGCTTGACTGTAGTGTCGCCCCCAAGGTGGGATGCTGCAACCGTAGAACCTGCCACGCACGCCGAAGATAGGGCACCGGATCCGCGATGATGCCGGGAAACTGGAGGCATAGAGCAAGGTGAACGGTCCAATGCTCACGTTTTAATGGTTTGCCTTTCTTCGCAAGCAACTTAAAGAAGTTCTCCAGGTTCCCTAATGGACGAGTGAAGCCATCTTGAAGACATGGCACTGGTGAATTCATAGTGGTACTAGAAGTTACGACGAGTTTGAGATGAAGAAGAATAGCTAGGAATGCTTTCGTATATGAGAGCTTTGATATACTTAGGCACCTATGCTTATATTAAGCACAGTATCAATACCTGTTCGTGCATAAGATGTCTATATTGAATTCTAACCATTCATATGGACGGGATATTTAGTTATAGCATATACAGACGGCCGCTACATAGGGGTAGTGCATTTAATATATGCTACAACTCGAACTGCATTTCATGAATGAGGTCACATTTAAAAGTATTATTGGTGATACGTCCAATGTCGGATCGCATCCTTGACTCTAATAAATCAAACTTCGTGTAAGTAGGTAATCTACGAATAATTATAGAGTATTGATTCTAATATCTATATTTTGTTACACATCTCAGCCTGCTTCCTCCCCATTCCTACTACTACTAGATAGACAACATGAGTTGTGCCGCAATAACAGGTATAGTAGGCGTCGACCTATCGCATGGATGTATCACGAATAACATTGGGAGGGTTGTCTGTTTCTTGATACTACTCTTGCGTCCTTTCTTCTTTGCCGTCTATTACATAAACTGTTCTACCCTCAGGTATAATACCTTTCTCCTGTGATCATGCCTCACATAATTTCATATATCTTCAACTTCAAATAAGTCAATATGCCAATTCTCCCAACGGAACAAGAAGTTTCTTATATGATAGCACATTCTGGTGATACCTTAGTGGCCAACGGAATTGCATGCGCTTCAATCTGTGGTATTTTCTCTATTGCCTTCATCTGGTTGCGCTTCTATTCTCAATGGCATGTTCAACGTCGGCACTCGCTCACACTGAGCGACATATTCATCGTGTTGGCCTGGGTACGTTCCATAAAGCGCACTATGGTCGGTTCTTGCCACAAGACTACCTAATCTAACTACCACCTTTAGATCTTCTTCGCCTCTTTTGATATTGGTGCAGCAGCGACAACTCGCTATGGAGGTGGGCGTCATGCTATCTTCATCACAAATCCACGTTTGATCCAAATTGTGAGTCTAGGGATCGCATGCTTGGGAACCTCGTTCACTAGGTATTAAGCACTCACGAGACATAGTTGTTCATATTGGACGAGAATACATATTGTTACGCTATGGCGTTTATCAAGCTTAGCATCCTAAGCTTGTACGCTAATATATTCCCTTCCAGACGATTCCGTTACTTCCTATGGGCAGTCGCGGTTTTCGTTATCGCCTGGGCTCTGTCCATCGCAAACGTTGCCATTTTCCAGTGTAGACCAATTGCTTACGGATGGGACCCTACTATAGAGGGTTCCTGCCTCAATTATGGTTTGGTCGTGCTTGTCTCAGGTATTATCAACATCATTACGGACTTCACCATCCTGTGCATGCCTATCCCATTGATCTGGAGACTCCACGCGACCAGACAGAAGAAGGTGGAATTGAGCATTATATTTGCATTGGGCGGTAGTGCGTGTATTGTCAGCATCATTCGACTACCATTTGCTCTTAGAGTTGGATCGACTTCTGATGGAAGCTGTATGTCGCTGCAAGCCGTTGTCTTCACACTCTAAATTTCCCCAACTGTTTGGATTTGGCTGACTACTTCAACTTATAGGGGATAATATGCCAGCTGGAATGATCTCCATCGTCGAACTCATGACTGGCATACTAGTTGCCTGTGTACCGACGTATCGTCCTCTTTACAAGCAGTTATTTCACCATTCGGCCTCCACTACATATGGGTCGACGAGCAACTGGAGCTTTAGCCTCAAAAGGAGGAAGGAAGCTCACGACTTTGGCGAGGATTGTTCTCGCCATGTCAACATCTCGGCTGACCAGTTTTTGGGCGACCCTAGACCAGGTATCAATGTGACAAACCAGATTGAGTTGGTCGTACATACAAACAGGGGGGGCAATTGGGTCAGAGTCCCCGATGAATGATAATTGCCCTGGAATTAGACATTCGCTACTCGCCACCTCAGAATATTAGTGAAACGGATACTCCGTATAGCTTTATGGTATAAAAAAAATTGTGGTCCTTAAGATCTCGGCATACTATTCAATGTTCTCGCCCTGAGAAGACTCGTTAACCCGCTATCCATGTATGGTGACCATGATCGCAAGGCTCATTTTAAAGAAGATTAGGTGCGCTATAACTATAGGGTGCCCATACTAAACTAAAAGCCTATACTTACCGTATAGGCACACCCATAGGAAGGTAGGTAGGAGGTAGGTACAGGTGGATGCGCTGTTGGAGGTATTCTAAATGGGAGTTGGGATCGACTAACCCCACTCAAGTCATATGCCTCTCATTAGCCACACTTGCCGACTTGTTAAAACGTAACGTTCAAACTTGCCGTTTTACCTCCAGCTCCGTTTTATGTACATAAGTCTACACAATAATGCATAAAAAGTATAGGTACCGTACTCTGGGACTAATATTATTAGTCAGTTATGTAGGTAATTACTTAGCAAGGACCTGCAGGAAACAATTAACCGTTAATTTACGGTTTGTGTTTTCCGAAGCATAAATATATGGTTTATCTTAATTTGACGTTTACTTATCCGAACGATTATAAAATTAAACGATTACTTGCATTCTATTGTTAAATATCTTGAAACGTTTGACTTTGACAACCGTTTCTACTTGGGAATAGCTTCAATAGGTGTGTGTAACTGTCCTAGTATTCTAGCTATCCTGGTCTATCCTGGTTTACCTCCTGATCTAGGTGTGTGTAGCCATTTCGATACTTTGGATCTTTGATCCTAAGGTGTGTGTAGCCATTCCAATCGTTCTAGTCTAACTGTTTTGATCTTGTTGTGTTACTTGCCTTAGAGTCTATATAAGACTTTGCTCCCACTCACCTACTTACACGCCTTCTTCTTTTTCAAAACTTCAAGTGCTCCAAGGTTCAAAGTCTTTGAAGAAGTCTTCAAAAACCTACCTACCTACCTACCTACCTGCCTGCCTAGGCACTTAGGTCCCACCAGGAACGCCAGGAACTCCAGGAACTCCAGGATCTCCAAGACTGACTTGCTAGCAGTGCCTACTTACCTACTTGTGAGGCTCAACTGCGTAGCCAGGTAGGTATTGCAGTCAGTACTGCAATTGTAGATTTCGTAGACGTAGAAGGCCACCTTGGCCTGAATAGATTCAACCTGACCTGACCTGTTTACTTGTTTACCTGTTGGTCCCAACGTTACACCTACTCCCGTTACTCCCGTTAGCTCCCGTGGCCTTCCCGTGCAGGTACATCTCAAGCTTCAAATAAACGATTGAATCTTCAAACGTTTAAGTTTGGGTCAAATATAAAAACGCATATAAACGTTTATTTAAAAAGATGGTTTCTCAGTGGTTTCTTCATTCCCAAACGTTTATTTTTTCGAACCATAAATTAACCGTTAATTAACGGTTAATTGTTTCCTGCGGATCCTTGTACGGTATTACCTACCTGATATAGATGTCTTTTTTTTGGTGTTACGAAAAACAGATTGGACTGTGACTCTCAGAAACTAACCGGCATCTCCGTCTATTCAGATCTATGCCCAGGTTCTATGGCTTCAACGGATGCTCTTTTTCTGCCTTCTCCTTCAGCTGGTCTTCAACCTCTCTGCTCGCGTCGCCATCCTCGGGGATGCCGTTCTTTGCCGGATACTTCAGGAAACCCTTTTCTTCGACCTCACGGATTTTCTCCATGAAGATATCACCCATCATGAAATAACCTTCATCTGTAGGATGAATACGATCGCCTCCGATATCTTCAGGCTTGGGTCGATTGGGAAGCCCTTGATCGTAATGCATTTCTGCTATCGCGACTGGTTTCTTCTCTCGGATCAAGTCGGCTGCTACTTGGCGGATCTGTGCGTTCGCACTCTTCATACAAGGCTCGACTTCGGGGTCCGGAGTGGTGACAAGAGTCGACATGATGACTGTGGCCCTCGGTGAGGCCTCTAGCATGTACTCGACAAGATCGCGCATCCGCGTTAGGATGTTTACAGGATCGTCTTTTTGAAAACAGTCGCTGGTGCCGACTTGGACTAGAATAAGATTTGGCTGGAGGTACGGGACAGCCTGCTCCGCATGGTCGCGAAGTTGTCTAATTCGTGCGGCGCCGTAACCCTCGACATCGTTGTCGGGAAAGTCGCCAAAGCGGTTGAAGCCGACACAGTTCACTGGATTACCCAAAGACGTGAGCTTGTCGCGCAGCTGTTTCCTGTATCCCCTATCTCCTGTCGAGACCTCACCACGTGTGACCGAGGCGCCTATGAACATGATTCGTAGAGGCATACCGCCAGCCACAGCTCCATCGTGGGCGGTTTTGCCTTTGCCTGGGGCGAAACGATTCCATTGGTACTCGACGTCGACCGGGTGAGTGAAAAAGAATAGGGCTATATGATCGGATATTAGTTTACCTATTGATTTTGGACCCCTTATGTTTCATAGCCTACCTACCTATGAGGATCAACGCAACTGCGGACACGCTTGCTAATTTATAAATGCTGAGCATTGTAGCCTGCTAAGCCTGCCAACCACGGCGCGGCTACTGATGCTGTGAACCTCGCTCGACGGACTTCTGAGTAGTTCATGTAGAGTTCACAACATGATTGAAACCGAAAAAAGGTGAAGTTATATCAATCATCCTTCAAAATCGATACTCGCAGCCCTTTGTAGGGGGCGGCTTCGTCAATATGGTTGATATTATTCAGCTGTTCCAATCAATCGGCAAATACGGCACAAGATTTGTTGGATTGTACTACGTCACTCATCAAACAAGCAATGCCTTGCAGACTTGGCACTAACTAGTAACCTTGGTGTTGATGGCCGTCGATATTCTAATCTCGCCAATGACGGCGCTCTCTACGCGCGGCTTGCATGCGGCCGGACGGGAAACTAATCCTCTTGCTGACACACCTTGTCGATCAACCAACCAGGTTCGTCGTAAAATCTCAGCTTCATCAACGCTATCTGTTTCATGTTGCGAGCTGCATCACATTATAATTCGAAAGCTTATACGAGACGCAGTTTATTAATATCGCCAGCAACCCCTATCTAGAAACGAATGCGAGAAACGGTCATCTATATCCTCGCATTCTATCTCCCCCTTTTACGAATGGTCGGCCATCCGTTCATAGTAGCTCAAAACACCAAATCAAGAACACCCAAATTCAATGCATGTCTCAGATGGGTACATAACGCCTAACCCCATTCCCAAATGCCCATCTATGGGCTTCACCACTGTCCGCATTTACCCCAGTAATCCTGCAACTTCGACTGATCTATCAACTCGAATGGCAAATCGTTATTTCGCCTATCGGTCTGCATCAACTCATGTAGATGGTTGCACGCCAGACAATCTGCCCCCGACAAAAATGGCTTCAGCATTTCCGCGACGTGTGCCCCTTTCTGCAGTCTATTCTGGACGACTTTAGCCTCGGTGGGTAAGCCCAGGTCGAGCAGCAAGTCGAGAACGTCGTATATATGGTGTGATTTCTCTGCGAGGTGGCACTCGTAGACTAGCCGCCATAAGTCCGGCATCCGGGCGTCTTGGGCGAACCGGGTCATTCCAACACAGATCCTAGCATATGTTGCTACCCAGTGGCCGTCCAACGAAGCCGCTGCCTGCCGAAATTCGACAGTCTTGTTTGCAGCCTCATAGGGCCCGTCCTTGGCGTTCCTCTTGATGTCTAAATAGTTCTCGAAGTTGTATGCGCCGCGCGCGGTGCTGCTCATGAGAGACGCGACGGCGTTGAGGTTAAGACAGCGGAAAATCTCAGTCGTTCCGGTCATAATGTCGTGGCCCTGGCGAAGCTCAAATGGCTCATCAGGGATATTTATCGAATAAATTGGCCTATCGCAAACGTCACGCTCTTCCTTAGAGGGCATAACCGCATGCTTTGTTCGCGGTAGAGTACGGGTGAATCCCTTGGTCATGAGTCGTCTAGCTTTACCTAGGTTGATGACATTCTGGATAGAGGGTGTAGTTGTCGTGGTAGTGACAGATGTCCGGGCACCGGCCTCCCATCTTGACGCCACTAATTTCGATAGGAGCTTCTTCATAGTAGATACGGAAAAGTCGTCGTTTGCCGTGTGATAATTCTCCACTTTATCTCCTTCTGCGAGGTTGGACTTGACCCTTGGGCCGAGACAATGGTCGTTGAAGCGTCGGGATACGGGATGCATCTGCTGCAAGAGAGTATCACCGGCCCAGCATACGGCAGCCAGCTTCTGAAGAGTTTCTAGGGGAAATAAGGCGGGCCCCTGGCCAACGTGGACATGAAGGCCACAGGATGGAGGCACGGCAGCTCGGAAAGCCTTGCGCAGCCAGTCGGTAACGGCCTTGACTTCCCTGAAAGCATTTTCAGCTGCGTACATGGCCGGTGATATGACCTCTAGGCCGGTGTACTCGAGACCATCGTGGTCTTCCTCATCCAGCTTGATCGATAGGTCGGCTTCAACCTTCCATCCTCGATACGAATCCTGCAGGGGGTTGCCAGTAGGGGGGATCGGCTCACCACGGAGGTCCTTTGGGAGTCCCCCGACGAATTGGTGGATTTCGTAGGTCAACAGCCTCGCCATGTCATCATCCCTCTCACACTTCTTGTAGTACTCGCATCTGGGGATTTTCGGGTTGCGCTCCTTCCATGCGTCATAGGTCATATCTACCATTGGAGGTAGATCATCCGCTGCATTCTCAAGCTCTTCCGATTTGCGCGTATAGAAGTACGCGGCCTCGAGCTCAACACCAAAGGTTAACGCAGCCATTGTGGGAGGTGTAGGTAGTAAGTAATTCGTAGGAGGAATGATCTACCTAGGAGGTGTGTTACTCCGGTGGTGAAGAAAGAGAGAAGGATGATTCTTCGGTGGGAATTGCGTTCTTATATTTTCTAACGGAAGGCGCGTTATACATAAAGTAATTCCCAGCCATGGATGTATTTCCTTAGATTTAACTTTCAAGTTAAGAGCCACCTTGATAGGTAAGTGGCCATTGACTCAGAGGTAAACGTACATCCCGACGTACCTACTAGGTACCTAATTACCCAACCCAGCAACTAAATACGGAAACACAGAAGCCATAAGATGGTCAATGCAGGCTTAAATCACATTCCATACTGTGCCTTCCTTATACTCGTATACTAGGTTGGTACCTGTGATTTTTACGATGATTCAAGACGGCATATTGCGGAATGTGGTCAAAGCACATACTCATTAGGACAGGCAATACTAGATCCTGATTATTCGGGAAACTTACCAGCTATGTAGTTATGATCGAGCGGCCAAAGCATTTCTTCGTCCTGGAGCATATTGTGTCAAGATTTGATTATGTTTGGCATTGTTTGCAATATTGCCTTCAATGCAGTATGATTGAGTACTGCTGTCGTTCTGCTAATGACGCCCGTCTAGGGATTCTTCGTATTCTCCATAAGACACCAATCGTATTTTAGGACCGGTCATCAAATGTGATTTTTCTATCACTTAATTACATCGCTGCGTAGTCCGTTTAAGCTTCCTGTGAAGAACGAGCTTTTGATACACTGAAGTATGTGGGGCAAGGAGGTTTGAAGGATACCGCCTGCTAGGTCTTAAGTGAGTAAACTGTCAACAAGTAGAATCCGTCTCGTGGCTGGATAGATTTCAGTTATTATCTACCTATGTATGAATTCAAAAAGGTGGAAATATAGTTAATAGCGTGAACTTGATATTCAATAAAGAAAAGATAAACTTTCCATATTAGATTATTAGTTGAAGACGATGAGGCTCTTATAAGGTTTATGTGCAGTGCATGGATGGAGGGAGCTCTTACCCTACCCAGCGCTACGGTCAAGGGCATGGATTACAAAATTTAGCGCATTTAGGGCTGAGACTAAAGATTTAGTGTTTAGCGCGCAGTCACACGTGAGAACGTCAACCAAACAACTTGAAACTCCAACACCTTCTCAATAGCAACGCATGTAAACAACAGGTGCAGGGAGAGGCGAAAAAAAGGAGAACAATCTCGACGGCCTCAATTTTCATGAATCCACTGCATGGCCTTTGAAATACCTACTGGGGGTATGCTGTTTTGGAATTTGGCGCCTTCGTACTTGTTTTTCGCGACGGCGAAGCCTAACGCGTCTAACTGCCATACGATACCAGGCCATACCAGACCCACAACGCTTTGGAAAATCGCTTCGGGAGCCTCATTTGATTGAACTTAACACCCATATTTGAAACCTACTCATTAACATGGAGAGCTTTCTTCGCGAGTGGCGACAAGATGCCTTGAATAAGGCACAATACGAGTCTGCTATTTTTATTGGGGATAAGCTTTTAGCGTTGACCAGTGAGTTTGTGTGTGATTTCTGTGTCACTCCTTACACTAAACAAATCTCATAGATGATGACAATGATGCCTTTTGGCTTGCACAAGTCCATTTTGCCACTGGGAACTACACCAGAGCACAGACGTTCTTGTCTAAGCAGGACCTCATCAGCCGAAATCCATCTTGCCGATATCTAGCAGCTCACTGCTTTATTAAGCAGTCTCGGTTTGAGGAGGCGCTCTCTGTGCTTGGCGAGCGAAATCCTACCCACTTGATCTCTAACGCAGCAACTAAGCGCAAGCATACGAGTTCGCGCAGTACTGCTTCACATCATGGCAGAGGCGCAGCCAAGGCACAGGACCGGAGAGGTGAAATGTCGGAGGAAGAAGCGGCTAACAGACGCTTCGAAGCCGCCATGTGCTTTCTAAGAGGCCTTTGCTATGCCAAACAAAATGCATTCGACCGGGCGAAAGAGTGTTACAAAGATGCCGTGCGCATCGACGTTCAGTGTTTTGAAGCTTTCCAGCAGCTAATGAAGAATTCACTCATGTCACCTGATGAGGAGTGGCAGTTCTTAGAATCTCTAGATTTCGATGCTATCACCGTCACCGCAGACCCGGCATCCTCGCAAGAGGCTGGCGAATTTACAAGGATGCTCTACACTACTAGGCTTTCTAAGTACCGGAACCCTACTGCGTTTACAACTGCAAGCGAGAGTCTATCAACGCACTATAATCTTGCTACGAACCCGGACCTGCTGCTTGCTCGAGCGGATTTACTCTACACGCAATGCAAATATAAAGACGCATTAGCTATCACTGAATCTGTACTCCAAGAAGACAAGTACAACTTCAGCATATATCCCTTACACTTAGCTTGCCTGTACGAACTCAAGAGGAAGAACGTACTCTTCTTGGTCGCACACGACCTTGCCGATTCACATCCGGAAGAGCCTTGTACGTGGCTCGCCGTAGGTATTTACTACTTCTCTATCGACAAGATTGCAGAAGCCAGACGTTATTTCAGTAAAGCTAGTATGATGGATCCACACTTCGGCCCTGCTTGGATTGGGTTCGCGCATACCTTCGCCGCCGAGGGTGAGCACGACCAAGCCATATCGGCATACTCGACGGCCGCGCGACTGTTCATGGGCACGCACTTGCCACAGGTGTTCCTGGGGATGCAGAACCATGCGCTCAACAACATGACGTTAGCCGACGAGTTCCTCAAGACGGCGTATGGTCTCTGCAAGACGGATCCGCTGCTACTCAACGAGATGGGCGTCGTCTATTATCACCAAGACCGCCCCCAGGACGCTGCCACGTTGTTCTTGAAGGCGCTCGATGTCGCTGAGGAAATCGATTCAGAACCCAATGCCTGGATCTCTGCCCGTACCAACTTAGCGCATGCCTACCGCCGCGCTAAGCGCTACGATGATGCGCTCGAGCAGTTCGATGAGGTCCTCAGACAGGGCGGCAAGGACGCAGGTATATTTTCTGCTAAGGGCTTAATATACATGGAGCAGGGGAAGTTCGATGTCGCTGTTGAGGTGCTGCATAAAGCACTAGCTATAAACCCCCAGGACCCCATCGCGACGGAATTGTTGAACAAGGCGCTGGATGAACTGGCTGGTTTCTTGCCTTAAATCTTATGATAGAGGCATGATGTGGTGAGGTTGTCCCAACCGTTTTATGAATAATGAAAGGGATGATTAAGGCCTATCCTACATGTAGGCTAGAGGGATATCTTGGAAGGGAATAATGAATGTTACTGCATCTCATGTCTCTTCGTATGCATGTTGGAGGGATTGTAGCTGGCTTCCTAGCAGCTAGAATTATCGCCAAACACTTGTTAATGCTTACGATACCTACATACCTAGGTAAGTACCTGCAGATGACCCTAGGTATTTGCTTATTTTGTCTCGATCTGATAAAGTGCTCAGAGGCACATGGCTTTGATTATGCCCTGTAGCAAACCGAACGCCCTGCATCGCATGGGCAAAAGCAAAGACCGGTTCCCCTTTCTTTTTCTCGAATTTTCCTTTTCCAAGAAAAAAATGGATTGTGTGCCCCATCGTACCCTAACCCACATATAATACCTCGGCGCCTCTTCCCCAGCCGTCTGGATAGTTCGGGAGTCAGTGCGGATCACGGATATGGGGGAGAGACAAAAGAGCGGTCAGGGTATATACGCGAATTGCCGTTGCCGGTTTTCTTGAAACGCAGCTCTAAAATCGGTTGCAATAAATTTTTTGGCGGGATTTGATGATTTAAGATTGACAGACGCCTTTGCTCGCTCGACGGTTCGGTCTTACGACATCATCCTCCACGCCTCGTCACAAACGGGTTACGCGGACGCCGATCAGTAAGTTGTTGTGTTTGCGTGCCGGTGTGCTTCCTCTGAGGAACTAAATTGCCAAGTCCCTATATGTGTGGTGATATTTGTAGTACATAAGAAGGCAATTAGGTCATCGTGCGTCGCTCGCGCGCTCTCAATATCTCACGCCTAATATATCCCAAAATTAGAGGAGTCCCGGTCCTTACTCGAGTGGGATATGGGGAGGTCCCTACATGCCTAGCCTAATGTAATTACATACCTACCTGCTGTGTGTATTCGCTGTACGTACGTTATGTACCTACGCATGTACGTAGCACATACATTACAGCTGCCATGTGGAGGGCCGGGGTTGGGCATCTCCCTTAGCTGGCTGAGCTGAGCCCGTCGTCCGTTCGCCGCGTGGGGGAGCGATCCCGAGCTGACCCCTCTCCGAGCCCGGACGGACATTAACTCGGAGAATTGCAACTGCTTGACCTCGACTGCATTCTATTTATTGAATGCCGTTCAACACTCGTCTACTTACGAATTTGCTTCAGGATTTTCTTCGGTTTCTCGTCTTCGTATCTACATACCTAATTTTCTCGGCGGCGACGTGGTGTGTTTTCTTAGCCTCCAACTCCTTACTCCTTAGGCTTTAGCCTATGGTCTGCACATCTCGTTTCCTTGGGACGCAGTGGGCCACCGTCACATCGATGACCACTTAAGCAAGGGAGAGGCTTGCGAGAACATTGGCTTGGGAGCGCCGGATCTCAGATAAAGGGTCGACCTTTTTGCGTGATTGCGTCGACCCAAATCCAATATTTCGGTGCAGATGTTACCCAACCGTTTGGGTTTCAGGGGCGACCTTGTGAGGTTGAGAGTTGAGAGTCGCAGTCAGGTCAGAGAAAAGGGGCCCGGATGTGATATCGATCAGCACAGCATCTGTGTCCTGCAACGCTCGCATGTTCTTCGTGCGAATATCGCCCAAGTAGGCTGAAGTAGGATATCATGAACGTGTGAATATTGCCAACCATCACGTCGTTAATTTGGACTATGTTTTCTCCGCCTCGCTGACGGCGATCTCCGCAGAATTGTTCTGAACAATGGGGATGATGCAACGGAGTGGGGAGTTGGTCTTTGCAACTATCCTGGGATATGGACTTGCGGGTGTGGTCCGCGGTGGGGTGGCTCTTCGGATTGCGGTGTTCTCGTTCGCCCTTCTCTTGACCGATTCTTTTTTTTTTCTTTGCTAGAACAGCATGTACCAAGGGCCGGCCCGTTGTTGCAGTTACTTCCAGGCCCTTCTTGTAGAATGGCCAGGGCTTGGTGATAGTGCATGTTACCGTACGTAGCCATTAGTTTCCCAAGCATTTTTGGAAGAGGGAGAATCTGTTGCGGAATTTACCGCAACAATTTCACCACCCCCTTGTTTTCTCATCATGATCTGTCTCACAAAGCTGTACATAAGCCGTGTCGATGTAGATTCAATATGCGCGCCAGCATGACTGCATAAAATGGAGGAAGCAGAAAGGATTTCGGATGAAGGAAGAGGTCATTTTAGACGTATGCCAAATGCCTATCAACCTGCCGAATTCGGACGCTCTCAAAAGCCAGTTTGATGACCGACTGTGATCCTATCCACGAACAAATGTCTACCGGAGACGAATCAGTGAAAAAAATAGTATCCAATTCTATATAAAATCCAGCAGGTTTTGGCTGGACGGCATTACTAAAAAACCCCGTCTATGGAAGGGACTTGAGACTAATTATGCCCTGCAAATGTCGTCTAGTAAGACTTGCTACACCAGAAAAGAAGTTGAAGACCGGGACGGTTTCGGTGCTGATATGCATAATCCTTATTATGCAAGGAGCAGAAATCTTCGCTAAATCGCCACTATATCGGTGTAGAGCCAGTCTTTGACTGGCCGAAGGCGGAGGTGGAGGACATCCACAGCAACGAATGAAATATTAGGAGCCTCAATTGCAATATCTAAAACTGTCTGACTGTCCAAAGTGAGGTGAGACGGCACAAGTAAGATAATCTTCGGCGTTACTCCAACTTTGATATTGCTAGGGCTACTATGTATTGGATGTTGGATATTATACTCGGAATGCCCAGGGACTTTACACTTTCAGGGCGTTGACGTTACAATAGGCCGACTACTACGTAAGTACATACATTGCCATCACTACCTAGGCACTATATCGTACAGTGTCATATTTAGACGCGGGATCTCACAAACCTTATCGTACTCGTAAAATGAAGCGTCGGACCGCGGTCTCGCTAGACCCAACTTGCTGTACTTCTATATTGCTTGGCTGCGCTTCTAACACGCGAGCAGGGGCCAATTGAAAATCACCTTCATGGCGCTTTTGTTCCTGTAACTTGAAACTTAGGAACTTCGCAGTTTGGTCAGTTATCACAAAGAAGACGAGTCGGTTTCGGGCTACCATGACACAACATTAGCCACATACTATTCAACAACCAGGTACCTGGACGCATGGTTGAGACTGTGTATGTACCTATTCTTCGGAATAAAGTGTTGTGGCTTGGTCTGGAATCTCCGATTTAGCATAAAGCTGTTGAAGCCACGAAAAGGTGACAAAGCTAGGTACCTACGTAGAAAGCTTTAAATCTCAACGGGCACGTTAGTGGGGTTTCCCCTTTTTTCTCTTTGAGAGTGCGGGGACTATTCCGATGAATGAACCGTTCGCGATGTGGTTTTACCCCTGATCCTTACCAGGATCGCCCCCTAAGACGTCGGTTATCTTCCCATGTCAGACTCGCCGTCAGATGACTAAAATAGTCTAGGTAAGTATCGCTTCTCTTTGCTTTTTTTATGCAACTATCTCCGTCCCATCTATAATCAACTCGATCGACCTATTACAATGCTTGCGTATCGAGAGACGGTTAGTATAGTTGGACTCCATCCTGAGCGGGCTCTAAAGTGCCAATATTGAATCCTCATTTGTCGCGGCCTTGTGGGCTTCTAGAACAATAGTAGAAAACTGCAGTAGTGGGTTTTCTAGCCAAGCCGCTGCACTGCGTACATCCGCGGCCGACCCTATCCATTGAGGACACCTTCTGGCTTGGAATCTTGCTGCACCACTACTGCATACACATACAGATGGTAATGTCAAGTGATCCACCTGGCCTACCAACATGTACATGCAAAACACATGGGCATCAAACTAGTCGCAGAGAGCTGATTGACAAATTATCCAATAGAATGACGTCCCCCTGTACTGGCAAACTTGTCCGTTGTCAAATCAGGGTCAAAGCGTGCAGAGCACTAGTAGTTCACAGCTTCTGTAATAGGGTCAAAATGTTCCGTATACGCCTAGAGGGCGACGAAACCGCCGAGATGTTCGCGTTGTTATGGTGTTCCCTAATAGGGACATTGAATACTTTTGTTGACTTTTAGTACGCTGTGCGGTGGCCGCATCTTATGCGGCCATCACTAGGTATTCGGTATGTATCCATAGATGGTATATAGCACAGTAGGTAGGTATGGATGTACCTGCTGTAGTGGATGCTCATTGCAACTAGCGGTGGACGGGTACCCCTTTATTCTTGAATTGTTGGCTACCTATTCTTCTTGAGCGTATTTCGCCGTTCAACATCGAGGCACTCGCTCTCCGCCTTGGTTCTCGTATAGGTATCGAGCAAGCTTGTCATTCACGTGCATTTCTGGACGACTCTTTGACTTCGGCCAAGAAAGTGGTTGATTGGTAAGATAGTGGAGTTTCTTGAGATGGGTATGCTTCCATAGGAGGTTTTTTTTCCTTAGAAAAGCAATTAGTATGGGCTGGTGGCGTCTGGATTCGCAAGTGATTCTCCATAGACCTCCGGGCTATACGTTTAGTCTCTCATGACTCCAGTAGACTAGCTGCTATTATCTGGTTACTGGCGGCCTTTTCATAAGTGTGACCAGCTTGTCGGATACAGCATTAAACTCATTCGCTAGGCAGACTTGGGACGAAACACACCACTTTCTGCGGAGTATACCCCTGTGCCTGGATCCTTCATCTCTAGCTGAAACCACTTATTCCCATGATCGAAGTTCGGATACGTGACAATGATTGGATTTGGGGGCCATTGTCGTTACTAAGACATACAGGATCGGATGTCTATACAACGTTGGTATAACTGCCTAAGTAATATGCCGAATAGTATTATTTTGTCTCGCTTGAATAAAGAGAGGGATGTGAATAATTAAAGGCATAGGAAATTATGGCAAATTATGATCTTTCGTAGCATTGTCGCATAACATTCATATCCACTAGCTCCGGAAATAATTCCTCGATTCTTTGCCTGAACTCCCCTCTGAAATACGCTACTCCCTAAGCATCACATGGCAATTAGTACAATTAGTGTTAGGTATAGGACTTAAGACTCAATTGAGTTAGACTTATTCACTTCACCATATCTCGTGGTCTGGTATACTGAAGTACTTACACTAGTAGTACGTAGTATCACTTTACAGTTTATGTCTGTCTCACCTACATTTATGCCTCTATTATAAATTGCCCTTGATGACCCAACAGACAAAAAAGATGGCAATTACGAATTACGTAGCCATCTAGATTTGTATGGTAATTTGCAGATCTTGGAAGGTGCAAAGTACCTGGAAAAGCCCCCAGGCGACCCTGACAACCTTGACAATGTTGAACCCAGAGTTTCCCGTACTCCCCTGCCGCATTTTCGTGCTACATCTGGGCATGTACAATACCTAGGTACCACGGCGGTGCGGTACCTGTAGGCACCTGGTACCATAGTATTTATTACACTACATGGACCTCACTAGACTCTACAAGGAATGCACACTCAAATGACTTGCATTAAAAATAATTATTAATTTCTTAGGGGGTCCTCGGTCCTCTACTAAACTGTTGCAACACAGTCTACAGTCTACAAGCCTCGTCTCGTCAGCAATGCTACACTTTACATACTACTTGCTACTCACCCATTAATCCATTCACTCACCTTTCTTCTAATTCTTTAACTTGCCACCCCTTCCATCCGGTTGGCTCTACCATATCCTGCAATCAATTTTGCGACGGGCCAATTGAGTGTGCGATTTCGGTAAAAAGCCTTGAGAAGCGTCGTCGGGAAGACCCGAGTCTTCCTCTTCTTTTGTTCTATTTCTTGTTAATGGGTTTGGCTGTTTGACTTCTCCGGTTCTCCTACTAAATACAAAACGTGCGAGAAAGACAGCGTCTTTCCCTTTCTCAGCCATCCGCTTTCTTGCAATATGCTGCCTTAATCCTTAATGTACCAAGTCGATTTTGTACCCGACCTGTCGCTTGCTGTGCGCGATCGTACAGACCAAGCCGCGGCAGAACCCCGACGTATCGCGCAACCTGCGCCGTAACGACGACAAACGGCGCAATCCAGTATGGAGGGTACTCTACTCGTTCCCCCAGATAGGGGTACTATAATTGGTAGAGCCGTATGGAAGGTAATCATAGCCCATCCTCGCTGCGATGCGAATCTAGGCTTTGTATATATGATATACTAAACTCACATTTAGCCCCGATATCTCGTCATCGGCCCGCAAAGGGATGCTTTCCCGTCAAATACCGGCTTCTCTCAGGTTGCTGCTCGTATCAAGGACGCTGGGAGCCGAGCATCGAAGGCGCAGCCGCAACTGAGGCCACAATCGGATGCGATCTATTTGTCGATATATAAATCTCGGGTAAGAGGACCTCGCGTGGTATCCCCCTCAGCCTAACGTAGAAAATCCTAACGTACTCTAGGATGACTGGGAGCCGGTTCAACAGCACTCAATAGCGTCTATTACGGAATCACAGGTTCAGATGATCGCCCATCGCAAACAGGGACCAGTACTGCCAACCCTCGCTATTCAGATATCGCCGGATCCAGCCACTGACAAGTTGCGAAAACGCCGTTCGAGCCGAACTGCAGGACTGACTACTACTAAGGATTCGGGTCCGACGACATTGTGGTTCCGTCTCGGCGATGATCGCACTTATACGCTAGAGGATTGGTCCCGTTACATACAATCGATAATACAGCCCGAGGTTCCTGGCCGACATCCGATAAGTCCAATTAGCCCGACGTCGCCAACCTTCATTAATCCATTCGCTCCTGCAGTTCGGGATTATGCCGCCACGTCGAGCGGCAGCTCTTCCAAGACACGCAGGAGGATGACCACCAAATCGTCTAGTCATACGTATGGATCTAGTCGAGAAGCTAACGTTCCTTATACTTCCGCGGGGTCAGCTAGCATACGTTCCGGCCGTAGTGATATTTCGTCTTCCCACGCTAGTTCGATGGCTCCTGTTGCCACGGCATACGCAGCGCAGCATTATACAACGGTCCACCCTTCCGACCTCCCGTCACCTGCCACAACAGTTGGGGAATATCATGATCAATTCATCGAGGGATGGACATCTGCGCAGGGACGGTCGTCTACCTTGAGTTCCCCCATCAGAGCCAGAGAAAGCATTGGCTCTTCGCCTGGCCAATTCCAGCCCAGTATCTATTCCGGCTCGCCCCCGGCACCTCGAGAGACCATTCTGGACAGAGCATTTCAGCTGCGGTGTATTCCTGGTTCGGACCGTGAAGTTCCAGGAGAGGAAAAGCTCAGCTCCATTGCCCGGTTTGAAGCACTGATGCGTCAGGCGGAGGAACGCCAGAGAGCCTTCGAGAAAGAAAAGTCAACGGTAACGGGGAAACAACCACTGAAGAGTACCTGGGAAGAAGACGAAAGCGACGAAGAGAATGGTGCTGGTGAGGAAGATGACGATAGTGACGAGGATGCATTTGAACAGGATCTAGACAATGATGAGATCGGACCGTCTGCGCAGAAGGCACTTCAGTTCATTGCTAATCGTCATAGCGGGAGGTCGCAGTGGTCGCAATCGAGTAGTAGGACCGTATCCAATAATCAAGACTCGGGACCGGCCATCCTCCGACCGCATACCGCGCATTCAAGGCTAAGACCTACGGCCCAGCGAACAAGTAGTCAACCGCAGATCCCTGCGGCGGCGCTTGAGATGTCAGCTATCCCTAGTAGGGTACAGGAAGAAGGTGTGACCCGACGAAACCACGAGAAACGTCACTCGACATCTGATGTAAAACGTCTTAGCTTTAACGAGTTCACGAAGCGATTGAGTGGCACCAGTAGCCTGTTACTCGTACAGACCAATGCCAGCGCCAACAGCAGCCGAGGAAGTAGCGACATCGACGGAGCTCAACAGACGACGCCACCAAGGGCCGGCGCACTGAGTCCGAGAGGTGGAGCGTTATCACCGACCGACCGAGACGAACGCTGTCGGTGGCGGGGCAGCGTTGGCGTGTTCGGCGCCAACGAAGGCGGATTCTTATAAGACGGGCATTGCGTTATTGCGCTTTCGATTCTTAGGCCATCGATGTGATTACCGGTACTTCGGCCGGGGAGTTTGACCTCCCTCTGTATTTTGATACCACCATGTTTTGCTTGTTACGACCCGTCACGACCATCGCGCACGTGTCGAATTCACGGCGCCACGATTCCCGACTTATGGGACACGATATAATCCCATGCATATTGAAGAAGTGTTCAGTTGAATTTATGGATTGGAATACAGTACGACGAAATTTTTCATGGAGAGAATTGTTGAATGAGGAATCTGTCACGACGTCTGAGCTGCGAGACTCATAATCTTCTGTCTGATATCCATCTTATTTTAGAAATTTTTTTGTTTGTTTCGAAATACTAGTGATACCCTTGGGCATCATCAAAAGAATATAGCATCCGCCATTTATATATGTGCGAATTTCATGGTACCGTCTCCCGGTTTTGTGTTCTTTTTTTTTCTCCCTCTTGTGTTGCGGTGTGACGTTTCCCTCAGCCGGCACCTCATTTGTCTATTGACCCGGAATATTGGAGGCTGCATATGCAACGAGTCGCCCAACTCGATTGCGGTGTATCGGGTAGGTGTTTTAGCGTTCTCGTCGTACCGTAGCCCCTCCTCCAAGATGCATCTCGTACCAAGTTTCTTTAGCCTGATCGGCGTGCGAAGTCAGGAACCATACCTTGGTGAGTTGGACGAGAGTTCTTGATTGGGGATTTTATGACTACTAGACCGCTACTATTTCTCTTTTGGGCTATTCAAAGGTGAGCTCGTGACTCCGATGTTACTGACAGACTTAACTAGGTGCAGGATTCAGGATTCATGGTATTTCGTGATGGCGACGAAACTATCTGCAAGAGCGGTGTCGCTCCGCACTGCTTCGATCTGACCTGGCTATCGGCGCAAGTGAGGGGAGAATCTGGCGCTCGCATGACGGGAAGACGCTGGTCGCGAACGGAGGCTTGAATATTGATGCGCCACGCGGTGTGTCGGCCCCTCTATAGCCGGGGATGCTTCAGTGATGTCGGCGGCGCATTCGGCCCCCTAGAGGAAATTGAGCGGGATGAGGATGACGATGCCGTTAACGAAGGAAACATCATATTCATTACTTGAGACAGGCTTGACAATTGGTAACTTGCTCCCACGTCGTAATGGATATGCCGATTCTACGTACGGCAGTATTCAAGCCTTGACTATCAGCAGCTATTAACACATACTACTTGACGTACTTCCTTTCCAAATCTGTGATTCGGCTATAGCTCTAGTTAGTGAGTACTTTGGGGGATGTCTTTCGTTATACTGATTACAATACCTTTGGTACTCATGATGACTATATCGAATTATTAGCTTTGAAGCTGAATGTTGGGTCACTCAGGTTAAGCATACCTAGTAGCCATATTATCACTTAACCTCTCTAAAGTCGATGGTAATAGAGACTTATCGAAGTACGCAAACTTACAAATAGGTACATAGTATCAAAATTATGCCCGATATCAGACTTCCATGCTGTTCTGTAAGCCGGAGTTTAAAAAGTGTAACTGCGATTCAATTGTCCTAACTTGGAATATTACGGGGAGCACCTAAGGCTACTACTACCTAAGAGTATTAGGTTCCTTATGACTTCGTAGTTTCCCTTAATCACAGTATCTACCTAGATACGTATCATATCATCCATGCTCGTAGCTTAAGGTTCACCTTAGTACAGCAGTACAGGACGAGTTATATCTCTCGAAAACGGCACAGGATAGCGCCGAAGGAGGATTGCGGGGACGGGTCTCAGAGTCTTATCCATTTTACCCAATTGAGAAATAGTGATCCAGTACCATGGCCTGTGCACAGGGCAATTAAGTGGATAACCATGTGGGAAAGGGGACTTGACCTATTGGCTAACCGTTTATAGTAATGATATCAGGGGTTCACAACTCGAACGAAGCTGCCCTATCGCGGATAGGTACCACCATGACAAGTCAGCCCTTCGCCTTCGCCCTCGCCTCAGCCCAACTTGGCGTCGTCGTTACTTCCTACGGTCTGTTCAAGCCTCATCCAAATATCCGCAATATGGGATCCGAAAGTTCTACGATACAAGACCTAAACCTTTCACATTCTAACATCCTTCATCTCTTTTTTGACAATGACATTTTGCTTACAGCACCTATGAGTGGCTATCCCTGTTCTAAACAGGTAACATTCTTTATGATAGCTTCCAACGATACGAGTTTATAACAATTCAAGTGGAATAACATTCGTTTCTCAACTCGGACGACGTATATCTCGCGGGCCTTTACCTATCCGGGCATCCGAAATGCCACCCGTTGTAGTAAACATGAACGTACACGGTTATTATTACGCAACGTAAGCTCCCTTTTTTTTTTTTTTTTTTTTTTCTTGTGACTGTCTAGATATCAGGTACTTAATCAAGATCTCTAACCAGTGGCAAACTACAGGTTTTGGGTTGTCTTTTCAAATGCCACCATCCTTTTCAACAAGTGGCTAATTGATGATTCTGGCTTCCGTGAGTTTTCCCCTGAGCACTTAGAGCCTCCATAGGCTTTGACTAATCTATATATTCTCTAGATTATCGCAAGTTATCTTCTTGGCTTAATACACTTGGTTAATTCTAATCATGACGAGTAGCCATATTGTTAACATGTTGGCACATGATCATCGCTACACTTTTTACTCAGGTGCTCGCCTGGAAGACACATTTTCTCGATGGCCGCCATAAAAACAAGATGACGGTGCCGCTATTCATGAAAACCATTGTTCCTATTGGTCTCCTGTATAGCGGAAGCATGATATTTAGTAATTTGGTCTATCTCCACTTAAGTGTAGCGTTCATACAGATGTTAAAGGTCAGTATAAATCAACAGCACCTCAAGGATACGTTATATGATCTGTTTAGTACCTAGGTAGCTTACAAGACAAATAGGCTACGGGACCGATAGTTACTCTCATAGTTGGCTATGTATGGGGCGTCGAACACCCAAGCTGGTCGAAACTCGGTTATATCACGCTCATCGTCTTCGGTGTCGCTATGGCCAGCGCCGGCGAGATCCAGTTTTCTTGGCTCGGCTCCATCTTCCAGATTCTCGGTATTCTATTTGAATCACTCCGCGTCATCATGATACAGTTTCTCTTATCAAGCAAGGGCCTAGACATGCCTCCTCTTGTCCTCCTTTATTACTATGCTCCGGTTTGCGCTATTGCAAACTTTCTCGTATCTCTTACTTCCGAATGGAGCACATTTGCGTGGACGCACGTCGTTGAAGTTGGACCTTGGATCTTGATATCAAATGCGATCTTGGCGCTCTTATTGAATATCTTTAGCATTCTCTTAGTAGGTTTACCAATATCCATTCCTTGTTACGTTGGCCCGTTAATGGGGTATTAATAGATTATAGATTAGATCGATGTCCGCTCTGGTTTATGTACTTTTGGGCGTTTTCAAGAACATCCTTCTTGTAGTCAGCGCCGTGGAAATCTGGAACACCCCCATAACTCCTATCCAAGTCGTCGGCTACAGTTTGGCTCTATCTGGCTTGGGTCTCTATCAATCAAATTGGGAACTAAAATGGGAGGGTACGTGTCGTTCTTGGAGAAATATCATCCCAAGGATGACAATTCAATCGCTCTTCAGAGGCAAGAAACTGCGATTGCTCATAGCGGCTGCGATCATAACTGCGCTGCTGGTTATCGCATTTGTGAAGAGAGGGCAAAGGAACTGGAAAGATCCGTCGATTGATAAGACGAAAGAGGGAGCTGGCCATATATCTAATGACTGGCTCTCATGGGTACACTTGAAAGACAATATATGGAGGATCGGTAACGATTGAGTTCAGAAACTAACAGCGTGGGTTCTATAAAAAGTTGAGGTTCTATGCAGCGCTTATATAGCGCTCTGAACAACGTCACATTATCAATAATCAATTCATTTGAGAAGTCACAAAGCCATTCCAAAATTCAGGGGTAGGATGACCACTTTGACATCTCACTAATTGCTATCCAACCATCACAACTTCGCCCTCACCCGGCCCCTGCTCTCCTCTGCCCTCCTCCTCTTACGCTTGAAGCCCTCGATCTTGTGGGTAACCATACCCGTCCAGACTTCCAACCACTTTTCGTCGAAAGCAGGCAGCACGCGCCCTGTGGTACCCGGTGCCGGCTCCCCGGCGATGCCCCTCAAAAATTCGAAGTAAACCCCATAGTCGGGCGCAATCGAGTAGTAGTCCTTGCCACCACCTCGCTCGGCCACGCGCTTCCGCTCCCACTCTAGTTGCTCGGGGATAGGGGGAAGCGGGTTCGCGCGTCCGGCGAGGTGCCGCGCGACTGCGACGGCTTGCCATTCGTATACACGGAAGGTGAAGCCGCCGCCGAGCTATTGATGCATTAGCGAGGGAGATATACGAATGGGTACGAGAGGGGATAGGTGAGCAGCATTTACCATTCCGACAAAAGTTAACGTCGGATCTTCTATATCCCATGTGTGTTGATACACGCCGGGGAGACGACGGTAGGCATTCCTGATCCGCTCTTGGACGTGTGGGATATACGGGACGCTAAAGGTGTAACCAGTTCCGAAGACGATGTAATCCACATCGTCGAGGGTTGAGCCGTCAACAAAATCGATACGTCCAGTCTCTGGGTCTAGGCGCTTTATTTCTTTTTTGACGATTATATCTGGATGCAAGAATGGCTCCCATCCGAAAGCTGGGATGGGCTCCCCTCTCACGGATGCGTAGATGGGGGTCTGGGCGATGTCTAGAATTTCGTGGATGACCTCATGCGCAGATATGGAGCCCCCTACCACGACCACCCGCTACGACGACTGTCAGCAAACACGAGATCATCTTAGAAAAGGGATTATGGCAAGAATTCATTCACCTTTCCCTTAAATTTCGATGAGTTGCGGAAGTGTTTGCTATGCTGTATCCTCCCGGGGAATCGCTTATCGTATTCCAGGAGACCCGGTATACTCGGAAACCAGGGTACATTGTAGTGACCCGTAGCCACAACTACAGCATCGAACGTCTCCCTCCACCAATAATTCCTCCCCAGCGCCTCTTTCCTCAGCGTCAGCACCCACTCCCCATTAACCTTCTCAGCCCGCTCCACCGTCGTGTTCAGCTCGACCAGCTTCTCGTACCCGCCACGCGAAAAGATACCCTCGATCCACTCGCGGATGACGGCATGATGCCGGAACGGCGCGTCGGGCCCGTGCTCCGCCAGCGTGCGCGGGGACAGCTTATCAGGGAAGGGCTCCTGCGTGTAGCTCATGATAGAGGGTATGATGTTGCTGTGCAAGTTCTCGTGCAGCGCCGTGTCCGCGAACCGGCGCTGGTGCCCGTTGACCTCCTCGGACACGGGCGTGGTCGCGGGCAGTATCGCGGGCGGCTCGATCGCGACGTCCGCCTTTCCGGATACCAGGTCCGGCAGAGACGGGATCGCGGGAGGCAGGTGCGGAGTGTAGATCCAGGTCCCGCCGATCCCGGGCCGCCGGTCGAACACCCGGATCGTGTCGAATGCTTGCTCCTTGGCTAGTGCGTCGGTGGCTATGGCGCCCGCGGGCCCGGCGCCGATTACGGCTACGCGACGCGCTTTGGCTGTCATGGTAGGTTTGGTCTGTCTAGGAAGAAGTGGTATGAGGTGACCGTATCAAGGAGTAAACTTTCTTCTTAACGACCCTCCTTGACTAAGAACTTACCCGTGCGGCTAGGCAAAAGCTTTTAGAGGAAGCAAGTTGAGATATGGCAGCCCTCGGCTTTTATGTGATTACTGATCGCAGTGTTTCCCATGAGGAAGAGACCTCGGAGCTCGCTCACCGATAAGGGACCTGCATTGCGTGACACTTGCCGCGATCACGCCAATGAGATAGCTGTGTTGAATGGCACCTACAGTAGGGATTATGAACACCGTGGGAGAGAGGTTGCTGCTACCTTCTCCTCTCTTTGCCCTCTATGGGGCTTGTAAGTGGACTCGTTATATACCATATTTCGAACTCGGGATGAAACGTCGGCAGCTCGCCCACTATGGATCCCGTAATAGCTTTCAAGACTCAGTCACCGCAAGATGGTATTAACATTTCATCAGTAACGGGCGACCTGGCAAAGTCCACAGCTTAGAAGCTACCTGCTAAGCATGCCGCATTGCGGCGATGACGCCATTTTATACCATCCGCACGTAACGGATGTGTATGTATGGTCGCACATTCAACCCCTCCTAACTTCGGTAGGCCTTCCGATATGCACTGCAGCAGTAGGGAGGCATTAAGGCGGATATCATCCATACTATTTGGTCAAGCCATGGATGTCCGCCGTCTCATTGCTTGCTACGCCAACCACTTGCAGGAACCGATTCAAAATGCGGTACTGATTTACGCATAAGTTGATTCTTAACTTACCTGCCTACATAAGAAAGGATTATATAAATCAAACACCAGTATGCCGTCCGCCCTCGTGACCGACCGACCATTGCCGGTTTACTTTATCGGCCACGCCGGAGTGGGTCTCCTGTTCAGCGAGTCGCCTCAGAACCGGATCGTCCAAGACAACCTTCGGGTTATTGGAGAGGAGATCCGTAGGATTTCACCCCGGCCAAAGGCCATCCTCACCTTTAGTGGGCACTTTGAGGCAGGAGAGATCCACGGGCCGGAGGTGATAGAGGGTAAGATACTTCTTAACCAACCTTCGAGTCTGCCTTGTCGGGCAGCACCATAAGATTATGCATGGCTAAATTTATTGGTACATTGTCACAATAGTCAATATGAAGAAAGGGACTTATATTATGGTCAGTGGGGCTCAGTTAATATGTATCGATTTGACGGGCCGGCCATACATAATGAACCCGGTTAGATCGTTCTTTGACCTTCAACATAGCATGACTTCGTCAACGACTTCCACGATTCGGCACCTTTTGTCTACGAGTATGACTGGCCGCACGAGGACGCACCGGAACTAGCGTCCGAGGTCTGGCGACACCTGAACAAATCCGGCATCAAAGCCAAGCGGGTCGAGCGCGGCGTCGATCACGGTATCTGGGTCCCCTTCAAAGTCATGTTCCCGCCCGAAGATCCGCTCGACATCCCCGTTGTCCAGGTCTCCACGTTCCACGGCTACGACCTGGAAAGCCAGATCCACCTCGGCGAGGCCGTCGCATCGCTCCGGTAATTCCCCCCTATCACTTCCCCCTTCCCTCCCCTCCCCCCCTTTTTTTTGACAATTCCCCCTACCAAAGCACTAACCCAACCCCTCATTCCAAACCCACAGGAACAAAGGCTTCCTAATCCTCGCATCCGGCATGGCCGTCCACTCCTTCCCCTCCCTAGCCTCAATCCGCGCCGCGCCGTCGGACGCCAGCCGCGCAGCCCGGCGCGAAAAGGTCCTCGCGGAGTCGCGCGCCTTCGACACGGCGGTCCGGGCCGTGGTATCGAAAACGCGTGCTTCGGAGCGGAGGAAAGCGCTTCTAGAACTAGAACAGTTGCCCGAGTACCGCCGCTGCCATCCTACCGTCGAGCACTTTACCCCGTTGCTGGTGGCGGCGGGGGCGGCCGGGGACGCGGTGGGAGAGGCGGTGGGGGTGGATGTGGTGGAGCCTGGGATGTCGTATTTGAATGTTAAGTTTAGTTAGGCTGAGATAGGGATAAGCATAGGGCTGGTCTGGAGTATTGGATGTGGTCGTTGTGTCTCGTATTAGTCTGGGGATTTAGGGGGTCGTATTAGGAACCTCTCAATAATTGCCTCGCTCTTATTGGGCTAGTAGCTCCTTTGACCTAGATCATTAAGTCTAAACTTAAGGGGTTTGAATACTTATCTGTGAAGAGGTGTCATGCTGTGCTGAAATTCGTCACGACCAAGCTTTCGACATATCTCGGTTCCATCTACAATTCTTCTTGTTTTGTACATGTATATATGATACACTATATTGGATAATACATCTACCGACGTCGGTTTGAGATGCCATGGATTCTCTTGCTGTATTTCCATAAGCTCTTGTACTTGGGCTTCTGCCTCTTCGCTTCCCAACCTCTGGCCTTCTTTTCCGGCTTCATTGAGTAAACTCTCTTGTTCTTGAACTCGACGTCGGCGCCCGGCATGCCGGCTCTCTCCATGACTCCGGCTGTGCCTTCATCCCAAATGGTACGGAAGATATTGAAGCCGACAGGGGTCAGACTGAACTTATCCCGGTAGCTCTTAAGACTGAATCCGTCTCGAGCGGAGTAAAGCTCGCGTAGTTTGTTGATATCCAAAGTCTCGCCAGCCTTCTGCTCTAGAATAAAGACAGACAGGCGATGGTACGGAGCTCCCTTCTGAGAGAAGGCTGGGAGCCAGGGCACAGCTAATTGAGTCTCCTTATTAGCCTTACCAAGGGGTAAAGATTGCTCATTAGGAGAGATGGGTATGTTTGCCGAAAGGTAATGGCACCGCCTGTCGAAGGAATCTGTCTCTACATTGGGAACATCCGAGTCCATAACTACGACCGAAACGAGACGCTCGCCAGGATTAAAGACTTGGACCTTCAAGCGTGGCGGCACTTCCGTGATCCGTGAGTCCAAAATCTCACCAGGGGTAACCTTGATTCGCCGGAACCACATCTGGACGTCAACGATAGGTTCAAATTTAGGTAGTACATCAGGAACGATGTTAAGCTGCTTAATACGTTGGGTGATGATTCGATATGGCAGGCCACGCCATTTGCGTTCAGCATAATAACGGTAAATCGGCTTGTCAAAATCGCCTGTGTAACTATTAGCATGTTATTGAATACGATGAGGATAGAGCATGGGCTAAATAAGAGCAAGGAGCAAAAATGACAAAAAAGAAAACATACAACACCAGGGATTCGCTGGTCGTCACCGACCCAACTACTAATCTGGCAATGACTGGCTTATCTATGGGAGAGCGGACGGGATCCCGAGTATTCCAGGCCCTATGGTCGTATGTGAAAGAGATGCCACTTATTTTAGATTATAAACCCGGCCTGCGTCCAAGCCCACTTTGACTCAACGCACAACTAATTCTTCGCAGCGCAGTAGTAGAAAATAACCAGGAAAATGGCAATAATATGACTTCGCAAATGTGAAAAGAAATAGCACATACCAAGACCGTCTTCGAATTTCCGCTTCACGACAGGATCATTAATATCGGCCAAGATCTTGAGCTTCTCCAAGTGTTTCCTCAAGCTTGTTAATCGTACATTCTTCATGTACTCGCCGCCAGGGACCTTGTCGGCGGGTGTCTCCTCCAGCTTCTTAATCTTGGCTGCCTCTTTCGCAAGGGCTAGGATCTTTTCCTGACGATCTTGCTGTAAGATCTTCCGCGCCTCTTGGAAGCATTGATAAGGTAGCTGATCAAAAGGCACATTCTCCGAAGTACGGATGGCCGCTCGTCTACGTCGCGATCCGACAGGCGGCGTACCCATTCGTACTAACTTCCGCTCGGCCCAGTGCGCCGTTGTGGTGTCTCGGTCCATCAATCGGTCCTGCATGCGAATCCTCTCAGCTTCTTCTTCCTTAGCCTTTGCACTGGCCATTCCGGCCGCCTCAAGCTGGTCCAGCGACGTCGTCGACGACGCTGGCGGGGGTGGTGGTGGAACAGCATCATCTTGCCGCGGCGCACTCCTCGAGAATGATCGCGAGAAATGCGATGTGGTCTGGAGAAAGAGCCGCTCTTGTCGAAGGGACTGCACGAGGGGTCTCGTGACCCTCTGACAGCTCGACATGGCGGGGTGTGTGTCGAGGCGATATAGTGGTTGATTATTGAATTAGAGAAACGAAAATCCGGAACTTTTTTGAAGCTCCATTTGTGCCCCACTAGAAACATGGAATTCGCAATATTTGATTGGCCGATGGATCCTGCCCTACCTATCGATATGATGTACCTACGTATCATCACCCGCATCTTCGATAATTTTTCTGGGGTTCAATTGACTTCACCAACAACTTAACACCAGCGCCGGCAAGCACACCTACAATTCGAATTTGTCTAAGTACGGTCATTGGGTGTCGTCGAAATGGCGAGTAAAGGCATGAGAGGCCTCAACGAGGCTTTAAGGAGCTTAAGCATATCTTCACAGACATGCCGGGAAGCCGTCTCAGTATGCCACCCCTCCAACGAGTAGCCACGACTATAGTCTAACGAACACAGCATCGAATACCATCATCGACATTCACAAGAACAATGGCGACCGAGGTCCCTCTACCTAAGATCACCGCCACGGTAGACCCAGACTCCAGCTATAAGCCAGTAACCACCGTGCCCCTCACCATCTTCAACTTCCCCTCCTTCGAGCCCGCGCGCCTCGAGTCCTGGTCCGCGAAGCACCTGCACGTGCCGCTACGGCGCGACATCCTACATCTAGCCGTAGTCTACGAGGGCGACAACGCGCGGCAGGGTACCGCATCAAGCAAAAACCGGTGGGAGGTAGCGGGCTCGCACCGGAAGATAGGACCGCAGAAAGGCACGGGCAGGGCGCGGCGCGGGTCGCGGCAGTCGCCTCTGATGAAGGGCGGCGGGAAAACGTTCGGGCCGAAGCCGCGCGACTTCGGGACGCGGATCACGCGCAAGGTGTACGACCTGGCGTGGCGAACGGCGCTGAGCTACCGGTACCGGCGCGGCGAGCTCGTCGTGTGCGCCGACGGCGTCGAGCTGCCCTTCCCGGACGAGTACGCGGCGCTCGTCGAGGCCAACGCGCTCGACGACGAGCTCGGCCGCGACTTCCGCGTCAAGTGGGTGCGCCAGGTGCTCGACGCCAACGACTGGGGCCGCCGCGCCGGCAGGAGCACCTTCATCACCACCACCGAGCGCGAGAACTTGTTCCAGGCCATGGCCGAGGTGCCGAATTGGGGCCGCGCGCTCGACGTCACGGATGTGGATGTCAAGGACCTGCTAGAGACGGGGCGGCTGGTCGTAGAGAGGGAGGCGCTGAAGGAGATGATTGAGTCGCATCAGAGCGATCTCGTCACGAAGGTTTTCGTGGGGACTGCGGCACCGAGGACGCCGGAGAGTGGTATGGTGTTGGTAGAATAGACATGAATATCTATTCTCGGACATTTAAGAACACTACTGCGCCTGTGTATCTGGCTGTACATTATACGAAGGCTTTGCAGGGCGTCTGTAACTACCTACCTACATAACCAAGGTAAACTTAGTGAACAAACATGAACCGTACGCTAAGAAATTTACAACCAACGGACAGGTTCTATCGAACTGATGAAGTAATATAGCTCCAGAACTACATATGTTCTGACTATTGATGCATGTACTATTAGTTATCCATGGGAATTGAAACCGACGAGATCGCTGATCTTATATCAGGTTTAGCATTAGTTCAAGTAAAGGGGTATTTGCTCCAGTTCAAATGTTCGACCCGTATTGAAGCCAACTCGGCCGCAGCGATGACAATCTTCCGGGTTACCCCAACTAACACGGCCGTAATCCGAAGACTACAGGTAGAATACGACACGCTTCCTACGAATTGGACATCATCACGTCATATTAGGAGATATCGATACTCTTGATAAATTTAATTCAAAGTCGAAATCAATGTATTCTGCTCGGCATCCATGTTATTTCTCCCATGTTGGAGTTACCTAGCTCAACGCCGTTTCGTAACAAAGCCAATACGTATTAGTGCTAAGATACGAGCAGCCGGCCCTATCCGGCACTCGCGGCGACGAGGGCGTTCCGAATCGATCGTAGTCTCATTCCGTCGTTATTTTTCCCCATCCGACTCGATTGATATCGACACGACACATTACTAGAAGAGCCCATCCTTACCCCATTTAATTAACCTTGAGCCTGAATGCCTTCCGCACTTCCGAGTGTAATGAGATTGGGTCTTAGATAAACATCCCTCATTACGCAACCCGAGTTCCCACGGAAATTCGCATATAAGCGCCCTGTTTCGTAAATAACTCCTACCATATGAACACTCACTTAGAGATGGCCCAGAAAATCATTCATGCTGAAAATGCATAACAGTCCTTCTACTAGATCACCGTTCGATGTTGCTGTTTGACACGCACTGGCGCACGTGCCAATCGAGGGTTCCAGACGCCAATGAGAATAAGTGGCGGACGTAAGAAGCTCACTGGGTATTCTGATACATGAGCACAGCGTATGTCGTACCACGGCACAAGCTTATTCTCTTTGAGCCGTGAATCGTTGTCAACATTCGGGGATTGCCGAGCTCTGGAACGCTTCGTTTCCCATCGATACGCCATCAAACCCGGCAATGTCTTCAGACATTGAATTAGGCAAATGACCTGTTGAATATGACTCTTCAGCTGGGATAGAAGCCATACCTTCTGGCATACTTGGCGTTAGGTCTGGACGGCATAAACCAGGTGAGTTCGGCATCATGGTCCCGGGAGGAAATGATATACTTCCTCTGTGTGATGAAGCCACTGGGCTAATAAGTTCCGAATCCGGAACGCCTGGGTATCCTGAAGCTGAAGAGAAGCTTTCTTGCCGATTAGTCAATCCAGGGGCGTGGCCCAAGTTGGCCAACATATGATCGTACCGTTCGCCTGCTCCCACCACAAATCTCTTTGCCTCATTCTCGATCCACTTATCGATATTGGGGTCGTTACAACCGGCATGCTCCATGAGTTGTGACTTTATCTGTGTAATTTCGTTCCTCAGGCTGCTGTATTCCATCTGAAGGTGGTTGTTTTGGCTTTCTAAACCAAATCTTGTCTCTTCTAGGTCCGATACCCATTCCTTTTTCTTTTGACGGCACTTGGTTGCCGCAACTCGATTCTTCTCTAAGAACCGGTTTCGTTTGGCCGCTTCGGTTCCTTGTTCCATATCTTTCTTGCTTCGGTGTTTCCTCTTTTTAGAAGGAGGGGATTCCGGGGCCAGAAAGCTATGCGCACCAGACCCGTTTTCAGGCGTTACAGTGTGTTGCGATGAGTGAGACTCCGGCGTGTCCGACGATCCGCTAGATAAGCCGGGGGATTCGGAGCTGGCCGGGTTGAACTGCTGTATTGTTGCCTGTGGCTTGGTACGGCGGTTTGAACATTTCCTCGAGGGCTGAACGTAAATTGAATCCATTGAGAAGTTGTTGAATCGATGAGTGTGGTCGGACAGTGGATGAATGGAGGAATGGTCTAGATTAGTATCAGGTGAAGCATTTTGGTAATAGCTGTTCGAATCCTTCATATAACGGCTATCAAATGACTGATTCCCGCCATTCCCGTCATCCTGGATGTCTCTACTAAAGAAGTTCGCCGGTTCATCCATACCTGCTGTGGAACTTTTGTACGGCCCTTGGCCTTTAGCGATATCGATCAAGGACTCAACAGACGAGCGAAATAAGTAAAGTGTCAGCAGCGTAGCAAGAGTTTAATGGATTTCTGTTGCCTTTGGATTACCAGCAACGGAGGTTATCAAGGACAGCCCGACCACTTGAGTGTGAAGGTTAAAGGTACAATCCCTAGCTTACGCGAGTCAAGGATAGCTTAAGCGCGCCGTTTTGTTGCCCCATCCAAAGCGTCACAAGCAACCTTAATCCCAAACTAACGTATCACGATAGGCAGACACTCGTGGATTGATAATTCAAAGTTTGCTGCGGAGAGAAAAGCTAAATACAGGCAAGCTCGGGAAGGAGACACTAGCGGACCGGGAAGGTACATATGTATTTGCCAATGCCTCCTTCAGGTTGAGTCGTGGGTCTTGGAAGCTGTTGCTTTCATGTGGTATGTAATAAGGAGGTGGTTCATTGGCTAACGAAATCCGCTCAAGCTTTTAAACTCAAACCCTTTCCTTTCGTAGCAATACGAACATGGGTAACACCACCGGTCGAATTTTCATCCCATTGTCAGATGGAATTTCCTTTCTCTGCCCTCCTTGCATCTTATATATATTTCTCTTCTTCAACCACATTAGATTGATGTGTATTCATTTTTTACGAGGATTCTTCGGTTGGAGTAGCTACCTTCGGAACCTATCATTCCTTGATCAAAAAAGCGCGAGTGAAAATTAGATCAGATCAGTATACTGTACTGTTTTGATTATAGTTCTTGGACCATTAGAAGTGGCTGGCTTATTAGTAAAAACATTTGAGCGATACTCGGCACGCATAGCCGTACCAAGCAGCCGTGATTCGAAGTTAAAATCGGACGAAGAGGCAGGGACGACTCCCAGGCATCTTTTGTGTTAGGCTTTCTTCCGGCATTGACAGAAGTCTAAATAACCGGATACTAGGATATCACAAATCACAACTTCTTGATATAAGTGGAATTCATCGTATTTGCTATTCCCGGGAATCTAGAAGGGCGTCAATCTTCCCAACAGCGACGAGGCCACACTTTCTTTTGGCAACTAAGCTTGGATACTAGTTACTGTGTAGATATTGAAGAGACTGGAAATATAATAAAATGTACAATACTATTATCTTAGCTAATGTGCCGCATCAGTCTAGATATACCACGAGCCTGGAATCGAGGTTAGGAACATGGACCGGATACCATTGATACCGATCAGTAAATACGAGCATAGGGCTACCACGTTCACCGAGAGGCTGGGTACATATAAAGCCGGGAGTATTCATCCGGAGCTCGTCTGCTCGGGCAAGGGTGATATCCAAGTGCGTAAATCTAGGTTTGCTGACTAGAAGGTCTGGCCGATACCCCAACGTTGATCGCTCCGTTAGAGTACATCAACGAGCAGTTACGGCGTGAAAAGGCCTATTCGAACGATGGAATCAATATACTATATTCCCTAAGATTCTGCGGAGCCGCTGCCGCACGAGAGATATATCTCTATCATCTATCATGGCGATGGCCAACGTCACGAGAAGGCACTAGGGAAGTGAGTTGATATTGTCATAGCTTCCTTTTCTAAGCCCTGAACCCTTCTTACCGCCACCCCTTGAAATCTGGACTCGACTGAACTGGTGTTGCCCTAACTTTCGTTTTTCCGCAGAAGAGCGAACATTGTGAAACATGACGGAATTATCTGGTGGCGCTGGGACGTTAGGTCCATTCTACCAGGCAATGGTAAGGATGCGGTCCTCCTTAGCTATTAGATATTAGCGGGATGCCCCGTAAAATCAAACCTTAGTTCGAATTAAGTATTCCCGTCCGCACTTTCGGCTCCGGCAGGTTGGCACTCTCTTCCACATATGACACCTGAGCTCTCGGTATGACATATGTAGCTAGTCGCACATCACAAGTTACATGTGTTGGCCTCCACACTTCAATGAAAAGATACAGATTCTAAGGATTTGAGGGAAGAAATTTCAGCCAGCCAATTAGTATCTCCCGGACAACGATAACCGCTTTCCGGAGTGTCTTATTAGCTGAGGAAACATCTAGGTTGCGCTCAGCCCAACCGGGCTTTCGAGTTAGACTACTGTCGTGTAACCGTATGACGACGGAGACGATGTCTCTAGTTAGAAGTCGATCCGATCCATCCTAGATCTACGTCTAGATTTGTACGGCCAATATTTAGCTGAGTGCATATTTACTAACCGTTTCTTAATGTAAAGGCCGAATGTTTTTCCAGTGGTTGTTTGAAAGAGGTGACTGCTCACATTGCGGTTGCGGCTCCTTGCTTCCTTCCTTACCGTTTTTAGGTCAATTAAACCTTGAAGCTCAGCTGGAAAGCCCCACCTTGAAAAATAGCCCCGTTTTAACGCGTCGCGCCTTCCACCATCTCTTCTCACTTAGTTCAACGGTCTTCACACAAACTCTATTCGTTACTCTAGTATCCCAATGATACTAAAAACGTTAAAAAAACTCCTCAACCTTTTCATGAATTTCGAGTCTTAGGATCAAACCTATCCAAATTTGTAGCGGTTCCATTTTCAGGTGTAAAAATGGAGTCTACCTCGACACCCCGCATTTCTGCCAGCCTAATGGATTCCTATGTTGGCCAGAACGTCATCATCGTGGGCAAGGTAGTCCAACTCCGCGGCGACACGGCCTTCCTTGAGGCTGATGGCCAAGTTCAAGCCAACCTCAATAGAGTGAGTGAATCATTGTCTTGGCTAGTAGTTTTGGCCGCTCAAACCCCCTGTTCCTGATAACCCGTAGAGCCTGAGCTAACGATTATATCATTGAGTAGGATTGTCACCTCATGGTTGGAAATGGAGCTCAGATTATTGGAAAGGTGAACCCAGACCTGTCCATCAAGGTGTTGAACGCTATAGATCTTGGCAATAATGTTGGTATGTATCCCGGTTTTTTTTCATCTCAACATGGGGGGTCTATTGTATCTCCCTTATACGAGACAACATTTTCTAATTTGGGCCATATCCCATTTGATACTCTAAGTTCGTTCATATCTAACCTGCCTTGTAGATTTCCAATTATGCCAAAACGTCGTTGATGTTACACATCAATTCAAGGAGATCTTCGTATACTCCGATCAGGGTGGGATGAACTGACGATTTGCACACGGACGCGTGTCTCTGGGATGGCCGGCTGGCTCGCAGCAGCATAAACAGCAGCAGCAATATTCATCTCATCAATCACAACCTCAGCCTCAATCTATAGCACAAACTCGACATCAACAAAAACAAAAAATAATAACTGTTGCTGAACCAACCCATGATGCTAATTTTGCTGTTTCTCCTATTTCTACTGCTTCCGTCGCGAGTTCTTCGTCGTCTCGAGTGATCACTCCGCCCACAAACCAGCTCTCGCAACTATCCATCCAAGAGAGGCCGCGGTCCTCTCAGTTCAATACCCAGCAATCTAATGTTTATAGTACCCAGCCAACCCAATTCACCACCCAACCGACTCAGTACAGTACGCAACCAACCCAGTACAACACTCAAGGCACCCAAGACGCTCGATATACGACATACACAGAATTCATAGAAGAAGCCACCACTAGCCACCAACGACGGCGGCGGAAGAGCAGCCCACCCCCTCGATTTCAACCAACCCTTGACCGACGACCCTCACCATCGCCAGCACCCTCTAACAAGCCCAGCCCCAATATCCAGCATCCCCCAACCCCACCTCCTCGCGTCTTAGCCGAACCCCCAACCTTGGCCTCACCAGAACCATCATCATACCTTCCCTCCCTACCCTTCTCCCTCCCCTTCTCCTTGCCGTGGACCTCGTCCCGCCCGCGCGGCCGCCTCTACCGCACCAAGTCCGGGAACCTGGTGAGCGCCGCCGAGATCCGCCGGCGCCGGGAGGCCGAGAAGCACGCGGACGAGCTGCTGGACATGATCCTCGAGGGCTTCGGCGACGAATCGGGCTCCCGTGTCGTCACTTTTGCCTTGGACGAGGAGGGCCGCTGGCGGATCGCGAGAAGGGAGGTGGTTGAGGTGGAGGTGTATGAGGATAGATAAGTAAATTACCTAGACTACTATGATACTTAAGACTAAAGACAGGGAATTATGATGGTTATGTTTAGATCCGTTTAAAATGTTATGCCTATGTTCAAATAACAGTGATATGAACCTGTCTTGCTTCTGTTAAGAGTGACTCGGCTTCTCTACCTTACCCCTATTCCTCGAGTCAACCATTGCCATACCAAGACTTCAACGTAATACTACGCTTCTCAAGATAGCAAGCATTTATACCAATGAGCACGAACACCATCTCTATATCACAGCAAGTCACATCTAAATCATAAGTAGGCAGTCAAAAGTTCATTATCAACCGTGTGGTTATTCAGATTGTGCAGAGCTATCTCTAAAACAGACCACAGCACATCTCCTCCCCACACCGGAGCAATCGTTGCAAATTCATGCGTAACGTTTTGCTCTCTGGGTCATACAAACACTCGTAACGTCGACAGGCTCCGCCATGTATGTACACAAAGGCATCAACGCCCCTTTCGTCGACAACAGCAACAGCAACATGATTCTCGTCCAGGACACCGTAAAAGTCGTTCCATGCCACGCCCCGCCATGCTATAACTTTGCCCGTAAGGGACTTTTCTTTCTCTTTCTCTCAAAACGCCCTGCAAAAGAAAAAGAAAAAAAAGATTACATGATCTTTGCCACGGGGGGTATCTCGTATGCTCCGGTGAGCCCTGCCTCCGAACGGAGGGTGAAAAACCTAGGAAAAATGCGTAGAAAAAAACTCAAAATGCGCGATGCAACTCCCAAAGACACCACCAATAGGCGCCATCGTACCACCCAATCGTATGGACTAGCGCAAAGCTCGAAATGTGCGTGTAGACTTAGTCCGCAGGCTTTCCCTTCTCCACATCAGGGATGTCAATACTGCCTGCTTCCATCATGGCGAAATAGGTCGCGATCCGTCGATTCTCCTCGTCGCTCTTGTGAGGAAAGAGTTTGCGCGGTTTGGGAGGCGGAGGAGGACCGCCACCAATTGGGCCGAACAGGGGATCGAAATTCATGGGCTGCGACATGAAAATCGCATCCAGTTCTGTTTGGTAGCCACGATTCGGCAGGTCCTGATCATCATCCGAGTAATGGTCAAAGTCCGCCGACAAAGGCGTGTCGAATAGTTCGATTTGTTCGATTTGTTCGAATTCAAATAAATGAGAAGGCATTAAGTCGCCCGGCGAGTGGCGCTTAGCCACACCAGAACGAGGAGTTCGAGTAGGGGTTTGCTCTCTAATCATTAGCATCTGGCTAGGCGACCCCACAGAGCGCATAGACCTGGTGACACTCCTAGTGACCGGTCGATGGCCCGGCGTAGCGCGAGTCGGGGTCTTGAAGGGACCACCACTGTTGGCATTGGGCGGCGGCGTGGAGGGTCGAGGTGGAGTACCAAATATGTCGGCATACTCTTTTTCAGTGAAGATTTCTCTCAGTTCTGCCTCCAAGTTATTCTCCTTCTCTATGCCGCTTTCACCCTTAGTACCGAGAGATTCCGGGGAAGTCTGCACGATATTGACGGCAACTTCACCTAGAACTCTCTGTTCACCTTCCTTTCGTGGAGATGGGAAAAGCACTCGACGGGTGGCTCCCAGATCATCATCTACAGCGATGGGGCTATTGAAGGTACCGCTTCCTCGGGAATGACTAGATGCTCTAGAATGTGTTGAACCCTGTCGGTTCGTTTCCTCGGCCTTCTCTCCCTGGTGCTGTGCTTGACTGGCTGGTACCATAGCCATGTCTTCTAGAGGTGTAGGACCATCCAATGGGCCAAGAGGATCCGTAGGCAAACAAGCCTCAGAAGTCAGATTTGTCTGAGTATCACTCTTCGTCCGAGCTTTCTTAGAGCGGGACTGGCCACCACCATTCGGTCTCTTCTTACGAGTCTGTGATAGGCGTTCGCTGTCCTTCTCCCACTTGTCCGCTGGTCTATGCTGCTTAAATTTGCTAAACCAGATTCCGCATGCTACGAATAGTTAGTCGTCCAATTTCCGTATAAACTGATGTTATATGACTTACGATTGCAAAGAAGCACCTCGGTCCATGCACTCTTCTTATCAGTCGGACCCAAAGATTTCTTGATAATCTCATACGAAGTCGGATGGTCAGAAGCATCTCGAGAGAGAATGGTGATCGCGGTAACACAGCCAGGCTTCTCCGAATACTCGTGGTATGCTGGCACTCCGGCCTGCACTTGCTTCCAGATTTTTCGCCAAGTAGGTGTCTGAATAGCTCCGCAATTGTTGCAAAATGAAGGAAGCTGACCCTTAGCTATGGCTTCCTCTAGCTTCTGCTTGATTGTCAGTCTCTTCACCACGTTCTTGTTCGACTTTCCATCTGCAGGATCCATAGCGTCGGTTTGGGGGTGAGCCGGCTCTGAGAGAGGCATCGTTAACATAGACTGGGGTCGAACTGGATCGCTAGCAGGCACCATCGGGAGCTCTGGTTCGACTGGTGTAACACGACTAGATTCTGTACCGGTCGGCCGATCCATGAGATTGGCCGCGGTCGTAACTGGCTCCATAGTCGGCGGCACGCCATTACCAGACGCTACGACAGCAGGCATTCCAGAACGCTGTCCATCATAGTCGAAAGACTCGGGCTGCTGCTGGCTCTGATCGTCTGCCAAATCCATCGGTGTCGTTGTTTCAAGATTCGCCACATTCTCTTGCGCAGTATCTTCCTCTGTAGGTGCGGCCTTTTCCACGGACTGCTTCTCCACCATCTCTGACTCTGTTCGTTCTGATGGTTCTTCGGGGAAAGCCGGTAAAGTAGGTCTAGCAGCCAACGGAGTTTTAGCAGTCTCGCTGTTCTTCCGAATTAGATGGGGTGGGTTGTAGAGCGATTTTTGAGGAAGTAGCTCGGGCGGTCCAGGCGTCTCTGTATGAATAACAAGGTCACTTTGACCCATGGCTGGCGTCTTCTTTGCACGGCTTCGACGAGCCTTCGGTTTCGCCATCATAGGAACCTTTAGCAGCATGTCAGCAGCTGCCCTATTAGCAGTATCCTCGTCTACTCGACTGTCGAGCCCTCCACTCATGAAGCCCGAATCGGGCTGTGCTCTCGCCGATGGCATAGGAGGCAAGATCGGGCTTGAGGGCGCTGGACTGGATCGGGTACTAAACAATGATGACCGCGGAACCGGCGGCGACGACCCTATGTCAGCCGGACTGGCTTCGTCGGAATACATCTGACTTGGCGAAACCCCAGCAGATTCGGTAGGAGATCGTGCATTTTGACCACATGCCATTGCAAACATATCCATCCCTGTGCCTGGAATCGATTCACGTCTTAGACTACTCGACGCCGTGGGTCGTGCTTGCGGGAGGTTAGGAAAACGAGATCTAGGGACAGGGGTCGGCGCTCTGGGGGCTTCTTGGACATGATTGCCTGCACGTGCGTCACCCGCGATGGAGACTGGTCGGATATTCCGAATAGATCCTGCTGTGCTGGCGGCAACCCGAAGCGAATCTGGCATAGCGCTGAATGTAGCGGTGTTGTTACGTTCGACCCTTGTCGTCGTAGCTCTTTTCTTGCTTCGCGGTGGGCCGTCATCGGCGTCAGTAGCATCCTCGATGCCGGAAGTACTGCCTTCGGTTTGGAGCGGCTTCTTGCGCGGTCGTCCTCTAGGTCTTCCTGAGGGAGGCTTGCTCGATGCCCTAGAAGCGGGACGCGATGGAGCTTTACCACCCTTGACGGGGGCTGGCGCTATCACTGGCGCATCAGGAATTCCCATTGCAAAGGATCGACTATGTTCTCTTGGATTCGGCTCAATCGAAGCGGTGCGGCGCTCGGACATTGGCAGTAGGCCTTGGCTGCTCGGCCTAGCCTGATGATTTGGCTGGCTAGGTTGAATCGGTGCGGTAGCCATAGAGGTAATCCCAACTGGCGCATCCGAAGGCTGATTCGGATTCATGTTGTATTGACTGAAGGAATGCCACTCTGAAGTCTCCGAAGGAGTTGGGGTGGCGGTCCGGCGAATTAAAGAAGTTTCGGAATTAATTCGCTGAAGTTGGGAGGTATTTGCTCTTGTTGGTTTCGCAACAAGAGTCAGCTTGAACTTAACCTCTAACGTATCTCTAATTCCATTGGATACGATCGCGAGCGGGTTCCTCGAGATTCGTCCGGTGACGAGACTGGGAACCTGATTCGAGTTGGGTTCTTGGCCGAAAGCCCAGCTAAGCATGCCTTGCCCGACCAAAGGGATATCGGGCTCTGAATAGTCATAGACATATACCGTATAATCCTTCTCATTGTCGCTAAGTAGCTCAGGGCTACATTGGGTAATTGCCTGTAGGCAAGTCTTCAGTTCGACGATTCCAATTCTCGTCTGGTCGTCTATAGGGTACGTCCTAACATAAAGTAACTCTGGCCATCGAGCAAGACAGCGCTCTTGGGAGTCGGTGTCGAATGTATACTGGACTTTGACTAAATAGTATTGTGAGTACTGGAGACAAGTTGTGAGGGATCTAGGATACTTACGTCCCATAAGCTTCACATGAAGCCCAGCATCATCGGCACTTTGTGGTATATTCTGTGACGTCGTCTCCCATCCACCAAGGTGGTGGGTATTCAAGTCCATCGCGTGAAGCTAGAAGGCTTTCGCCTTGCCCAACGGGAAGAGCTTCGAATGAGGACAAAACGGTGAGAAATAATGAATACAACGGCGTCAATTGAAGGAATAGATTGTGTTGGAAAGACACTTAGCAACCAAGACGGCAAGGTCGATCCGCGCGATTCCTAATAACAGGAGGTGAGAGGTGAAGAAATGCGTGTTTATAATTCGTCGCAAGGGACGCGAACGCGGTGTTCAAGATACTAGGTTGAAGGACGAGGAAAATATTCAACGAGAGAATTCTCGTAAATAATAACTCCAGAAGGTTCGGTAATCAGGCAGTAAACGTCTTCGATTCCAATTGACTATGTTGGATTGAGAACGGTTTGTGAACTGAAGAACGAGTGATTGAAGATGTACGAAGTAGAAAGTAGAAGTGAGGGTGTCGAGAATTGATGGTTCAAAGTACAAAGTACAAGTTAGGTGGAACAAATTATTAAGGGAGATAAAGTACCTAATAGGTATCTGGTAACGCCAACGCGTTAAGCAGTGGTTGGAGAGAGTCGCGCTAATAGCTTTTTTTACCAGGCGCGTTTTGGAAGACGTGCCGTGCTTTCTGCAGGTTAGACGTCACATCCCGGTGGCTGGAACACTGCTGGACTTGAGTGCTAGGACCACCTATCTTACTGACCGCCGTTGGACATGGGGCCGTGTGCACAGACCAATTTTACCGAGTTTAAAAGACGCACTAGCGCCTATCAGATCCAACGTTGGAACTTGAAGGCAGACACACCTCCGACAGTCCGGTATTCCTCTTCAAACGAAATAGAAAATGACATTAAATTTCGTTTTCGTTTTTAATGAGGGGGAAGCCATGGTGATATTTATACCCCGCCAATATTCCGGTATAACCCCACATTTTTTACGATTTAATTATGACTCAGATGATAGAAGATGGATATGTACATATATCCCGGCTTCCAACAAGATTGGAGAAGTACTGAAGTATATATTTAGGGGTGCTCGTAGGTAGGGTTCACTCTAACCACTCAGTGCTGGACAGATACCATGCCGGCCTTGATTCCATTTCTATGAATTGATTTTTGTACATTCTCAGCACCGTGATCCCGCTAGGTATTTGCATCTAGCCGGCGGCGACTGATGATAATATACATGAAGACCCCATGCACCACAGCATGATGTTCTATCAGTCAATCCATTCAGCCTTGCCATCATCATTGACGATGGTCTTCCTGGCTAGGATCTCATTCACGATAGTGCTGATGCCCTGTCTACCCTTCTTCTTCCGAACAAACTCCTCGCGGATGGCGTGACGAGACAACCTGCTATGTCTAACGGTCATTTCGACATCCTCCTCTGTAGGTACGCCGAATTCCTGGTAGGGGTAGTGGTTATAGTCCCTTTCGGTCACTAATTCTAAGCTTGGCAGGTTATTGGAGAGTGAAAAGAACGAATCAATAATGTTGCTTCCCGGCTCGATGTCTTCTAATCTAGCCGGTTGCCATTTCGGCTTGGGTTTGGGTTCATCCTCTGAAATTAATAGTGCCGTGACACCTTCATTGAAGTCGGGGTAGTTCATGAACTTGGCGGCCATCTTATACTCCCTTTGGAAGGTTTTTGAGATGGACCAATTGCGTCCTTCCTGCATCTGCCTAAGGGCCACGTGAACTGAGGTTGGTGATCGCTGATGCAGAGTTTCCAGCGTCGACTCTGCCCATGATTTAGTAGATCCTTGCTCTTGCTTCAAAGCATCTATGATATCCTCAACGGTGTTTTTGCTGAAACATCGGTCAATAGCCTTACGGAGGTCGCCCTGCAGCTGGATGGGGACGTCATGGGGGAGACCAGTAGCATACTCCTCAATGGTCATCTCGATGATAGCTAGGCGGTCCTCTATGCTGTCATAATCCCTAAATCGCAATTCAGCCAAACGCGATTCTAAGCTCGGTAAACTCGTCGAATGTAGGTAATGTGTCGCAATCCCTGAATAGAATACATTCGCTCCTTGTAAGCGACTGCTCGTTAGGGCCAGGTATGTGCCTACGAAACCTGACATTCTGGGTAGGAAGAATGAGGCCCCGACATCGGGGAAGAAGCCTATATTGGTCTCCGGCATGGCGAAGAGTGTTCTCTCAGTAGCAATGCGGAATGGGGCATGGATACTAAGTCCGACACCTCCACCCATAGTGACACCATCCATGAATGCGATATACGGCTTCTGGTATGTCGCAATGTAGTGGTCTAGTTGGTATTCCAGAGCGAAGTAGTCTATCGACTTTTGCACGCCTTCTGGGCCCTCTTGGTTTTGCCTCGCGAGCACAGCCACGTCGCCTCCCGCGCAAAACGCCTTGTCGCCGGCACCCTTCACAACAATCACATTCGCCATATCTGATTTCTCCCATTCGACTAGTCGTGGGAAAATCTTTCGGATCATAGAGGCATTGAGAGCGTTGTACTTGGCCGGCCGGTTCAGTTCGATGGTCCGCAGACCATAGAAATTGCTGAAAAGGACATCATGGGGTTCATCCGTATCTAACTCCTTGGGAACACTTATAGCTTCCGTAGACATTTGCTTTGAAGGCTTAGCAGTATATTCAAGTGGAAAGACAGAACTTTTATGGTCATACTTGTGCTCGTATCGCACCTGGGCGATCTAATATCTTGGCTCTTAATGGCATTGTCGAGCTGGATCTCCAAGGAGTGGAAGCTGCCGACCCAGCTCTCCTTATGAAGAGTCTCAAAGACATCTAATTTATTTTGGACTCGATGCGCGACCTCAGATATATGTTACGCATCGAGGAAGTCGGGTTAGGAGCTTCGATGGACTAACCTCGTCAAAAGTTGACAAAGCCGCGGGCATTTTTTTTACCTCTTTTACCGAAGTACAAGAGGCACGAAAAGTACAGAGGTACATACCTACTTCCAGGACCACAAAAGTCCGGCACTGACCCGAAGTGGGGCTATCGGGGGATATCACTGGACCGTAATTCTATTAACGCGGTTTAACAATCTTGTAACCAATCAAATCTTCCTTTTTCCTTGCCGCACCAAAGACTTTGGGAGTTTTCTTGAATTGGACGTGACGGTGCATTCTCAGCCTTGCGCCAATCTATCACGAGCCGCTCTTCAATTCAACAACCGACAGCAGCCATCATCATGGCCGACGCAAAGATTCAGTACGTACAGAATCGTATGCCTCTCTTCAATAGAAATCAAAACTAACAATTATTTCTTAGGGAGCTTCTCACGAAGCCTCGCAACGAATTGACGTACGCAATCCAATCCAACCCAACTCATCATATACCGCCCTCGTCTTTTCTTTTCTAACATACATATGAAACAGGGAGTACGAAATCTCTCTTCTCGAAGAGCACGAGTTCAGTGCGGGTCCTCTATCCATCCTCCAGACCGCCGTCCGATCGCATACCCAAGTTCTCATCTCCTGCCGCAACAACCGCAAGCTGCTGGCGCGTGTCAAGGCTTTCGACCGGCATTGCAACATGGTGCTTGAGAATGTGAAGGAGATGTGGACCGAGACCCCGAAACTTTCCAGCGGCAAGAAGGGTAGACCTGTCAACAAGGACCGCTTCATTAGCAAAATGTACGTTGCTTGCGTTCTACACTCTGATTAGGCATCGTCGAAGCTAATATTATGTTTAATAGGTTTCTGCGAGGGGATTCAGTTATTCTAGTTCTACTTAGCTAGAGGGGTGAAAAGGCAAGCTAGTTACATAACCCTAGTTCGCTCATACGACATGCCCTTCACTGTATCCGGTGTCTGAAATAGGAAGACAAAAGGCGTGAGGCTCGGAGACAGCATGCTAATGCAGCAATTTGCCATGTGCTGTGCTCATTCCGAAGGTGGCAGCTTAATAAAGCACCTTATAATCATCAGATTGAAGAGCAGATAAAATCGTGGTCAAGGGATGAATTAAGGCAAATGCTATTAAAATCTGAATACATGTTCTGAACATCCACACCGTTTCATTATCTCATCATAGCTCTCGTAGGTGATGGCCTAATTATATAGTTTCCCAACCTTCATCTTCAGCTTTTATTCCAGCAAGTCCAAGGAAGAAACTCGCCAGTCCCCAAGCACCAGGGTCTGGCACCTGCTCGAAGCCAGTGCCGCCAACATATACCGCCCGGCCTAAGCTAGGAGTCATACCCTTGGTATCTTCGGCGCCTTTCTTAGATGCTTCAGCGGCTTTCTTCAGATCACCTGTCTTCCCAAGGACATCGACGAACGGATATAGGGCATCCACCAATGTGCGATCACCAGGTCTAGCTGGTGTGTATCTTGATAGCGCTTCACAGCTCTGCTTAAGAGCGCCGGCCCAAACTTTCGGTGTAGCGTCACCTGGCGCAAGAACTCGGAGTGCATGTACGAGAGCGTTGAGGAAGATGGCGAACAACGCTCCCGAAGTGCCGTCCATCTCCTTTTCGACTACGGTGACGATATGAGCAACGTCGACAACGACATCTCCGGTTGCAGCCGTCTTTTGTAGATGCTTAAGGACAGCTATAAGAAATCAGCTTATGAGTACTCTAGGTATCTGAGCCGTTGACTTACCTTCAGCACCGCGTTTTAAGCCAATTCCGCAATCGCCATCTCCAACTACGGTATCGTACTTCGTCACATCTGGCTCGGCCGCGATGACGGCTTGCAAGCCCGAGGCCAAAGTACTGTTAAATGCACTCGCATCACCCTTCAGGCCACTGGGTTTAACGGTTTGATCAGATCCAGTTGTTTCTTCTCTAGTAGCGGTGTTCTTTGCTTCCCAAGTGGTCTTATGTATCGGGGCTGACCAGCCAGTAGCTTCGCAAGGGTAATCTAGTAGTTCGATCATACTCGGTCCACCGATCTCAGTGTTAACCACATTGAGTAACGAGATGCTGAACCCTAGTCCGTTTAGACTCGTCACTAAAGCAGTCGCAATTAGTCCTCGATGCTCACAGATACAATCTCTAACTGCGGAATATACTCACTGTAAGTTCCACTCAGAATCCTCACCGGCTGGATACCCCAAGAGTCTAGCTGGTTCACGACCTCCGTAGTGATACCACCCAATTCGAGTGCGCTGACACCTCCAAGGTTGTTGACAAGCAGGACCACCTCATTAGAATTGACATTGAGGAACGCCCTATCCTTGTCGTTCTGGTCTAATAGCTGGGAGAGCATCGTGCTCACAAGCTCCGGGAGCTTAACCTTTGCCCGTCCAGACCCGGCCTCGTTATGGATACCCATCCCGACCTCTACCTCATCGGCTTTGAGGCTCTCGCCTGTCTTCGGATCCGCTGCTCTTCCGGGCACGTGAACGTGTTCAAGGCTCGCCCCGACGCTTACGATATTGGCGGCCGTTAGTTTGGCTACCTTGTAGACCTCCTCTAAACTGCGTCCCTGGGCTGCAAGAGCACCAGAAATTTTGTGCACCAGCACTGTCCCGGCAATTCCTCTCCTGCCCACCTTCCCCCCTTTTTCCCTCCCGACGCCGACGTCATCGCCGACAACGACCATTTCAACTTTTAAATCAGCGGCCTTGGCCTTCTCCACCGCCATGCCGAAGTTAAGAACGTCGCCAGTGTAGTTCATGACTGTTACTAAGACACCCTTGTCGGTGTCCACCCTCGAAGTTATCGCCTTGCGAATCTGCTCCGCGCTGGGCGATGCGAAGATAGTGCCGGCCACCGCAGCGGAGAGCAGGCCGGAACCAACAAAGGCACCGAAGCTCGGTTCATGTCCGCTGCCACCACCGCTAATAATTGAAACCTGCGAGGGTCCATGGCTGGGTCTTTTGTAGATGATTTTATTGTCGGCGTCCAGGGCCACGGAAGGGTTAGTCAGCGTGAGGCTCCGAAGAGCCGAGTTCACCAGGAGGGTGGGATCATTGATGAAATGCTTCGTAGACATCTCGGGTCTAGAGCCGGGTCCGGGTCTTTGCGGAGGTATCACTTTTTGCAAGATTAGAACAAATAAGGTATGTAGAATTCTTATTAAGGAACGAAGTAGTTTCAATGGGCTTGGTGCCATATATGTACTTGGAGATACAGAAGCAAGGGGACGCACAAGACATGCGATCCTCTTTTCACCGGAAAGGGCTAGTATTATGTCAGTATGATGGGTTTCGACCTGACATGCGGACCTCCAGCTCCTGCCTGCCCATATATACTTAGTCTTGCCTAGGAATTATGTACCGTCTAATCGGGAAAGCCGTCCTGGGAAGCGCGGGGTCGTTTCGCGGGGTTCACGGACTGAGTGGCTTAGTCGGGCATCGATACGGCATCTCCCCGACCTTTTTTAGGGAAACGCCCAGACGAGCGTCGGAAGGATGTCGCTTGGGAGTTGGAGTTAACCGGCGTCGGGTACCAACACGGCTATATGTTACCTGAACGCAAGTACTAATTAGTAGGTGGAGGGTGTAGGTATGTAGGAATATTTCCGTTGTCGTACAGATATTATGCCGAGAAGAAGTTAGGGGTAGTAATAATATAAGTACCTACTTCTCTTTTTTTTTTTTTAAAGCTATTCCGATCGTCTTCCTAGAGATGGAACAGAAGAAAATAGCGACACAGGCTACATATATACCTATGTACAGCATATAAGCTTTTAAGCTCAATGTTTTCTTTCCGGTAGTATTAAATCATCGAGGGCAACTTCAATGTTACAGCTGATGTCTCTCCCTCTTTCTACGAGTCTCCTCGCATTAACTCGACGTACTTGCCTCTCCTGCTGTGTAAATTGTGATGTTAAAACTTAGAAGGCTCAAGTCACGTCGGTTTGGAACATTCAAGCTTTGTTGCTATAGATAAAAGGAACAATCCATTTAGTTAGCCTTGTATCTAACCTATACGCAAATTGCATCCCAGAATTGTCTGGATAGGTCTTCACTTCATCATCAGCATTGCCAGTCTAATAGTAGACCCCAGCGAAATATCAGAGTATGGACAAGTTACCACCAGAAGTTCTACTATGCATACTATCTCACCTTGACCGAGAACACCTTGCCCAATATACGACGGTGTGTCGTGGATTCCAGTTTTGGATCGAGACCCAAACGTTCGCTAAGATCAACAAAAGAATCGACGACGTACAACAACTGGAAGAATTCGGTACTATTTTCGCGAGTACGCGTCGTTGCTATTTGCCTCGACATGTTCAGTTTAGTATTTGGCTACCCAATACACCCAAGAAGCATATTAAAGGCCATGAGCCGCTCCACGTGCTCCGTGCCCGACATTTTACCAAGGTCGTTTGTGGGATTTTCGAGATACTACAAAAATGGAACATCGCTCGAAGTCTAAATGCAAAGCGACCCTTTCATCTTTGCATTCAAGGCGTACCAGGAAATCGCGTCAGTTCTCAGAATGCTGGTGGTCACCACAATAACGTCGGGTTCTACGGATTTCAAGTCCTTCCCTCGCTACCGTTTATCACCGGCTTGCGAGTAGATACTATAAACATCCTCCCTAGCACCATGTCAATGATCTTCGAAGCCTTACCTCATATAGAGGATTTCCACTGGGCAATTGATACTCCTCGTCGTTCGTTGAAGCATCTCAGGGTCAGTCTGAGAGAATCCCTGGCAACAACACTGCTAGAAACGAACTTCTCGCATCTCGTGTACCTGAGGATCGCTCTTATTGATTGGAACCAGTTGGATGGTAATTGGGAAACCGAGAATTGTGTCGGCTTAGACGGGAAGGACCGCCTAAGTCTGGCTGTGAACCGAATTATGAAGTTACCGAACCTGAAAAAGCTAGAGCTACACGGCGTTTTCAACTTATCGCCTGCGATATTTCGTCTGGATGACGAGCATGGAAACATCTCGGAATCCCTCAGGGATATACATTTGAGCCTCTCTATCGTAACCCCTGATGGGCGTTGGTACTTCAATTGTGATCGTGGGGCGAACACGGTTGTTGATGAATGGGACCTTTCGCCTCGTTATTGTCTTACACCGACTACATTTGACCCATTTGTTGTTGCGATGGCTCGTGGAGTTACTAAGATGCCGGCCCTGAAAAAATTATATTGTAGCTTTCATGACGCAGCATATTTAGCATGGTTTGCTGCCTCAGCGCAAGCCAGAGCCTGCAAGAAATATCCTGTACTTGCTCAGTGGAGGATGCAATTTGAATCAACGGAAGTTCTTACAGGTCGGGCTAATCTCTATCAGCCAGGGACCTGGGTACTCCCCCCGGAATTTGCTCGGATCGTGAAGGCGACTGGTCACGCAGTCATTCAAACAAGCGAAAACCGTCCCCATATGTTCGTGGCACTTGTCTAGTTGCTAGAACATTCATAGATGTTAAAAGTAGGCCATCGAGGTCGAGTCACTGCCGTTTCCTTTTTTCCCCCTTCCGCTCCGGGTTGAAATTCCTTGAGGATAGGATTATGGTTGATGATTGCTGGAAACAATCGCTTCTATAGGTTCTAGATATGACCTATTATAATAAATATTTTCGTTGCTGCGGCCCTGCGCGTATTCATTTTGAAATGAGCTGGACTTTTGATACCTGCAGCAAAATGTGGCTAGTGCATACAGTGCTCAAGTCCCAGCCTCAGCCCCAGCCCCAGCCCCAGCGTATAACCCCTCCATTGCACTTCCCTTGGAATCGTGGTGGCTTTAAGAAATATTCCTTGCACACACCCCGCGCTATGGGTGACTCAAAAGTGGTCGCGTCTAAATTTATCGCAAAACGGGAAAGAGCTTCTCAAAGCTATTCTATTCGGCAATTCCCCCCTTCCCTTTAAGTCTAGATCCCACCCGTAATTCATTGCTCTTTTCATGTTAATTTATGGTTCTTTCATAATTTTCATTTCCGTTCTTTATTGGAGAACTCGTCGACATAGAAGCCTCACCATGTCAACAACGCAGGATCGGTCTCCTCCGGAGGCCGACTCCCAGCAAACTGAAAAGATTGACAAGGTCCAGCCCCCACCAACCAAAGAATCTAAAGAACCCAAAGAAAAGAACGTCAAGAGTGAGGTGACCGAAGCAGCAAAACCGTCTAAACCTTCTGGTGCAGAATTGAAAGCAAAGGCCAAAGCAGAGAAGGCCGCAAGACGAGCGCAAGCAAAGGTATCGAAGGAAGTTGCCAAGGGTGAAGCTGCCGTATCATCGTCCCCAGGACAATTAGGTCCATCTGCTGGTGAAGTTAAGGGCGGCAAAGCAAAGGGGAAACAAGATGGCGGTGCGACAACTACTCCAGCAGCAGGAAAACAGGCAGCGTCTAAGGGACCTGCACCTGTTGCTCTGACCGAGCCAAAATTCACGATTCCTGAATGCTTCAGTCATCTATCCATGGCTAAGAGAATTCCGATAACTCAAGCAGACAAGGACGTTCATCCTACTGTTCTTGCATTGGGTCAACAAATGGCCACGTTCACGATTGACGAGAGTATCACACGACTAAAAGCAACACTACTAGCTTTCAAAAAGGTACTTGATTTAAAATAATCAGATTCATGAGTAGGTATAGACCGATGCTAATAATAAAACAGGTCATCGATTCATACACTACCCCTCCCGGCAACACACTTGCAAGACATCTAACTCCTCATGTCTTGAACCCTCAGATTGAATATCTTACCGCATGTCGGCCTATGTGCTTTTCCATGGGAAATGCGATCCGTTGGCTCAAACTGCAAGTCAGCAAGATTGATCCAGATGTTCCTGAACTGGAGGCCAAGAAACAGCTATGCAATAGCATCGACACCTTCATACAGGAGCGAATCAGTATGGCCGATCTTGTCATTACCGAGAAAGCCGTGGAGAAGATCCAGAATGGAGATGTCATATTGACATTTGGATGGAGCAATATTATTGAGCGCACCCTCCTCCAAGCCTGTTTGTTCGCGGAAAGGAAATTCAGTGTTGTTGTTCTCGATGATCCGTATGAGAAGAAGGGCCAGACGCTAGCAAAGAACTTGGCTGCAGCAGGAATCAAGGTGTCTTATTATGGAGACTTTGGTGGCTTGAGATGTCATCTACAAGGTGTCAATAAGATCTTCGTCTCCGCTGAGTCCATGTTCAACAACGGATCCATGTATGCTCGTTCGGGAACTTGCGACCTTGCTATCGCTGCAAAGCAGTTGGACATACCAGTCCTTGTCCTTTGCGAGTCTATCAACATCACTGAGCGAGTTTCCACAGACTCCCTCACATACAACGAGATCGACCCCGAGCGAAGTTCAAGCGCTTCTTTTAGACTCTTATATGACACTACTCCGGACAAATATTTGTCACTTGTCATCTCGGAGTTAGGAACCGTACAGCCTACGTCAGTACCGGATTTACTACGTAAATTAGAGGAGTCCAACTAGAAGGGGGGCTACTGAAATATCACGTAGTTAGATAATGAGGTATATAGACAGGCAGAGGCTTTCAACTTGCTTAGGAGTTCGAATGCATATCAGAACTCCCAGTAATGCTCTTGCCATAAAACAGGAAATGCAAACTCATTGACAAACTTGGATTCCTCGACCTGCTTTGTCTGTAAGTGATTTGTCGGCTTGCCCTTGATGGAGTTATCATCCCTCGATTCCTCGTTATATATACACTGAACCAAGTATCTTAGGCACCGCAAGAGTTTTCGTTTTTTTTCATGTAGTAGCAGCCGCATTCTGTGCATCTCTCGCAGCCTTCCTTGCCCTCTTCTCAAGAAGGGATTGTTTCCGCTCTTCCAACACTGCTACTTGTCTCTCATCGACACCTTGTAACCAGTACCCGAAACTTGCACCCACTCCAGCGAAGACAGGGTAGGCCCACAGAGAACCCCGATTGAATAATGGTCGCATCTCGAGGCCGAGTTGCCAGAAGCGGACAGCGACACCTGTATTGCTAGGTCAGCCACGTCCAGCTTATCTGATTGATATGAGGTCCTATGCGGTCATACCGAAGCCTGCCCAGAAAACGGCTCTGTGAACCATTGTGGAGGATCTAGGAGTGGGGTAATGCCTCGACAGGCCTTTTCTTAGGATGTCTTCGTATATTTCAGGTTCCCGAATTGGCCTGAATTGATGCTGGATTCTCGTGGTTTGCGGTTGGTCAAGATAGTATGAGTTGGTGAGGGCCGGATCATAGAGTTGAAGTTCATCGATTGTAAATTAGAAGGACCAATCAAGCAGAGCGGAATCTAAGCTGTTGCACGGACCACCGAAATCAAATATATGGATAAGTGGGTAGGTATCTACGTACAGTTTTTATCGATAATGTTAGGTCCCTTCCAGATTTCCCAAGGGTTGGCGACTGCTCAATCTAAAATCATCCATGACAACTTCCGTGGCTCCTACCACGTCTACACCAACCTTCACTTAACTTTCTTTTCAATTTGATTTCTTAGCAAGCTTGTTTCTTTCACTTGCGCAACCGCGACTTAAACTTCCAAACAATCGGCGCGCTAAGAATTCAATTTGATTCCATATTTACATGCACACCCCTTCGTTGGCTTGAAAGTTTCTGTACAGGCCAGACGGCCTCATCGGCCGCGACTATGGCCTCAACAGAGCAGACAACCGCTCCGCCAACTGGCGCTACGACGCTCCCACCGCGAAAGTTCAAGGCTTCGGATCTACCTCTAACATCTGCTACGCGTTCAGCAATCGAGGGATTGGCGCATAGCTTCAAGAAGAAGGGCGGCTACGACGCGATTCGAAAGCAAGTTTGGGAAAAGTTTGAGCAGAGTGTTAGTATCAGCCGTAATTAGTTACCTGGGGTGCAGTAGTATTTTACTGCATAATCGTATGATACAAATCACTAATATTCTCTATCAATAGGATTATGAGGCGCAAGTCACTAAATCTATCCTCGAAGTCGCCGAACAGGAACTTGAACGCAACGCAGCCCAGCTTTTGTCCCTCGATCGCCGAAAGGCTGCTGCCCTCATTGACGGCGCTCTCGATCGATCCGGAGTATACCAGAAAGCCGATGAACTTCTTGATCAACTTATCGATGTCGCGGCTATCGAGACGCGCATGCGTGAACTTCGCGAGGCCGAAATCGGGGCTGAAGCGGCAAAGGAAGAACAAACTCGCGGTTCTAAGACAGATGCCGAGTATGCAGCCGAATCAGCTCGTAGTTTGGATGAGCGCGATCGGATTCGACGCGAATTAAGAGCAAAAGAGGAGCAGATTCTCGAGGAGAAGCGCAAGATTGAGCGAGAGGAACGTAAGAAACGAGAACGCGAGAGAGAGCGCGAATTGGAGAAAGCTGAAGCCAAACGCAAAGAAGAGCGGGATGCTCGGCGACGCGAACGCGAGAAGAAAGAAGCGGAGCGCGAGCGTGAACGAGAGAAGGAAAGAGAGGAACGTCGGAAGGCCAGAGAGCGAGACCGAGAAAAAGACCAGGAACGTGAGGCCCGACGCAGATCTCGAAGCCGATCGAGACATAGATCTCTGGAAAGGTCGCGTCATCGGGACCGGGATCGTGATAGAGATCGAAACCGTGACCGTAGTCGTAGCCGTCGTCGCGACAGTCGAGAGCGCCGACACCGCGATCGATCTACTAGAGATGATCGAGATCGAGGGAAGCCCGAGGAACTTAAGAAGCAGCTTACCAAAGAGGATCACGAGAGACTTGAGAAAGAAGCACTTGAGGACCTCTTGCGAGAAAGCAAAAGAGGTGCTGCTAAGCAACCCGAGCTTGAGATTGACGAAGCTCTTGTGCCGCCTCCTAGAAGAACAAAACCAGCTTCTGCAATACAACCGATACGTCGCGACTCCATCAAGAACTCGGATCCTAAGAAGACATCTGAGCTTGTGAAGTCTGAATCTAAAGATGTGGTGATGAAAGACGCCAAGGAAACAAAGGATGCTAAGGAGCCCAAGGAATCGAAAGACGCGAAAGAAGCGAAAGAAGCGAAGCCATCTAAAGAGTCTAAACAGACCAAGGAGCCTGCCGAGTCTAAAGAGAAAGAGGCGAAGAGCTCGAGAGATTCCAAGGATACCAAGGTTAAAGACGACCGACGGGCTGGCTCTGTTTCTTCTCGGCACCACCGTGACCGATCGCGTGGTGTCGATGACGACCGCAGATACCGCGATCGTGATCGCGACCGTGTTCGGGAGCGTAGTCGCTCTCGTGTCAGGTCTGACAGAAGAGATCGAAGCAAATCGAGACATCGATCAAGTCGCCGAGACCGTAGCCGTTCCCGAGATCGCGACCGACTTCCGGAGAGAGATAGGGACTTCTACAGGCCCGGGCAGCGAGATAGGACCCGCTCTCGTGGACGGTCTCATCGTGATAGGGAAGAGAGGAGTCGTTCGCGGGACAGATATAAACCCGAGCACAGAGAACGAAGCCGATCTACGAGGCGTAGAGACGACCGAGATAAACGTGACAGGACCCGCTCACGCACTCGTCCTGAACGTCGAGAAGATCGACGCGATGATCGACGAGATAGATCCCGTTCACCAAAACCTCGAACCGAGAGAGTTCGCTCGCGCGTATCTCGAAGTCGGTCTCGTTCTCGCCCGGGCACGTCTAGCAAACATGAACTCACGGATGCCGAAGCCTGGAAACAAGGAGAAATCAAGAAACGTGAACAAGAAGCTAAGGCTTATTTGGCCGCCCAGCGCGAGGCTCGCGAAAAGGGATTACCCGTTCCAGGAGTCGACGATAAGTGGAGCACAGGGGACCGATCTCCCGAGGTAAAGAGATCTCGTGCCCCTGACGAGATCGACCGGTACAGACCTGTCGATCGCGAGCGAGATCGACCCGATAAGTATCGGGAGAGAGACAGAGACGACCGCAGAGATAAAGATAGGGACCGGGACAGAGATGATCGGCGAGAACGCCGGCGGAGTCGAAGTAGAAGCCCCAGTCGTCATCGAGATCGCGACCGAAGTCGTGATAAGGATAGGAGCCTGGACCGCGAACGTCGTAGATCTCGGGATCGGTACCGCGGTGAAGGAACTCGAGATAGAGACCGGGATCATGACCGTGAGCGTGATCGTGATCGTGATCGCGACAGGTACCGCGAAAGGGACCGTGAGCGTGACGTCGACCGCGACAAAGATCGCGACAGAGACAAGGACAGGCGAAGCCGTCGCGATAGAAGTGTCGAGTCGCGACGGGACAGAGACCGGGATCGAAGGGACCGAAGTCTCGACTCGCGTAGGGACCGACGAGATCGAAGCCTTGATTCTAGGAGAGATCGCAGGAATCGAAGTCGCAGTCGTGGTCGACGAAGTCCTCGTTAGTTACGTCGGAACTCACTTCATCGTCTTGTATTGCTACGAACCACATTGCTACACGAGCACCCAAACTTGAGTGCCTCGATTGGCAGGAGGCTTGCCATAATACATGGGAATGCTTAAGATAGGTGTATACACCAGGGATTTGGCCTGATAGGTACGGATGACATTGCAGAAGAGGCTATACGATTGTATTCAGAGGATTTCTAAGCCAGATGGAAGCCAATTTGGCCATTGCGGACTACAAAAGCTATACCCTGGATTTTGCTAGGCGTTGGGATGTTGCTCGGTTGTTATCTGGAACATAGGCACGATCGAAGTCCTCGGAGATTAATTGACAACTAGGCATACCTAGGTACCTAGGATTTACTGAAAGGGATGCTTCAGAATAGGAGATAATAATGAATGTGTTGTAGGTATTTGTACATCTGATCGTGTTTATCACTTGCATATTTGGCAAGTCTAGGAGCAATAGCAGTTCCAGCATAGATACTTAGCGTGTGGGCGCATAACATCATAATATCTCGAGACCGGAAAGGCGCCTAGAGACAATGCTTCGAGACGAGTGCGCTTGCTGATACAAGCCCCCTTAGCAGATCTGCGCTTATCTGGGATGTCATGGGTTATGGCGTTCGCACAATTGGACGAGCTTTACACTGCTGTATGTATAGATGCAATATTGTGTTTTATCGTGTTTGTACGCATTTCATTATTAATAGACAAAAAAGCCAAGCGCTAGAACGCATCGTTATGATGTTATTATGTTATTTACTAGGTAGATAGGGCTCATGAAAAGTAATAATGAGGTCAATTATTGGCAAGAATACAGAACCAGGTGACGATGATACAAGGGAAAGTGATCCAAGGAGTTTCCAGGAGCTGCAGGAGGTGGGATCTTCAACAAGCACCGCAAGTGTCAGCGGACGCCACTGGCTAAATTAGGAATGGGAAGGGTTGAGCTGGACGAAAGCCATTGTTGGGCAGTTTGGGTCGTAGGGTCGGTGGAAACAACCATTTCCAGCTTGAAGGTCTGAAGGTCTCCGCCACCTTCCGAATGTTAGTGTCGTAGGGCAAAATTACGTCAGAACGACTAACAGAAATTGACCTGGAACACAATCCTTATCAGGCCAGTCCTTGCCATGTCTAATGCGTCGTACCAATCCGGATGTTCCAGCCCGTTACGTACCCGTACCTACCCACTCTTATCCCGTGACGCTCATATCCTTTTTCGGTCGTCACAAGTTTACCATGTACAGGACTGAGGATGGGATAGGCTCCAGCGGCGGTGAAAAGTCAGTTCCGTTACATGTACAACTTGTACACCTAGCTTTGCATTGCAGTTACCTGGCGCAGTAACCAAGATACCAACCTAAACCACTAAACCAGAGCTGAATTGATTCATTCCTTCTTCCCGTTTCCTCGACCATTCTTCTTCTTTCCCATTCCTCTCCAACTTTTTTCTGTGTGATACGCGACAACCTGCAAGGCAGGCATTTTGTTCCCATTTCCTTTCTTTCCATTGCTTCTGAGCTTCTCTTCTCTATTCAATTGATCGGTCGAGTCGAGACGACCAAGATTGAATAGTACATACCAATAGCGATCTAAGGTGTTTTATCGACTAGACCGAAACGAGGACTTAGGTAGGTACCTAGGTCCTAGGATATCCTGCGACCCGTGTGCGTGCGCGGTGCACCGGGCAAGAGAGGGTGTATCAGTAGTACGACGACACACGACACTTGACACCCGACATCCCTCCAAGAGAGCCAAGGACCAATATCCCTCTCCAATCAACCACAACAACCCTTCCATATTCACCCTTTTTCAATAACGGTCGAAAACCCCTCCTATCGAATCTACTGTCTTGGAACTACCGCATACGATAATTTCGCTCCCTTCTTTTTCTTTCATTTTTAGCCACTGCATCGAGGTACTTTATCCTCGACCCAACCCACCTCCGAATGATCGAGATTCTACGGTGACGGAAACGTCCCCCGGTCTAAATATATATCCCCTCGTGCCCGCCGCACCGACCGGAAACCCAGATCCAACATGGCGAGCCTCGACGGCATCCTGATCGGAATTTTATCCTCCTTCGGTTCTGCTATTCTCATAGCTCTCATTTTCCTTATCGTCTACTTCTTTAGATACACAACCTCCGGTCGCATCTTCCTCGACCGGATCGGTCGGCCTGGCGAATATGACGACGAGCAGGCATTTGCAAGGGAGGAGGCTGAAGCCCTGGAGTCTATGGATGATATGCAAAGGACAGAATATCTAAGAGCCAAAGGTATTGAATGAGCAACCCTTATCGTCAAGGACGATGCGCTGATAGATTTGCAGCATTTATCCAAGCCAATCCGCCTGAGTCGGTCCAGACGGACATTTCTTTATCACAGTACCTAGCTATACAAGAGAAAGGAGTTTCGGCGTGGGAATTCGAACCCGAGCTGGAAATCGCCAACTGCTTTGTGGAGGGGAGAACTGAGATCGAATTCTTCGACTCCGAATGCACCGTAATGAGCAACTTACCCGTTCCAAAACAAAACGAAGTTTACTATTGGGAGGCCAAAGTATACGATAAGCCCGAAACCACGTTACTGAGCATCGGCATGAGCACGAAGCCGTACCCGCTGTTCAGACTTCCGGGTATGCCAGTTCACTCTATCTGAATTATATATATCTTCGGGCTAACCTCTTGTCACTTCAGGGTTTCACAAGTACTCTATTGCGTATACATCTATCGGCGCTCGGCGATATAACCAGCCCTTCAGCGCAACACCTTATGGGCCCCAGTATGTGCAGGGCGACGTTATCGGAGTTGGTTATCGACCTAGGACAGGGACCATTTTCTTCACTCGCAACGGCAAGCGGCTAGACGATGTAGTGCATGGCCTGAAGTCACAGAACTTCTTCCCATCCATTGGCGCAAATGGGCCGTGTACCGTACACGTCAATCTTGGCCAGGCCGGTTTCGTGTTCATCGAGGCTAATGTGAAGAAATGGGGACTAGCCCCAATAACCGGTAGTCTGGCACCGCCGCCACCGTACGGAAGTGAACAGGGAAGTATCTTACTTGAGACCGGCCGTCGGAAAGATGAGTACTCAGGTTCGCCGGTTAGAGGTCACGGTTATTCTCAGTCTGTACAAAGGTACAATGGCCCAGGTTTAGATCCAGGTCATGGGCGGACGAGGAGTGGCAACTTTAGAGTACTTCCGCCCACGAGTCCAGGGCCGCAAAGGAGTCCTACTGATATTTCCCTTGCACAGCTGGTTCCCCCAGATGAAATAGGCGAGGCAAGCAACAGCGGCAATGATGCAGGTCACCCAGGGGACCACGTCATTGATGTTGTTGGGCTAGGTCTCCACGAAGCCTCACATCCTCCACCCGAATATACTAGCCCAGAGCACTCAGATGAGGAAAGCTCTGGCAGCGGTTCCGATAGCGACCGAGTCCCATTGATTAGGACGGGACGTAGCCGTGGAGCATCTGCGGCCACCTTAAGACCGAACATCCCACCGATTCCTAGCTATAGTGATGCTGTTCGACAAGGCGCTGGTAGGGACAGGAGCCGCAGCGATGGCGCCATGCCCATGCCTGGACGCAGTGGCAATTAGACCAGTCATAGCGATCGTCAAATAGGGAACATCGAGTTCCGTGTGCTACCACTGTCTATATGTAGCTCACGAACGTCGGGAAAAGCACGAATTTTAGCACTCAAGAACATGGAACGGGGAGTTCACGGTTAGGAAAGGGAAACAGCAAACTTTTTGCGTGCTTTTTTGCCGAATTACTTGTTTTGGGCTACGACAAATTATTGGCATTGGGTCAGGTGAAACTTATTACATGATACCTCAAGAGAAAGTTCATTCGCATTGTTCATATCAACGGCGCGGAGGAAGGGACGGACGGAGGTTTACTTTTTGTTCGGGGTTTGCGTTTTTTTCTCGAACAGAAGGGAATAAAGAAAAGAAGAGAAAGTACCAGGGCTGGATTGCTCGCCCCGGATAAGGGGGTTGGAGATACCTGATATGCCATGCCACACACGTGCAGCGCAGTCGATATAAATATTGCATATACAATTCGTCACATGTCTTGACCCAATTTTGATACGTGTCGTGCGCTTTGGCTGTTGGTGATTACACATGAAGTCCGTAGAAACAGGATCTAGGTATTAGATAGGCATGAGCTAGCTTAGTTAGGGGAAGATGTTGGTGGTTCTTCGAAAACCTGGAAGGGCTTCTACAGGTCCGAAAACAGGTTTTGAAGTCTCCCCTTTTTTGACTATATCAGTGAGGGCTAAAGGGGGTCAAGACAAGACAGTATGGCAGGTAACTGTATACATGCTCACCTCCTATATCTCTTTTGTTCGGTCAAACCACGGAGTGGGCGTACAATTCCAAGTTGAGAGGATATACTCTTCCAGGGTTCTATCGATCGTCGTCATGACTTGGGATCGTGACGGTAGTGGACGATCGAGTTCTCTCTTCCCTCGAGACTTTAGTTATCTTGGTACGATTACATAGCACGGATTATAGTACTTACAAAGAACCAGATAGAATAGGAATATTAACTTGTTAGCTAGCTGCATCGTCGCCTGTTTTGTGACCTTACTGTACGTGTTATCGAAGTGCGTATTGGCCCTGATCCATTCTCTTACTAGAGTGTATCCCGTGAGATTAGCCATGTGCTCACGAGTTCTAGAAGCTATGTGGCTAATTCAACTTGTTGCAAAACCATCGCCAGGCGCCATTCCCCTGTCCAATTCGCAGGTCGCAGGCAGGCCAGTGATCAAATTCAGGCCATTTACTCTATGCTGGTATCATCAGCTTATCTTGGATAAAGCTCTATACTAATATATGCCGGATAGTGAGGAGTCATGAACTAGAAGAACAGGGAGGTCAGCCTTACTCATCCTATATAGACCAATCACTCAGCGCCCGTCCTCCCTATTTCCAGACGCTTCTCAATAAGATGTATAATTTCCAATGAATAATCTTCTTTCGTACAAGCGGGTCTAAATTTTACCCTTCATCTCTTGCCATGTTTCCTGTTCGCCGAAACTGACGGACCACGCGTGGCTGTTGATTGTGGAAATACATCTGTTCCGCAGTATTGGAGATATCTTATTGTGTTATTGAAATTACTAGCACTGCTCCCTGAACTGTATTTCTGACATTTGATGTGTAACGGCGGATTAACTGCTCCCATAGGTGCTCCGTATGATAAGATACTACCTCTATGCGGATGCTTAGCAAAGTGGGAAAAGGTTAGGAGGACTATAACCTTGTCATTGTGATTATTCTAGGAGGATATTGTGGTAGCTAGTTCGACGTTCTAATATCAACTTCCAAGCCAACATGCAATAAGATCAGGATGCGAAAGACTTTATGTCCCTCCACAAGGCAGTAAGTGAAGGCCACTTGTCTCGAGACACTTGTATTCTACAGAACGTATTCGAGAATAACGATTTCTATGTCCTTGAAGCCCTGCTTCCGAGATAGGCTCATAGGCTTCCATGTGTGAATTAGAGGACTAGTAGGGTGAAAATTCGGCCTAGGTGACCTGTTGGCGACTAAACCTAGAAGAGAGTAAAAAATGGGTTTGTTTCGTCAAGTTTTCCCAACGAATTACCTGGTATTCTCTATTCCACGAGGAGTTTACCCGTCTCCTTGTATATTCTAATGGTCCATGTTATAGACATCATCCCAAACCGTAGAATAGTTGGAGACTTGGTTTTATTTAGGCCCCTGACAGGGTTCGCAAGAAATACAAGTGTTCTCGTAGTGATCAATCTTATAGTTTATGATAACCAAGGCAATGTCAATATAAACTGGCCTCCCCTTTTTCAACATAGATCTCACGTCATGGAAATGTGACGACACATTTAGACATTGTTGCCCCAGACTCAACCATTTCCTCGTTATTTCTAAAAGACTTATGTACTTCCTGTCTGCATTACTTTACATTGTCAAGCAGAACTGAATTTAATGTGCCTAGGTAGGTACTTACGCATAAGATGATTAGAATATTAATCTGGCTGTACACTTATCTGGTATTAGAAGCAAGTAGCTACATTTTAATACACAGCATTTGTCACCAATAAAATTTCTATCGATTCTTCATATTCTTGAAGTATTAACTTCATTGATAACCATAGCTTACATCCTACCTATAATATCACTCATCCAAAAAGTCTACCTTTACTATCCACTGGCTTGATTTATTTACATATAAGACATCCCTCCTGTGGTCAACTCAGATATCCAGCTAAAATTTTCTGCGTGACCTTTTGGCCCCTATTCAATCATACTCCAACAAGTGGTCCTTTACAACAAAACTATGGAATCAAGGTGATCCAGAAAAACTGCTTTAATTTATAACTCCACAGAGTTGAAAAATTTGCATGACACTGTTTTAAATCAAGCCAACCGATACACTGTAACGCCCTCTTGTTTGCTAAAGGACCGTTCCACGCAACCTCTGAGCCAAAATCCAACGATATGCTGGATGCCTAGGTATTTACATGTAGATTTGGATGATGTAGGTCCGGTTAAAATTAGAGGATAGTGGTGTATTGTAATGGTTTCTCCTGAGGACACTTTCAAACATCGAGCTTAATTAGATGATATCATTTCATGATTATCACTACCTAGGCTAGTCCACCTTAGACTCAACAGACTATTTGAGAATATACTATCATTGGAGTCGAGCAGGCCGAACATATCTCAAGGCTCTTTGTGTGACAACTAGGGTTGTTGGACGAAGTGAATACTCATATATCACCTCAAACATGTAAATGACGAGATATTTTGAGCCTTTATGATAGAAAGTACCATTGGCGGAACATAGACATCTTCATTTTGGCTGATAAGTTGGCCTTGAAATATACGTTCTTACCATTGATAGGTACTTATTACATTCCTGACACGTCTTCGATCGGAGTATCATGATTTATGCGATATAGTTAGACATACTTACCTACCTAGGTATCAACGAACTAATGGATAGCACAACATCTCTCACGAATCCTGCCGCAACCAAACTATCATTTGTGGCTTTGCGTCCATTCTCTTGGTACTACTAATAAAAAGCAGTCCTAGATCCCTATGCCAAAGAAACACGCATCGATAGTAAGACATATTTCATGCGCAGAACAGTATGAAGGAATCACAGTGACGCCACGCCAAAAAGCCGAAGATCGCCTCATCGTTCCTAACGCGGCATTCGCGCGCGAGCCATAATACATACATACATACATATATAACCCTAAACTAACCTGTGGGTATTATGTAGTCAGCAAAGCCTGTCTGTCCTGCGATCTCACCCTTTGCCAGATCGCGACAGAGGGCGAAGCCGAGTAACGTTGGATTAGTGCGAAGCGATCGGCGGCCCTTGCGGCTGCCCCCTGTTTATAAAGGTGATATGCTACGCAGTATACCCGCTATTTGGGGCAAAGAAAATCAGAAAATGTGTGATCGGGGTCCATCCAATTGGGGTCGGGGGTCGGGGGGCCTGTCAGATCCTTTCCTTGCTGACGACAGGACGAATCCTTGGTACCGGAACCGAACTTGCCTGCCTGCCAGCTCCCCCTTCCCCCCCACCCAGCAGAAAAAGTGGTTTTGGCACGACGCTCAATTGCGGCGCGGTAAGCGGAGCGTCGACGGCTGATACCATCAGTCGCGCGGGCGCACGCTTCGGCCTGGCGCTCCTGAGTCCTGACATAAAACGACCTCAGCCAGTGACGAGCGGTAATCGGCGTAGGAACGATTATATCTTGAACCGCCGGTCGGGACTTCGTCGGCGTGGCTTTGGTTAGCGCAGATATAATCGTCTGCCTGTTTTCCTTTGTCTCCTATCCAATGGGGGAGCTCGGCGCGAGCTTGGGGTGACGACGTAAGACGGGAGGGCTTAGACGTGACAGCTCCTCCTAGTAAGCAGGACGAACCGCTGACAGCCCTCGATCATACATACCTACAGATGTACCTACATAGGCAGCCAAAAAAATGAGCGCCGGCTCGGCGATCCGAGTTTTGCGGCTAATATGTATGTCTCAATCCTAGTAACGTTGATCGGAAATGTGACGAATCTCCCACCGGCTATCTAAGACCGGCTGGGGAAGACAGGGACGTCTTGACGTGAGTCCTTAGCTACGGGTTCGAATCTCGTTGTCTCTGCTGCATGAAGTAAGGCTGAGCTCCGCGTGGCACGCTTACTTTCATGCGCGGGTCTGCTTCGAGGGATTTCTTCTAGAATAAGATTCTTAGCCCATGCATACGTGCGCCGGGAAATTCTGCTGCCTAAGTACCTACCTACCGACCTATATACCTATGGTCCGATGTCGTACGGCGATAATAGGCTCGACTAAAGACGAATGCCCCGAGGGTCGCTTATGCGGTGATATTCTAAATATATAGCCGGACTCTTTGCATATCGTATGGCCGAGCTGATTTGGAATGCGTGAGCTTTTGACGAACGGCCTTGGTTCGTTTGATGGTGGTTCGGTAGTGTTAAACTGCCGTGGACAAATGGTATGAGAGAAGGGCTCAATGATTCAGAAGAGGATTTCGAAGCTCTAGACGGATACGATCGTAACCATTATGAGTCACTTGAGTTCACAGGTGATCAGTCAATCGCTTGCTGCCACGACTCAGGCCCAGCTCAAGCACCTGTACTGTACGAAATCCTTAGGAACCTTCAATGGTGATTAATCTTCAGAACACTCGCGTGAG